TGGTTGCCAGCAGGGGTGTACATGTAGATTTATTAAATACACCTTGTGCGCCACCTGGGAACCAAATCTAGAACCCGACACTCGAAATTTTTGCTCTGTTACAATCGTACCCTGTTACAATTGACCCCACTCTCCCCTACCCTCTATGCAAATTATTAATATGGAGCAAAAAGGACAACATTAAGAAAAGTTATAGTTTTGTGAAAATAAAAAAGTGGTTGTAGTCTCAATTTTTAAAATTTGGAAAACTTTCTCCGTTGTTTGGGTTCTTTGGGAAAATGAATTGATTTTAATGACATCACCAAAATTGGCGCTTAAAATGTGGAATGATTGTACTGTGGTGCTTTCAAGAATTCTAAATTTGATGAAGTGTTTTTGATAGTATTAGTTTTATTATTTAAAAAGTGACTATCTTCGTTCCTTGAAAACCGAGTTTTGAGTAAAGGCAGAAAATGTGATTTTTACTTAGCTTAAAAGAACTCATTAACGTGAAAAACTGTTTTCTGAAAAATAGCCCAATTAATAAACATAGTTTATTTTTTTCATGCATTTTTAATTATTACATAGAAAATGAATAATTCAATCGTTGTCATTTTTTTTGCATATTTATAGTGTATATCTTCACATATCGGCTATAGAACAAAGCTCAAATCTAACAATACAGTCAAACCTTCAGTACAGTATTCATACAGTATTGTGAACCGTCAAGGGACCAAAATTTCGGTTCTCTAAAACCGAGACTTCACTATAACCGTTCCACAAACAATTTTTACTAATGGTTCCAAATTACACATTATTTAAATAAATGACCCATAAAATGAAATACAAAAATGACTGAAAAATAATACGTAGTAACAAAAATGTGTTAACTTTTATTTTTTATAACTCTTCGTCTTGCGTACAAAAAAAAAAATTAGTAATCTTTATCTGATGGGTAATCCTCAACATCAGATATGGAAACACTTCTCACCGATAATTTTTCCTGAATTTATGTCATTCCGCATTTTAAACTATCATAAAAGTAGTCTCACCAAATCGCTTAGCTAATTCATCGGCTTTGACTTGAAGCATTTGTCCAGATACTGGAAGATTGCGGCTTGTTCGAATGCTGAACCAATTCAATAATGATGCAAATAAGAAAAAATGCTTTATTGCTACATTCAATGCTATAAATGGTTTTAAAAATCGGTATATGAATTTATTTTGAAGTAGAAATTTCAAAATTATTTTTAAAAAAATGAAGAAAATAAATCAGTCGAAGTCAGAAGAAAGTTCATAATATGCTTCCTCGCTTTTTTTTTGGTTCATTATATCCACAAAGAGTAACGGTATACGTGCACTGGAGCGAATATTTCGTTCACTATATCCGAGAGTTCACTATAAACCGTGTTCACTATAGCGGGTTTTGACCGTATTATTTTTTAAATGATAAAATTGCAGCAATTATTGTCCAATATATTAGTTCGCAAGAGGATATAAACTGACTGATTTCATAACTGATTGACAATCGCTTTGTAAAGATATACAAAAAAGCAATATCAAAACATTATTTTTTAAATGATAAAATTGCAACAATTTTTGTCCAATATATTATAGTTCTCAAGAGAATATAAACTGACTGATTTCATAACTGATTGACAATCGCTTTGTACAAGCTTGCAAAGCATTAAAATATTTTTAAGTAATAAAATTGCACCAAATGTTGTCTAACATATTGAACGTAGGAACTGGGTCTTAAACTGGATATGAGTCTTCTCTTAAACTAATTGATTTCATTACAGATGAAATGGAACAATGGCGTAGGAACTGTCTTCAAACTGAACAGAAACTCTTGAACGTGTGCCACACTGAGAAAACACCCGGATGGAGAATCGTCAGATGTACATGCAACAGGGAACTTTGCAATACAGCTTCAGAAATCATTCCATCTTCTTTCATTATGAAATGTTTAATAATTGTGTTGTGGATGTTGCTCATTAAGAGATAAAGCAAACTAATTCCTTATTAAAATTGAATGTTTGGAGAAGAGCTCTCAGTGCCCAATTATAATGAAGTTGGTTGGTCCAATTGTAATATATCGAATTCCGGTTTAGTGCCACTTATAAAAATCTGAAGTTCAAAGTTTTCAAAGTCTAAAATTCATAATTAAAAGAATCGTAACTGAAATTGGGCCTAGAGTCTGAATTTCGATTTAGTGTCTCTTATAAAAATGCTCAGTTTAAAGTTTAGAAACTTAAAATGTCTCAATTAAAAAAGTTGCATGATTAAAAAATATATTCTAAAATGTTTGCAACACGTGTATAAATTTTAAAATTTTTACTTTTCTCGATAATAAAGATGAATCTTACAGAATGAATCTTACCTATGAATCTTACAGAAAATTCTAATAGTGTTTTTTGAAAATAGGTGAAAGTGTCGAATTCTAAATTTTATCATTCATCCAATTATACCTTAAGCATAGAGAACCTGAAATATTTTGTTCATTTAAATAATAAATCAAGCTAATAACGTTTCACAAAATGTTGAAGTACACATCTCAAATATTGATTAATGAGTAGAGAAAAAAATAAAAAGAACTACTGTTACAAATAAATACTACTAACAGACATTTAGTGCCTCTTCACACACTGTAGCCATGCCCCATAAGCTCATGCATATGCCCAAGAAAGTTCCTATATCTAACGTAGTTATAGAGTAACGACACATGGATAACAGCTCTCACAGGCTGAATATTTCTTTACTAAAATGTTAGTTATTTCGCTAAGTTACTACTAGTAGAAAATGTTAAAATCGAGGTCAAAATGAATTTTTTTATTTTAAAAGCTGAATCAGTAAATCAAAAATTTACGCAGTTATTCCTGAATTTCCATAATTTTTATCTAGGTGAAAAAACCTCGCCCACTTGGCGATAGTTAAAAAAGTTCAACAACTTTTAAAATATATATCTATAGTTACTTGTAAGCCCAGATAAATCTTTACTGCAAGATGGCAAATAAAATTTAAAATAATAGCTTTACTTCAAACATAAGGTATTTAAACTGTATCTATTCTAATATTTTTGGCAAAAAGAGCTAATTCAAAAAAACATTAGTGACATGAATTTGAAGTGGTTTAAAAAAGGGAAACAATCAGAGAATTATCGCCAAGTGTGGTCGATCTCTTTCTCCTCATATGTGGACAATTATGAAACTGCTTTTCACAACTCTCTATCTACGTTAGATACAGGGACTCTAATTTGGAACTATCGTTTGTTATGAATCGCTTGTCACGACAGTGCATCTATTATAAAGAATCTTCCATATTTATACACCAAACAAATGTTTTTATTGAATAAAATATTTTAAAAAATTAACAAAAAGTGTGTTTTTTTAAAAACGGTTAACGGTTGGAAATTAAGTACGTTTAATAAAATGTTATGAAGATATTTATCATAGAAAAATAGATAACCACAACACATCATTTACTTCTTTGTGGGCAGTAAAAATAACGTTTGTTAAACAGTTCCGTAACGACTGCTGCTACGGTCTTTTTTTCTTCAGAATCTATCAGAACAATCAATTATACAACAAGCGAAATTATAATTATCGGTTTTATTCGTCTTGTGCGACGATAACTCACTCGTTATTTTTTTATAACCCTATTTTATGGGTTTACGACTACTAATATTCAACTCCGCAGCCTTGTAATTTTGAACTCAATCCAGAAGTCAAGGGAACTCCTGGATCGAGTACTGGGAAAAATTTGCCTTCGTGGAGGACTTTTTGATGGAACTAATCCGCATTTGCGTTACATGGAGAGAAAGACCACGAGAACCTCCCACGATTAGATTGGCGGCAAGGGAACTCTAATCCATGATCCGTCTACCACTGAGGAAATTTCACGTCAGCATTGTGGTCGGTACAAGCCGGATGCGGAATTCGTATCGACTGTGATTCGAACCCGGTTCGCCTCATTGGAAGGCGAATGCCTGAGCCATCGCGGCTCTTTAGAATCTATTAGAGATCATATTTGAGGTGGAGATAAGTAAAGGCAAAATTATAATTATCAGTTTTATTCGTCTTGCGTGATGAAAATTCACACACTATAAGAATGGCTTTTAGTCTTCCTTTTGAAATAAAATTTCTTTTAGACTTATTTATTTATTGGTACACATACAAATGTAGACTTGTGTACTCAGTAAAGAATGAACAATGGCTTATATAGGGTAAACCAACCAGTGAAGGAACATTTCATGTATATTGATTAAAAATAAGAATTTGAAAGTTTTTCTTTAGAATGGTTGGTAACAATAGCTTACTGCCAAACAATAGAAAGTCATCTAGCAATGTTTTGGATTACCTGGTCAAATAGACTTCTCTGGAAAAAATTTTGAATTTGCTATTATCTGTGCAACACCTTGCTTCTTTGAAAAAATAATAAGGTGTATTTATATGTTAATTGCATGTAATAGTTTCATTTTTCTCACTGTGAAAAAGAGAATTCAAAATATAGTTATTGAAGTTACGTTTCATTTTTTAGCATCATAGCATAATAAAGTACTGATATAAGGGGGTGTTTATTCACTGGATCACCAAACAATGAAAAACCATTAAGGAACAAGTGTTCCTTAATGGTATTTCTTTTCTAAGTTAATGAAAATAAAAGATAAACTTTAATTTCCTTGTACCTTTAGTGATGTTCCGCATCAAAAGTATGTTAAAAATACGAAAAACAACTTCCAACCAGTGAGGTAACAGGCATGTTCCTTTACTGGGCGTAGATTTCCCAGTTAATGAACAGTATGTGTTAATATGTTGACACTTTAATTTTCAATTCATGATTACAAAAATTTTTTAACATTTTCCAAGTATTTATATGCTATAATTTCAAGAATGGGCTTGTTTTTAAATATTTGTATGGCTTATAAATTCATAAAGAGCATTAAAAAATAACCAAAATTAAGTGTTCCTTTACTGGGTGTTCATTCACTGGTAAGAGCTGTTTCTTCACTTGGTCTTCTTACTACTTGTTATTTGGACCTACAAAACTTTAAAACAATATTATGTAAGTTCTCTAAATTTTTTTTTTTACATAATTTGCAATTAGTAACAAATATGTTGACACTGTCATTTAACTAAGATTACGAATTTTGAAATTAATATTATTTTTTAAAAGGCAAGCGAAGCTTAAGTGTTCCTTCACTGGTTCGTTTACCCTACCCTTGTTAAATTGCAGAACAGAAAGTACAAATTAGAGAAGAGCGAATACATCCATAATTGAGGCTTTCAATTCGCTACCTCTCTGCTACAAGGCTTTTGGCGGAGGGACACCCTTTCTTATTTTTAAAGTGACAAATTTGGAAATAACTTTTATCTCATAAAGGAAGTTATACCCTAAATTGAGATTAAGGATAAATATATGTAAGAAATATAAATATGTGTGTCCCGCAGTGGACTGATCGTTAAGACGCAGTTCCCAGCAGATCACCGAAGTCAAGCATCACTGACTGCGGTCAGTGTGCGGGTGGGTAACCACTTTGGATCAGTCTGCGTAGGGACCGAAGGTGTGCGATTTTGGCTCTCGTTAAACTGTTCTACCGTAAAGTGCTCGACTTCGCGTGTAAGTCGTCGGGCTACCGAAGAGGGTGTGTCATCCCCTCTGCAGGGGATCAAAATTGTGATGGCATGTCTTTGGATCATCCTCAGGGATGTTTCCCAGACCGTCGCCAATGGCCCATTGTGCAGCTGTAGTGCGACGGAAATGAACTACAACAATAAATATGTGTTGAAATATAATGTATGAAAACAACTGGGAAAGAACTGTTTTTTATTCATAAAAGCCGATTCGACGAAAAAACTATTTTGCGCAAGGAAAGGAAAGGTATTTCCGCAGTATGTCTGGCACATCTTCACTGTGTAATAACTAGAGCCCGGAAGTTCAAGCAAAATGCCATAAATGCCCTTTTCTGCCTTTTTTAAACGTTTTCTTCTTAAAATGCCTTTTTCTTTCCTTTTGTTCATAAAAGCCTATTTCTGTCTAATTTAAAATTTTTCTGCAAAGCTTTTTGTGCTTTTGACCGAGCATAAACGCAAAATGAAGAAATTTTGAAGTACAGAAATGGTTGACTGTCATCCGACGTATTGTAATGCATTTATCGAGATTAGGACTTTATTCCTTTTGTCTTATTAATATTTCCTCTCCGTCTCTTCGTGGCGTCACCTTCGCCCGATGCGCTTTGCAAGGAGAGAGAGAAAGGGAGTGAAAAGATTGGAGTTAATTTTACTTACAACCAATAGAATTTATTCTTACTTACGGCCCATATAGCCTACACCATCGAATAACTCGTATGCTCTCTTATCTACAAAACGAATTCACCAAGCTGGTTGAGCACATTGTAGCAGGAGCACGAAAAAGTTTTCGAGTACTAGTTATTTCAAAAATGCCTAAAGTAAAAGCCTGCACAAGCAAAAAACTGGACAGTTTTGTGAAAGAATTTGGGTCGGATGTGTATTCTGTTTTGTAAGGCATGCGAGAAGTCAGTAAATTTTGAGAAGAAGTATTTTACATCTCAGCACTTGGAGACATCTAAGCATAAAACAGCAAAAGATGGGAAAACACCGACTCTGATTCCCACCTGTTTTCAATTATCTTCTCGCAAATCGGAATTTGCAATGGATTTATGCAGAATACAGATCATTTGTAGATGCCGGCATTCCGCTGTGGATACTTGAAAATAAAAGTATACGAGCTTTTTTGCAAAAATATGCGAATCAAAGTGNGGGCTTTAGTAATAACTATCGGGTAGAACCGATATTTCACGATATTAATTTGCTATGACTTAGTAATCCCCATACTGTACCAGATGTTGAAAAATCCACAAAAATCGTTCTTCATATGTCCTAAATGGGATCAAATGTTAAAATTGATAGGGTCATTCTCTTATTAATCTTTATTTACCACAATGAGTCCATGGTGGTAAACGAGGTTAATTATAGTCATATTTCAAAATTTGACCCGCAATAACACCTAAATATAAATGATGTTGTAATTCATTCAGGACACACTAGCGCTGCACAGTGGGCTATAGGCGACGGTCTTGGAAACATCCCTGAGAATGATCCGAATACATACCATCACAATTTTGATCCTCTGCAGTGGGGATGACACCCCCGCTTCGGTAGCCTGACGACCTGTACGCGAAGTCGAGCACTTTACGGTAGAACAGTTTAACGAGGACCAATACCGCCAACCCTGGGATTCCAACGCACACTGACCACAGCCAGTGATGCTTGACTTCGGGGATCTGTGTCTTAACGATTAGTCCTCAGCGGGATCCTAAATATACATTAAACAACTACCGTACACATTTCTTAGCAACAAGTCTCCTTCCTCCTTCTTATTATTTTTATTTATTAATTTTTTACACAAAATATACTTGCATTTGAGGGTTTGATTGTGATCGATTGTCACCTTCTCTTGATATGCGTTTTCGATTAATAACTTATTTCTTAATGCCTTATCGTAGTACGTTTTGGTTTGGATTTATCCATATTTATTTCAAATAATCTTAAACGAAGAACCGCTCAGCCACTTGGCCGAAATTTCATAATTCTACAATATTTTTTCCCATCAGTATTATATATATACCACAACAAAATTACAATTCACTAGAATATAAGACACGTTAATTCGATTCTATGTTGGGGTAGCTTTCAGAACTCCCACTTCGATATGAACACGCCTATCTTGACAGTAACGCACACTTCCATCTGAACACGCCTACTTCGATGGATGCTCCACACAACAGTTGACATTATCCAATTCCTTGCGCTGTTTCTACTCAATCTCGATCACAAATAACGTACAACGTATTCACTCGACTGCTAAAGACAAACACAAGAGCGACCACGACCGTGAACTTAATACAGCTCTCACGATCAGCACTCCAAAGTAGGGCGATCTTAATAGAGCTCTCCCGACTTCTCACAAAAACAGCAATGGCTCAACTAGTGGTATCCATTCATCGAATTCTACCGCAGCTATAATTCTGGTGGGGGAGTACTGTAGCGTGTCTACCACTGCAAAAATTACTACATATTTCAATTCTCTAGTATATAAAACATGCTAACTCGATTTTATGAAGGGGTACCTTTTCATAGAGGAAGGTTCACATTGCCGAAAACAACTCCCCCCCCACACACACACACATATACATTAATATTAGATGTATATATTATAAGTTTACATTTTAGGCTTTTTAAAAATATTGTTGGTAGGTACAATAACAAATTATAGAGTAAAAAATCTTTAAAAGAAAAACAATTAAAATTGCCATCGCTTTGGGGAAAATTTTTACAACAATGCTTGCATCAAGAATAAAAAATTATAAATTTAAAATGCTTCTAATTAGTAATGGAAATTTTTTAAAAATACAGTACAGAACCCGTTATCCGGAAATCAGAAAACCAAACAACCGGAACGAAATTCGATAAATTTTCCCGCCATTTTTTTTTAAAAAAAATTCTCCTCATAAGATTTTAGGATTTTTCTTTCTTTTTTGAAAGATGTTTACCATACCATCATTTTAGAAATAATCATTACTGTATTACTTCATCGTTTTTTCTTCTTTTTAAGATTATTTCCTAATATTTTTTTTTAGTTGGGTTTAACAATAAAAAAAACTGCTTTTTGTAGCGATTCAGAAAACCGGAAAAATCAGTTATCCGGAATAGCGATGGTCCCGATCGCTCCGGATAATCGGTTCCCTACTGTATCTTTACCTTTCTTCCATCGCCCCCTCAATGTATGTAGTATATTCAATAAAGGTTTGAAAAACAAATAAAACATTAATTTAATTACATACTAACTGAACAATGTTAAAATAATAGTTTCTTTTCTACAAGCTATTTTGAATAGTTGGACACATTTTTAAAATAAGCCAAAAATAATAAATAAATGATAAAAATAATAAATATTATCAATATCTGCCTCTTTTAATTAGTTAAAATATTTATATAAACTTTTCTTTTGCAATTTTCAGTTCAATTTTCTTTCTTGCAATTTTCAAACATTTAACTGCAAAATAAATAAATAAATTTTATTTTAATCTCTATCATCAGTTTTAAATACTTCAAAAGAGGACACTATAATATTAGAGTAACCTTTCATGACCAAGTTCCCAGCAAGTATGAAACAAAACTACATTTTTCATACATTTTGCTACAGAAAAAACAGCATTTTTAGAATTTTTGAATTTGAAAAAAATAATAAAAATAAATGTATTTAAATCAAAAGATTTACACATGAAATCACTAACTTGAGACAAAACATTGTTAGATAGTTAGTGAACATTTTTGTTAATTAATTTAATGAAATTTTTGGGAAAAAAATCAGGCAACAAACATTTTGATTGAAACAAGAAAAAAATGCTCATAATTTTATTTACGTAACACAAAGGAATTACTCAAATAACAGAATGTGGAGGGTATAAAAAAGACCTTAAAAATGAGTGACAAAATATAACATGTAAATAAGCAGAAATAAAATCAGTTTTGTACACTGTTAAACAAAAAAATGCCAATGGTAAAAACTTTTTTAAAAAAAAAGTTACAAAGAAAAGTTACAAACAAAGAAAATGTGGGCATAATTAAATTATTTTATGACTAAATTACCCAACTGCTACTATTCATTTTCTCTCATTTCGCATAGTGAGTAGTTTACAAAACAAAACTTAATTTACCCATCTTCAACTAAAAATGCCAAAAGTAAAATATTTAAATACAAATAAGTTGCCACAAAAAATATTATTGATCGTTAATAATATATTTTATTATCAATTCACCTTACAACCAGCATTAATTGTCTTCTAAAAATATTGCATTTCATATGTCTGTGAATTGTTCATAAAACATGACTAATTTAAAAAGCATTGACCCAAAACATGATTTTTTTTTAACAAAATATTTATATTACGTGCAACTCCTGCGCCTTGACTTTAAACAATTTTTAAAATATAATTCATTTTTTAGAGATTCTATTTTCAGATCTTTTGTACGATTTGACATTTTAAGTGAAAATTTAAAAAAAATAACAAAATTATTGACTTTTGTTTGAAAAAAAAAACTATATTGTGATCGGTATTTTTGAAACTGACAGAACATTATATTTGCTGATACAGTAGACTATATAACACAATTCTATAAACCGCTAATTTCCATAAACCTAACGATCTCCAAAGCAAATTGAAATCGATAGTTTGGTTGGATTTTATCACTAATGCGTTTGATAATTTAAATTTTTTTAGTAAATAATACTTATGACATGATGCATCTGTTCCAGAAATTTTTTGCCATATTTAGTAGGTAAGTTTAATGATATGTGAAATGATCTATATAACATAAAATTCTAACAACACAAAACCTGACGTTTCAGGGCTTGGATTATAAAGATCTTTTACTCTTCGGTGTAATAGTTTTACATCCATCCCTAAAGGCTTAGAAAAGTTAATGCCTTTAGCTGGTTAGAGGGTTGGATTAAGGTATGAATGGACCCCCGAGACTAATGTGTAACTTGGAAATCAACCTATACCAAATTATCTAAAACTGATATAACACAGATATATGATTTATCAGTAGCAATTAAACTTTAGAATGTATGTGGTAATATATGTTTAAAATTACTTATATAATAAATGCAGCTATAATTTTATACATAAATTTAGCCAGTTTTGCTCGACTTTTGCTTTCCATGCTAGTAGCTACTATCTATAAAATAAATAGTAGATACTAGTTTACGAGACGAAGGTGTATCAATTGCTATTTTAATTATATCTAGGGTTTATGATTTTAAAACATGTTTTGTGTTGTTTAAGTATTTCAAAAGATGATCTTCTACTTAGCAAATTTTCCATATAATGAACTTATTATCGGGATTTAGTGACTTCATTAAATAGAGGTGCGACTGTATATTTAGAAATATTGAAAGTTTTCATAAAATTCAAAATACAAAATTTAAACAGATAACATACAAATTTTAAAACTTGAAAATTATGACTTAAAAGAAGATAATGGTTAAAATTTGGTTGAAGGTCAGAAGGAAATAGCATGACCAAATATAATTTTTTTCTTTTTGCTTCCTGGATTTTATACTTAAAGATTGCACACAATTTTTAACGATTCTGAAGGAAGATCGCAAAACATTACCCTTTGCAAATATCTAATAATCTTTTAGGAAAATACAAAGCATAATTATACATTCTTAAACTTTAGAGGTCCCTTTTAATGTGCCCTAAAAAATTTGAAAACCTAGGGCTACAGCCTCAGCAGCACCTTCTTAGCCTGGCTGGTTGTTTAACCATCTGTGAAATTTTAACATTTGTTGTTTTCATATTGAATTATATTTTGACACTTAATTTAAATTATGAATAATAATTGAATTGTTCATCTCACATGTGATTTAACTTGAGTAAATAGCATTCAGTACATGTGCCTCCTTTAAATGAAAATAAAATATCAGTCTAACTTGCATTGCAAAAATGATGTTTTAAAAATTAATTTTAAATGCATAAAAAAAAGCATAAATTAAGCTTTTCCACTTTTTAATTTACACCAAGGGAATTAAAAAAAAATTTCCACAACCAGTCAATCATTTAAGATCAAAATTAACAATGTAGTTTTTTTCATCTACTTTTATTTATTGGCTTTTTTAGAAACGTAGTGGGCAAGCCGACTCAAAAACCTATAAATCTTAGCTACAATGTCTTCCTCGCCTTTTATGGCAGCTTTCAAGGAAGACCTAGTCATCCTCCTGGAGAAGAACTGATCGCGAAATGAAATCACATTCTCGCGCCATTTCAGGGATACTTTGATAAAATAGGACAGCAAATTCCAGTCTCTGTGCCTGGCTAAGCCTATGCAAATATTCCGACCCGAGATGTGCAGGATCGCTTTCATCCTTCTTTTGGAGGACACATTCTTGAAGATAAGGCCGAGCGTCTCCCGATCCCTGATTCTGAAGAACGGCGGCAGAAGACGTTGCAAAGTATAATGCCTCACAAAAGATTTCCGATACGAGACGGGGCAGTTTTTCCAAAGTTCTCTGAACAATTCCGAGTAGTCACAGTCCTTGTAGCCGTGATTTATTTTATGAATAATATACTTCGCTATGTGCTCGAAATCGGTAGGAGCGACCACTTCCCAAATAGGCTTAGAGAATTCAGAAAACGAGCTTTGGTGCGGCCAGTCTAATAAGAATCGCAGAGAAACGAGACATCGCCCGTTTTCTATGAGGTCTTTTGGCCTTTCTTCGGGCCCACGCGAGAGCAAGAAGCAGGCGATGTCCGAGTTGTACGATATCCTCTTGAAGCAGCAGGGAGATATCATTTCATCGAAGGAGCTGAACGACAATATTCTCATGGCAAGAGAAAAATATAACTTTTTTATTTCACTTCTCATCTTCGTCCAGAAGTATTCAACGGCAGCTTTATTGCCCGATTCGACAGCTATAATGAATTCAAAATCGTTTTCCATTGATTTCTCCTCCTCATTCAACACCCCTCTCACGGTGCAAGTCCAATACCGGATCAAAGTCCTGATGAGTTCTTCTCGACCGAGACGGCAGTACTTGTATTCCGTATAAAGTTTCTTTTCAGCCTTGGTCAACTTTCTCCAGATGTGTGGAATGTCTTCCTCCAGACAGTTCATACACGCCATGTCGTAACGCATGCAGATATCGAGTCTTTCATCGTAAACAACTTTTCTGGAAGTCTTTTTCACATTGACTGTTCCGTAAGGCGTCCAACAGAGGTGGGTGATGGAAGCTCTCAGGAATTCTCTGTTAGACGTGATTTTGGAAAGCTGATTTTCCTTCCACTTCATTATTTCCATACCAATGAGTCGGATGAAACAAACCAATTTCTTATGCAAGACTGCTGGTATACCGAGCGTGGATGCTTTCACCAAAATCCTATTTTCCATGCGCTGCCATTCTTTATGTTTACCTTGGCAAGTCTTAGATTTAAAGTGAAAATCTGTCAACAATGAAGCATCATTGTTGTTCTCCCATAACAAAACGCCCACTTTTACTAATGACTGACACTTCAGTGACGGTATTAGGTTGGAATTCATGAAGCAAGGCATGATTTTTATCAATAGGCAGGTATATCAAAAAATATGAAACATGACTCCCAATAGAATAACTTTCAATAACATCCTGTCAACACCCAACTTTTAATATTCTTGAAAAACCTGAAAAAAAGCAAAAATCAATCAGATCTAAAAACAGAAAAAAAAGACATTCAGCTAGAATATTATATTTACCTAACAATGTAACTTTTTGTAACACAGAATCAGAAAACTTAATACAAAAAAAAATTAGGATGATACATATGATACTAATTTATATGACATACATTTTGAGAACTAGGCTACAAGCAAAAACTTTTTTAAACGAAGTTGCCTAAACTCAGCTAACAATTATTGAAGAATAGCCTAACACTTAATGAAGAAGAAGCACCTAACAACTATTGAAGAAGAATCACCTAACAACTATTGAGGAAGAATCACCGAACAACTATTGAAGAAGAATCACCTAACAACTATTGAAGAAGAATCACCTCACACTTATTGAAGAAGAATCACCAAACAATTATTGAAGAAGAATCACCTAACAACTATTGATGAAGAATCACAACACTTATTAAAGAAGAATCACCTGATAATTTTTGAAGAAGAATGACCTAACAACTGTAGAAGAAAAATGACCTAACAACTATTGAAGAACCATCTAACAATTATTGAAGAAGAATCAACTGACAACTACTGAAGAAGAATCACTAATCACAGAAGTAAAAATATTTAACCTATCAATTGCTACTGCAGAAAAATGCTTGTGATGCCTAGATTGATAAGTATAGTGTTATAGCACAAAAAAAATGTAGTACCTATTATCACAAAAAAATAAGCATCACTGGCATCGATAATAGTTGGGCAATTTTTTTATGGTTATTTTTCATTTTTACAAATAATGAAAGTTTTTTTTACTGAAAACACTTATCAGCAGATATATTTTATCACCATCAAATTATTGTACAATTTATATCAGGGTGCGTAGCCAAATCTTTCAACAAATAATTAGCACCCTTTAAGCATTCAAAAAATATTTTTAAGCACCATATACATTAACAAAATGCAAAAAAATTTTCAAAGACTTTACATGATCATGATAAAAATAACTAGTTTCTGACAAGGAACTTTTTTCTTAATTATATTAGCCATTATAAAATGATCGAGAGATTTTTCGGTTCAATATCAGAGGGTGGAAAATGAAGCCTGAAATTGCTAGCAAACTGCAGCAGAGTTGCACATGAGAGTACAATAATCTCACCGAACTCAGCTCAGTATATATGCACATATGGACTCGCAAGTATTTATCAAAAATGTAAAATGATTGGCGCTTTCATGCGCTATGGACCGACGGTAAATGAGTCGTGGTTGAATGAATTGTCAAAAAGTTTAATAGGACAATGTGAAAAGCACTCTTTTGCATAATACATGACGAAAATCGACATGGTAAAGAAAAAAAATCTCATTTTCAAAAAAGGGAAAATTAATCACTTCGTAAAAACGCTCAATGAAAAAAGCACCTTTAAGGGCTTTTAAAAAACAAAAATAAGCACCTTTAAAAAACGCTACACACCCTGTATATTGTTACAGAAAAATAAGGTATACAAAGATTTCAAGTCAGATTTTAAATTTTCTTTTCTTTATAATAAAAGAAAAACTTGAAATCATGAAGACACCCGTAAATATAATCACTCAAATTTAAAGTTCATATTTAAAATTAAATTATACAGAGCAGAATGATTTAACTTACTTTTTTTTTCTTTTAGAAATAATTGATGTAAGTTAGAAAAATATCTTTACTAATAAATTAATAATAAGAGTATAAGAAGTATATTGTACATGTAATAAATTATAAATAACCTAAGAGTATATTTATAATTTATTACATCTAATTTTTTTTCAAAAATGGATTTTATGGATATTGAAGCTTTAATCTGGAGAAATAATATTAACAGAATGTTTATGTAAATTGACATTTGATGTTTGGAATAGACAAAAAAAATAATAAAATGACTAGATGTGGACAAAAGTAATGTAAAACTTTTCAGTCTTAAAACTTGAAATAAGAAGCATGAAATAAGAATTTGCTGTTTAAAAAACATATTTAAATTATACATATTTAATTTTATGTTTAGTTAGATATTGATACTTTTAGAAATTGTTTAATTTTCAATTTTGCATATGATAAATGATGAAAGATTTTTTTTTCGGTTAAAAGTTATTATAATTGATTTTTTTTTTATGTTTCCAGATTAAAATAAAATTAATTTATCCTTTATTTGACATCGAACTGACAATTTTGTCTTTACAAACTCAGGAGAGTGATCAGTGTCTTAAGCACAATAATTTGATTTTGGTTTTTGATTTTAGTTTTTAAGTTATTGGTTTATAATAATACAAGGTGCGCAGTCAATCTTTCAACAAAATAAAGTGCCTTTTAAGTAGGTACTTCAAAAATATTTTCAAGCACTATATATATTAACAAAATGCAAAATAATTTTTAAATACTTTACATGATCACGATAAAAGAACAAGATTCCGGCGAAGAACTCTTTTCTTGATTATATTAGCTAGCATAAAAATATCTAGAGATTTTTCGGTTCGATTTCAGAGAGTGGAAAATGAAGTCTGAAAGTGAGAATATTTTGTGCAAAATTCAGCAAAGTTGCAGGAGAATCTCACCAAACCCAGCTCAGTAGACGCACCTGCGGACTCCAAAGTAATTAATCAAACATGCAACATGATTGGCACTATCATACCTTACGGACTAATAGTATGCCGCCCGAAACAGATTGTGTTGAATGAATTGTGAAAATATTGACTAGAACAATGTGAAAACCATGATTTTGCACAATACGCAGCGAAAATCAACACGGTAAAGAAAATAAATCTCATTTTCGAAAAGGGAAAAATAAGCACTTTTTAAAAACACCTTTAAGGGCTTCTAAAAATTAAAAGTAAGCAACTTTAAACACTTTTTAAAAACTCTATGCACCATGTTCACATTGTTCCTTATTGTTCTCCATTTATTAGCTTCTCTTAATTATTTATCTATTTAAAATTTCTGAACAAATTTAACTACAAGAGTGTATTAAAAGCCTTTTACAGCATAATGAAATTTCTATAAATTGCCGAGTCTACTTTCTTTTTCTAACATCTTCAATAATATTTTCACGAAAGTAAGGAAACAATTCCTTGGTAAAATATGAGTAATGCTGGTAATAATGGGATAACATGGTTTTACATAAGTTTTTGAACTTTAAACAATTTATTTAAAACTTGCTCGTTAAATCTGGGCTCGTAATAGCAAAATTCAAATGCATTCGGTTATCATTATTACGAGCTTAGACTTAAGAGATCAGTACGTAATAATAATACATATTTTATGTTGAAATAAAGTTTTTTTAAAAAATGGTATTATTCACCTGACATTTACTTCTTATTTGCTTTAAACTCAATTATACCACCTTAATTTTTCAGAAGACAGAATCGTGTTTAAATGCTATACACATAACTACATTAACAATTAGAATATTTAATGCACGCACTATATTAAATGTCACCACTTTCTGTAAAAACAAACTTATAACAAATTAATGCTTATAAAAATGTTTAAAAAAAATTTCAGTAACTAAGGTTAGTAACGAAGTTAGAACGTAATTTAAGTATACGGCGAAGCGAATTCATATGATGCATTTCATAAAATTTTTCATCTCAATCATTTTAACTATCTAAATTTCTAAATAATGACACAAAATAATATATTCTTACTGCTTAAATAGTCACAGAAAATATAAATCTTTAGATTACAATAGTTTCTCATTTAAAGTACAAATAAACATTAACAACAACATACGGCGTCAAAAATTTGATATGGACGCTTCCGGTTACTTCTTTCTAGGACTTGGGTTCTCTAGTCTTAAAATCCAAAGAATTTAGTTTTTTTAATGACCTTGACAGGGTTGAGGCAACTGAGTTAGAAAACCAGCTAATGGTTTAGTGCATTGTTTCACAACGGGGGTGATGAGAATATGCTGAGGGATGGTGAACTTGTTTTGGGTGGTAGGAGGCCGATGAGCATGTCTTGTCATTCAAATTTAATTTTAAAACTTACAAATAAAATTGGTTCCGCAGTAGACTGATCATTAAGACACGGTTCCCAGAAGATCACCGATGTCTATCATCACAGGACAGCGGTCAGTGGGCAGATGGGTGACCCCTTGAATCAGTCTGCGTAGGGACCGAGGGTGTGCGGTATTGCTCCTCAATGAAATGTTCCACCGTAAAGTACTCGACTTCACGTGTAGGTCGGTGGGCTACCGAAGCGGAGGTGACATCCCTTCCTCAGAGGATCAAAATTGTAATGGCATGTCTTCGGATCATCCTCAGGGATATTTCCCGGACCATCGCCAATAGCCCTGTGGGGGGCGGAGTCAATCGACCATGCCAACCGTCATCTATCAAAAGGTACCTCGACATAGAGTCGAGTTAAGATGTCTTATATACTAGTGAATTGTAGTTGTAATTTTGTAGTGGTATATACGCTACAGCACTTCCCCACTAGAATTATATCTGTGATAGAATTCGATGAATGAATACCACTAGTTGATTCATTACTGTTTTGTGAGAAGCCGGGAGAGGTGTATTAACTTCACGGTCGTATTCACGGATGAATGTGAGAGGTATATTAACTTCACGGTCGTATTCGCTCCTCTGTTGCCGTTAGCAGTCGAGAAATTACAAGTATGCAAGCCGACGTTGTGCGTGATCGAGACGAAACTGAGTAGCAACAGTGCGAGGAGGTGGATAAAGTCGCAGTCACAAGTAGCAAGTCAACTGTTCAATGTGGATCATCCATCGAAGTAGGCGTGTTCATATCGAAGTGGGCGTTACTGCCAAGATAGGCGTGTTCACATCACGTCCGAAGGTCACCAATGTGGGGAGAGGAGTATTCGACCATGTCAACCGTCATCTATGAAAAGGTACCCCGACATAGAGTCAAGTTAACATGTCTTATATACCAGTGAAGTGATGTTTAATATTCGTAGTGGTAGTTACGCCACAGTACTCCCCCACCAGAATTTTATCAGAGATATAATTCGATGAGCAGATCTCACTAGTTGCTGTACTTGTGAAAGACCGGGAGAGAGTCACCGGATAGATATCCTTTGCCCCATTTACAAGACTCTTCCAGTCAATTACACGGTAAAGTTATTTTTTCGAAAGTAGATTTAGTTCGCGCATATCACCAGATACCAGTACACCCAGACGATATTTCCAAAACTGCAATAACTACTCTCCCCACAGCCCATTGTGCAATTCTAGTGCGACGTAAATGAACAACAACAACAAAATTATTAAATTAAAATTCATTTAATAAATAAAATTAATCTAAAATTAATATTAAAGAAAAAAGATTAAATTAATATAATAAATTAAGATTATACGATACACCGCTTGTACCACCAATAAAACGAACTTATACGACACTTATTCTCCGATCCGAACCAACGCAGCGCAGAGCAGGAGTTTTTGCCTCTGATTCATTCAAGTTATTACGCGAATGGCTCTGACTCATTCAAGCCATTTGGGGGAAATTAAAGTGCATGCGCTTTTGGTATGAATGTTTGATTCGACCACTGTTTCTTATGATGGTTTTCATTAGCTTCCTTACAGTTTTTTTTCCCAGTTTTGATTCGATCGCATTGTTTATTTTTCCAGGTATGTGCATGAATTAGTTATTTACCATAAATTATTTCTTAATTTGAAGAAATAGTTTATTTTCTTTCATCATTTGTATTTTGCTGCCACCAACGATGTTGGTTAACAAAAAGAAGTGTCATCAATACCATGCCACGTGCTTGAAGTTTGGATTTATTCAATTGCTGTTGAACTCTCGACTGCCCATGTGTTCACTTTGTAACGACGTTGTATCTAATGAGACAATGAAATCTTCCCGTTAGCAGCAGCATTTGCAAAACACTCATCCTGACAAACAAAATGAAGTTTTGTCATTTTTTACGAATATCAAAGACAAGTTTCTGAGGGCACCTTCGTTCTCAGGGTCAACCTCATCACAAAAATACGACGATGGTTTGATAGCTTCTTATAATAATCAAAATTTATTGCTAAATCTGGGAAAGCTCTTACCATCGGCGAAGAGTTGTTACTGCCGGTTGTCAAGGAAGTTTTAGAAACAGTTCTACACCATCCAGCCACATCCAAGGTAATCAAAAATATCCCATTTAGCAACGATACAATGCGGCGACGAAATGATGAGATGTCTGAAGACGTTGAAGATTCTTTATGCCAACTTTTGATATCCAACGAATTTTCTCTTCAATTTGATGAATCAACCTTGTCATGTAATGTAGACTTTACCGTCGGCGTAGATTCGGTTTGTAAAGGTAGGAAAAATCATTCAAAAGATGCTTTTTGCAAGAAGCTTCAATGTAGATACCAAATATAAATCTATTTTTAATACAGCCAAAGATTATTTTACAGAGAAAAACATTCCTCTTGCGAATATTATGTCGATTGCCACTGATGGAGCTCCTGCAATGGTGGATCGACATCGTGGGTTTATCTCTCTTTGAAAAGAGAAATACCAGATATTTCAGCTGTTCACTGCGTGATTCACAGACAGCATTTAGTAGGAAAAAATCTCAGCGATCGTTTACATCAGTCATTGCAATATGTCACATCTGCTTTGAACAAAATTCATAGTAATAATGCACTCAACGATTGATTATTCAAACTACTGTGTATGATGAAGAATTCAATAGCTATCTACACACCGAGATTCTCTGGCTTACCGAAGGCGTCTGTCTCGATAGGTTTTGGAATCGTTTCGACTCTGTGCTTGAGTTTCTCGAAAACAGAGACGTAGCTCTGAGAGACAGATTGCTAGAATTTAAGAAAGACTTTGGAGGATTTATTTATAAATTTAATGCCATTTATTTACAACTCCAAGGCGATGAGCTCAATTTGACTCCAACAAAATCAGTTATTTCTGCTTTTCTAAGAAAACTAATTTTGTGGTAGCAGAATTTTGGTTGGAACGAGTTCAGCCAAGCAGGCGAAATTCGCTCTGATGATGCCCAAGAATATTGTTAACACCTTGACTCTTTTCACATGGACTTTTCTGACTGTTTTAAAGATGTTTTGTTTCCTGGAAGTCCTCAGAAGTTATTGGGTTATGAATCCTTTTGTTAATATTGAAACAGCAAAGGTTCAGATTTATGAGGAATCGGTCGAACTTTCAACTAACGAAGCTTTGAAATGTTGATCTCACAGAATTTTGGATTCAAGGTAGCAACATTCGCCTCTACCTTGGACTGTAGTGTAGACTATCGTTAAAAATTTTTTAAAGGCCTTCCCTTCCTCCTACCTTGTCGAACGTGGATATATAGTGCTGTTACAGGTCTTGTCACAAAAAAAAGAGAAATCGACCCGAAATTGTGCAACGAGGGGACTTGCGTCTTCACCTCACAAAAAGTATTAAACCGAACGTTAAAAAAACTGGCTCTGCATCATTGAGTACAATCATCCCACTGACATAGTTACTTGAATGTTTCGCTGATACTACTTTTTAGTGTAAAAAAATAACTTTGGGTGTTTTTTTAATTATCTATTTGCTTAATTGTCTAATAAATTATTCCTTTTAAGAATAGGTCTCTTTGTTTGTTTGTTTTTTTTATTACCGTTTTTATTTTAATTATAACAAATAGACTACGATTACCTGCCGTGAGAAAAGTATCGAGTTAATGTACATATTATTTTTTATTTAAAAAAAGCCAAAATAAATTGCTTATTGTTGCCTCTTATAATTCAGCACACCTCTCTCAATCCCCATGCTCTAAATAACTTGATTTTCACAAAGGGGGTGTTGAAATGCTTTTCGCTAGGGAGAGGCAACATCAAAGAGTTTGAGAATCAATAGGTTAGTGGATATTGTGGAGATTGTAGATATCTACAATGTCAACCTTCATCTATGAAAAGGTACCCTACCATAAAATCGAGTTAACATGTATTATATACTAGGGATTTGGAATTGTATTTTTGTAGTGGTTGACTCACACACACCGCGAACACGCCCGGCGGAAACGCCCACTTTGATTAATGGTTCACATTGAACAGTTGACTTGCTACTTGTGACCGCGACATTGACCTCCTCACGCTGTTGCTTCTCAGTCTAGATCACACTCAACGTATACACTCGACTGCTGAAGACAACACCAACACAGGAGCGACCACGACCGTGAACTTAATACAGCTCTCACGATCATCAGCATGCATTATATACTAGGGATTTGGAATTGTATTTTTGTAGTGGTTGACTCACACACACCGCGAACACGCCTACCTTGGCGGAAACGCCCACCACGATTTGAACACGCCTACTTTGATGAATGGTTCACATTGAACAGTTGACTTGCTACTTGTGACCGCGACATTGACCTCCTCACGCTGTTGCTTCTCAGTCTCGATCACACTCAACGTATAAACTCGACTGCTGAAGACAACACAGGAGTGACCACGACCGTGAACTTAATACAGCTCTCACGATCATCAGCACTCAAAAAGTAAGGTGATCTTAATACAGCTCTCCCGTCTTCTCACAAAACAGCAATGAATCAACTAGTGGTATCCTATTCATTGAATTCTATCACAGATAAAATTCTGGAGGAAGAGTATAGTATATATATCTACCACTACAATAATATAATTCCAATTTACTAGTATATAAGACTTGTTAACTCGATTCCATGGCGGGGTACCTTTTCATAGATGAAGGTTGACTTTGAAGAACTCTACTCACCCCACACATGTAATCACACGTATCAAGCTTTGTTTAATTTCTTTTAAATGTTCTTTTGATTTCAGTTACGGAAACTATTCTAGATGAAGTTCTTGCATAGTCGTAACTTTGGGAAATATTTTTGATGGGGCAGGTAGCACATTATTTACTTTTTCTTCGCCTACTAGTGTTTGTGTTGCAAGCATTACTAAATAGTAGGCATTCAAGTTTTGTGGGCTCTCCCACTTATGATGTTTAATCGCATAAGGTAAGTTTATTCTTTTTTATTTAAATGTGTCATTAGTTATTTTTGAAGTTGCAAGTCAAGTTTGGGTTTCTAAATTTTACTTGGTTATACTTATAAAGTAGTTTAAGTTTAAAGTAGTTTAGTTTTGTAGCAATTCAAAGAGTGTCAATAAAAACTGCTTTTGCTTAAACGCGCATTGTGTTCAGAATTTTAATAAAATAAAGTAAATAAATAATACTTAATTTTAGAATCCATGGAAAGCATTTTAGATAAGCTATCTATATACTAAGCAATCTAATACTATAAAATTCATTAAACTTTTAAATAATCTAATACTATATAATGTATGTTGAAAGTTAAAAAAAATTTTCAAATTTTAGTAATCTGCAATTTATAATAAAAATATTTTTTTCAAAAATTTAAAATAGAAAATTTATACTTATTTCTTACTTTCAAATTTATGCTTTTTTATCGTAGGGAAACTTTTTTATCGTTGGGAAACTTTTTTATTGCGCTTTTTATCGTATCGTTGTATATAATTATAAAATACACAATGCTTGGAAAAAATGATTACAAAATGATTGCTTAGAAAAAATGATTACAAAATGATTGCTTGGAAAAAATTATTATAAAATGATTGCTTGGAAAAAATCAATGATTGCTTAGAAAATTTATTTTTAAAATTGATTGCTTAGAAAAAATGATTACAAAATGATTGCTTAGAAAATATAATTAGAAAATGATTGCGTAGAAAAAATGATTACAAAATAATTGCTATTACAAAATGATTGCTTAGAAAAAATTATGAGAAAATGATTGCTTAGAAAAAAATTTTCAAAATTGATTGCGTTGAAAAAACTATTACAAAATGATTGTTTAGAAAAAATTATTATAAAATGATTGCTTCGAAAAATTATTACAAAATGATTGCTCAGAAAAATTATTACAAAATGATTGCTTAGAAAAAATGATTACCAAAAAATGATTACTTAAAAAACTTATTATTTAAAAAAATTATTACTTAAAAAATAATTACTTAAAAAATTATTGCTTAGAAAAAATGATTACATAATGATTGCTTAGAAAAAATGATTACAAAATGATTGATTAGAAAAAAAGACTACAACATGATTGCTTATAAACATTTATTACGAAATGATTGCTTAGAAAAAATGATTACAAAATGATTACTTAGAAAAATTTATTACGAAATGATTGCTTAGAAAAAAAGATTACCAAAAAATGATTACTTAAAAAAATTATTACTTAAAAAATAATTACTTAAAAAATTATTGCTTAGAAAAAATGATTACATAATGATTGCTTAGAAAAAATGATTACAAAATGATTGATTAGAAAAAAAGACTACAACATGATTGCTTAGAAACATTTATTACAAAATGATTGCTTAGAAAAAATGATTACAAAATGATTGTATAGAAAAAAAGACTACAACATGATTGCTTAAAAAAATTCATTACAAAATGATTGCTTAGAAAAAATTATTACAAAATGTTTGCTTAGAAAAAATGATTACGTATAGCTTGATTACGTAAGAGATGATTACCTTAAAAATGATTACGTAACAATGATTACGTATATAATGATTACGTATAAAGTGATTACGTATAAAATGATTACGTAAGAAATTATTTCTTTAAAATTGATTTCGCAAAAAAGATTACTTAAAATGATTACTTGAAAAAACGATTTCTTAAAAAATGATTACTTAGAAAAAATAATTGCATAGAGAAAATGATTACAAAATAATCGCAATTACAAAATGATTGCTAAGAATAAATTATTACAAAATGATTGTTTAGAAAAATGATTACAAAATGATTGCTCAGAAAAAATGATTACAAAATGATTGCCTAGAAAAAATGATTACCTAAAAATGATTACTTAAAAAAATTATTGCTTAAAAAATAATTACCTCAAAAAATTATTGCAAAATGATTGCTTAGAAAAAATGATTACAAAATGATTGATTAGAAAAAAAAGACTACAACATGATTGCTTAGAAAAATTTACTACAAAATGATTGCTTAGAAAAAATGATTGCAAAATGATTGCGTAGAAAAATGATTACGTATAAAATTGATTAAGTAAGAGATGATTACTTTAAAATGATTACTTGAAAATTGATTGCGCAAAAAAGATTACTTAAAATGATTACTTGAAAGAATTATTTCTTAAAAAATGATTACTTAGAAAAAATGATTGCAACATAATTGCGTAGAAAAATTCATTACAAAATGATAGCTTAGAACAGGGTTTCTTAACCTGTGGTTCATGAACCCCTAAGGGGTCCATGAGTCATATTTTGGGGGTCCGCTAACTACTCCTAATTTTTAAAACGTTTGGAGGCCTACCCATTGCTTGTAAAGAGATCTATGGCAGCTATAATTCCGTTTGCTACGGTGTATCGTTGCAAAGCGGGATTTTCCACACTCATGACAATAAAAACAAAACATCGAAATCGATTGAATGTTGAACATGATATGCGCGTTGCTTTGTCGAAAACTATCTCCCAATTCAATTTGTTAATTAAGGAAAAGCAGCAGCAACCTTAACATGAAAAATTTTAATTATAAAAATTTTTTATTCTATTAAAATAATAAAATTAAGTGTTTTCTAATTATGGATGTCTTTTTGCAATTATTTTTTTCACAGGGGGGTGGTCCGTGACCTCTTAAAAAATTTTAAAAGGGGTCCATTATACCAAAAAGGTTAAGAAACACTGGCTTAGAAGAAATGATTACAAAATGATTGCTTGGAAAAAATGATTACGACCAAAATTGATTACGTAAGAAATGATTACCTTAAAAAATGCTTACGTAAAAAAGGATTAAGTAAAAATGATTACTTAAAAAATGATTACATAAAAAATGAATACGTAAAAAATGATTACGTAATAATGATTACTTAAAAATTTATTTCTCAAAAATGATTACTTAAAAATTATTATTTGAAAAAATTATAACTTAAAAAATGATTACTCTGAAAAAAGTATTACTTTAAAAAAATTATTATTTCTGGTATCCAAAAAATTGGATTTCGAAGAAATAATTTACTGTGCATCGAGCAGTAACAATTATTTAATGAATTTTCCTTTCAGAAATTAGGCATTAAAATAAGGTATTCAAATATATTTTGTAATCAAATTAATATTGTAATCATTATTTTAAGTAATCATTTTGTCATCATATTTTCTAAGCAATCATTTTGTAATCATTTAACATTTTATTTAAACTTACATGTGATTTTTCCGAAAAAATTAATTTTCTATTTCGAAGAACATTTGACATAACAAGGTTTTGAGAAGAAAATCTTCGACATTGGAAATCAAATTAAATTAACATTAGGTGGATATGTAAGGCCAAGGGGAAAATATTTTTTTGACATAACAACGTTTTCGAGTTATAGAAGTTCGAGATATCGAGATTATACTGCACTTGTTTATGTCGCATACAACAATAATTACAACTACTCGAATTTTAAAAAAAAAAATGTATTTGAACTTGAATGGAAAAAGTATTTTTTTAACGATTGAAAATTTGAACAAGTTATAGGGAGATTGTGAACTAATAGTAGGAATTAAAAAAAAACATGCATTGATGACGCTATTTTATTTTTTGTAAAGAAGGTTTAACATTTTATTTCTCAAGATCTGTCCTTATGAAGACAATCATAGCTCATACCCGTTTTTCTTTTTCCTAAAGAAAAATATTTTCTGCATCTCAAAAAAGTCTATAATAGGCAGACGTCTCGCCGATGAGTAAGAGAAAGAGGAGGGATGACGGGTCACGTGACGTTATTGAGCGAATGGGCGTTGGCGGCTGTAGGGATGGAGTAGATTAGATGCTGCCGCAGCTGTTTTGTTGCAGATACTTTGGGTGCGTTCGCCGTGCTCTCAGCTCTCGTTCGTATAAAATCCTTTATTTTTAAAGTTTCGTCAAATTTTTAAACTAAAAATGAGAGAAATCGTTCACGTTCAGGCTGGACAATGCGGAAACCAGATTGGTGCTAAGGTAAATTAAACATTTAACATCTATAAAATATACATTGAAATATATTAATATATAAACATGTTTATTATGATAATACTATTACAATGTACATTTATTGTGTAATAAAATAACATATGCAATATATATTAGTACATGAAATTTGTATCTGTTTTTAATAAATTTATTTTCTTCACTTTTCTGAACTATTGCAAATTTGAAAAAAATACTAACCGTAATAAATATTAATATACCTTTTCTTCAGTAAATAAAATAAGCGTGGTTTTGTTTCCATTTTGATAATTCGCAAATAATACAGAAAAAAAAAAGAAAATTAAAGGGCGAGGTTTGAGGTTTTATTTCAATTTATTTATTTCTTAGTAGAAGTGTAGGAGAGTTAAATATATTGTTTTTCATTTTATGTAAATTTGATCGCATTTAATCTTGAACTAAAAAATTCTTGCCACTTTAAAAAAGCAAATTATTAACATAAATTTCTACTAGGCTAAGCATAATTTTTTTAAAAAAATCAAAGGTAAAATAAATATTCGGCTATTAATTCTTTTTAGAAATCAATTTTAAATAAACGACTTTTTAGAAACTTAATTACTCAGAAACTATTCCACCGATTGCACACAAATTTTGTATTTTGAGATTTAAAATTAAATTTTTTAAAATAATTTTTATATTCCGTATATCTTAATATTCGAATTTTTTTTTTACTATTATTAAATAAAATGATATAGAATAATAAAGATAAATTAAAAATCATATTTTGCAGGGATATCTTTGAATAAACAAATTTTATAATTGAGTTCAAAAATTTTTCGATTCGCTTAAAAAGTTTTCCAAATATAGTAAAATATGCAAAAAAATAAATAAATAAGTAAATAAATAAAAAAAGAAAGGAAGAAATTAACATACAGAGTTCGAAACTTTCCTACACCCTCCTGATTAAACTATTGGGACCATATTTCCCAGAACTCGGCAACTCTTCTCAACTCAACTCAATTCGCCGGAACTCAGAAATAACTCTTTTTTTGAGGGTCGCAAAACTCCGAATAAATCGAAAAAAAGCTATGTTTATTCATGGAAAGAACGTCTTTACATATGATTTCGTAATTTAAAATATCGTCTGTGATAACTATTTAGTCTATTTGAGATCAAGCCTTCGGACCATTAAGAATAAGTCCTAGTACGTGAAAATTCGATCATTGGATCAAAAAGTTATTCAAGGTGTTCCTTTTTTTTTGGCGCAAAGAACATTTATGTTCAAAACTATGAAATAAATGACTTCTGTCCCATTTTCATTGTGTTCTGTCCAACGCAAAATGTTAAGCAATTCCGTTTTCGATAATTCTAGGATTATTTTAATTAATATTTTAAATTGATAAATTCGATTCCAATTTCAGTCTTTCAGTCTTTATATCTTAAAAACGGCAGGAAAGTTCAGGAGCAAAACTCCTACTCCGAGAAAACTGCGTGACGTAAAAAAGAATTTTACGTAAAAAAAAAAAATAATAATAATAATAATAATAATAATCGAGAAATTCTATCTCAACATATCCGTTATTTGATGTAAAAAAGAATCTAGAAATTTTCGTAACCAAATTAAGCCAAATCTAACCAAACAAATTTTAGATTTCTTTGTCTATTGTCATTTGAAGTAACTAAATTTAAAAAAATTCGAAGTTATAAAAAAAATGGCGCTTACTTAAAAAAAAAAAAAGCAAAATTTAGAGAGGAAAAAAATAAAACGCTTCTAGACGTTTTGTATTTGAGATAAAAACGTCTACTTTATAGATATATGATTTAAATAGGAAAAATATATATTTAAATACAAAACAATAAAATGAACTTATTTACAATTTTATAAATAATTTAATCAGACTTTTCTTTTGTCAATAATTATGTCTTTTCATCAATTCTCAATGCAACGTTCCTCAAAAAACCGGAGTTTTGTAGTTTTAGTAAAAATTCAATATTTAATGACATAAAAATATTCCAAGCTGAGTAACTTACATTTCTAGTTAAGCATGGTAAGAACAATAAAAGTATTGTTTTAAAGGGTTATTAATTGAGTGATTAAATGGTTTAACCTTAATCATTTAACTCTTGAGATTTATTGATTTATTGACAGGCCCTTTCCCCCTTCTGTAGCAATAACTAAGATGAGTCATTGTTTCTATAGTAACTCAAGGATGACAATAAACGATATATTTTTTTGTATGGAAAAATTATGAGCTTTATGTACTGTATTAATAATTGAAAAAATGTTTCACGAACACTTACTGTTTATCAATCATTCATTTTAACATACATCGGTGCTTTTTGTATTTATTTTTAATCCGTGAACTACAGGCCTTTAAGAATCAGGGCTTTCAAATTTCTGGGTCCTTTTTTTCACTAAAAGCGGTTCCCTATTAAAATAATATAGGGGAGAGTCGGGTAGCCCCGCTCACTTAAGGAGTATTGCTTATATTTCTGTATAATACTGAGTAACAATCAACATTTTTGTATGTTTCTATTGTNTTCTATAGTAACTCAACGATGACAATCAACGATATATTTTTTTTTGTGAAACATTATTAGCTTTATGTACTGTATTAATAATTGAAAAAAATGTTTCACGAACACTTACTGTTTACCAATCATTCATTTTGACATGCATCGTTGCTTTTTGTGTATTTTTTTTTTAATCCGTGAACTACAGGCCTTTAAGAATCAAGGCTTTCAAATTTCTGGGTCCTTTTTTTACTAAAAGCGGTTCCCTATTAAAATAATATAAATCTTTTAGAACATTCTACATTTTCACACATTACGAAATTCTACGTGAAATGATATAAATTATCACTTTAAGAAATGTTTTGGAATTTAAAAAAAAAAAAAAAATCTAGAGAACAGATGCAGAACTAGTAGTTTCGTAGATTTTTTTAAATTTTTTTTTTAATAACACTAGTTGAACAGCAGACCCAATTTTGTGTTTACGACTACTAATGTTCAACTCCATAGTCTTGATATTTTGAACCCAATCCAGAAGACAAGGGAACTCCTGGATAAAGTATAGGAAGAAATTTGCCTTCGTGGAGGACTTTTTGCTAGAACTAACCCGCATTTGAGTTACACGGAGAGGAAAACCTCCCACGGTTAGCCTGACGGCAAAGCGACTCTAACCCATGATCCGTCTACCACTGAGGATATTTTACGTCACCACTGTGATCGGTGCAAGCCGGATGCAGTATTCGTATCGACAAGCCATCGCTGAGATTCGAACCCGGTTCACCTCATTGGAAGGCGAATGCTCTTTGCCCTTAGCCATTATGACTCTAGTTTCTATGGTTGAAAAAGAAATATAAAAAAAGATTATCTGTAATACTGGTTAGTTTATAAAGTTTATTCCTCTTTACCCATTTATTAATATCCGCATTTATGAGGATTCCATCTTTTGATAGACAAAACAAAGAAGTTTAAAGTTTTTAATTAGAACTTAATCGATCGCTGTCATCAAGTTGTCTAATGGGTACTCTGAATCATTTTTAATAAAAAAAAATTCTTTTTAAGGCTTGATTTAATTCTGCGTACTTAAATCTGTTGGCGTATTATTTTTTGTTATTTTTTTTAATCGATTCAGACGCAAGATGCGTCACAACTATTTTTTTTTCGCATCTCCACTATGGAAGCTATGTCATTTTGTGACCAACGGCATGATGAGGGCGGCATGGTGGTCAGTATTGCGCCCCGACCACCTTTATTTCCCAGATAAGCTCATATTCATTTTTATTTTATAACCGTCGTTGAACAACAGAGCCGATTTTGGGTTTACAACTACTAATGTTCAACTTCGCAGCCTTATAATTTTGAACCCAATCCAGAAGACAAGGGAACTCCTGGATCGAATAGTGGGAGAAAGTTTGCCTTCGTGGAGGACTTTTTGATGGAGCTAACCCGCATTTGCGTTACATGGAGAGGAAGACCACGAAAACCTCCCACGGTTAGCCCGGCTGCAATGAGACTCTAACCCATGATCCGTTTACCCCTGAGGATATTTTATGACTGCAATGTGGTCGGTGTGAGCCGGGAATTCGCGTCGACCAGCCATCTCTGGGATTCGAACCCGGTTTACCCGGACGCATTTTTTACAGTCAACACTTTTTTAAACACGAGTCCAGTTCTTCAAAGATGGAAAATATTTAAACAATTAAAAAAACTGTTATTATTAAATGTAAGGCATTTCTTTTAAAACATTGGTGACCTTTATTCTTGCCTTATACCTAACATAACATTATTATGAATTAGATTCTGAATTGAAACTGAAATAGTCATTCTTCTAAAATAAAAATAAAAAGTTTATATTTGAAAAAGAAAGAAACGTATAAAGGAAGGGAAAAAAAAAAAGAATTGAACATGAAGGTGAACTTCGGCAGACGATGCCAAAATCAGCGGAGCATTTCTGAGATATTTCGAAGGTTTTTGAACTGTGAAGATGAAATGCCAACGAACGAAATGCTTCTCTTGAAAATCTTCTTCCCTGCTGCTGTTTCATGTAGTGTTGGGAAGGATGCTTACAGTACTCGTTCTCTCTTTTCACATCACATCAAAAAAGAAAAGCGAATTGAAAAAGAAAAAAAAGAAATAATAATAATTAACGATCTTTTTTCAGTGTTTCAAAAATGAGTAAAAAAAATTCAATTATACTTATTGCATTTTGTTTTTGTTAACTTGGATCTCTTAATTAAATATATACGATTGAAAATCGAAATTTAAATTTTTTATTTAAAACTAGAATTAAATTCGAGCGTCAGTGTTCTTAATAGATTCATTTAATGCGTTGTAAAACGATTTAATTTGATTTCTTTTTATAAATATGTAACTGTGATGTAAATAATATGATAGATAAGCTGTAATGGTGGGATCTCTTGGATATTTTAATTAAATATATATTATTGAAAATCGAAATTTAAACTTTTAATTTAAAACTAGAATTAAATTCGAACGTCAGTGTTCTTAATAAATTCATTTAATGCGTTGTAAAACGATTTCATTTGATTTTTTTTTAATAAATATGTAACTGTGATGTAAATAATATGATAAGCTGTAATGGTGGCGTAAATTATAGTGCGAGTTTATTAACTTCTTTATTTTAAGTTCCATTTATCAGTTGTTATAAACTGTTCTCCGTTTGACGAAATAACAAATTATGTTATAAAAATGAAAACAAAACTTCTAGCATTAATCTATTTTTTTAACTATAAATAAACAAATTACAAGCCTTTTGTTTAGAAGAAGAAAAAAAAATTCAGTCATCTAAAGCAGGAATATTCAAACTAAAACCAGAGTACCAAAACCGAGTGGCAAGCTTCACCTACTTAACAGATGCGACGTCAGATATGGTTCACATCAGGTTTATTGAGATTGTAGTTTAAAATTTTAAAATGTTACATTTTATGAATAAGTTTACCAATGAAAGTTGGCAATAATCCGAAGACAAACAATAAGAATCTGCTGCAAGCTTAATGTGGTTCAAGCTTAAATCATACTATTGTACCTCTTAAACTTAATTATACTTACTTAATCAACTTGGATGGAAACTGGGTTAAATTAATGTGGTGGGAAATTATAATCTTATTAATGTTATTCTAAATTTGACCCGTTTTATGGTTCAAGGTAGGTTGCACTTTGAATAAATTTTACCGTAAAAGTATTCTATTAGATTAAATTTTTTTTTGTATCATATTTAACCATAATATCGTTCAAATTTGCTGCAACCTAAATAGGGTGCTAAGTTGAACCATAGCATCGTAAATCTTAACCTTACCTTACTTAGATTCAACTTGAAAGGAAATGCGGTTCAAAGTAATACCATATTTATGTTACAAAAAGTTTGAAACGTATTATGCTATGATTATTAAAAAAAAACATACTATCAGTTCAAGGTAGTGATAGTATGGTTCATTGCAAAGCCGATTTTTCTGTGAGTGTACTTAATACAAATCACAATCACAGTTTTATTTTAAAAATGAAATGATAGTTCTCAACTCAGGTTTTTTTCTTTTTTTCAGTTTTGGGAAGTAATATCGGATGAGCATGGAATCGATCCTACTGGCTCATACCACGGAGATTCAGACCTCCAATTGGAGAGAATCAACGTCTACTACAATGAAGCCTCAGGTGAATACACACTGTTCATATGTTGTTGTAGGCCATTAAGGCAAAGGGTACGATTGTTCTTACTTTCCTGTGGCGCCATCTTTTGCCAAAAATTCGACTTCTTCCATACGTCACACCCGTTTATAGGATGAACAGATCGTAATTTTGACCAGAACCAGAAAGCGATCAATCTATCAGTTCAGTACCCCAAGAGGTATAATTTGTTATGGGAACAGGGAGGACTTTCTGATCCGACAGGTTTAACGTCACCAGTCGCCATTTATTCCTCAGAGAGTTTTCGGCCAGCTGGATTCGAAATCCCGCTCGTAATAACGTGAGCCCAGCAAACCAGGCTATCTCGCACTGTTCACATGCTTTGTATTAATAATATTATTTAAACATTTTTTATAAAGGGTCTTCTTAAAACAAAACAAAAAAGAATTTTAAATTCTCTGCTTAACCCTATGGAGAATTATGAACGCCATTTCCTTATTTTTAAGTTACTAATTCAAATCTCTGTATTTTTTTCATTTCATTCACGGAAATGTGTTCTATTAAATCTAGTCACCGAATTCCAAGACAGTTAAGCATTTTTAAAACTTGAACTATGAAAAAGTTTTAAAAAAACACTTGCAACCATAAAATGTAAACTTTGTTAACTAAGTTCAATACAACACATAGCAAAAAATGAAACAAGATTCATTAACTAGTTACTTCATTACTAGATCATTAACTAGTTACAACGTTTCTGACATCCCTCAGCCATACGTGTTTCCACTCATCCCATTTCAACTGGACAATGCTCGACCACACACAACAAGGGTGTCTCAGGAAAGCTTCCACCCCATTACTACCCTTCCCTGGCCTGCTTGATCTGGGTTAACATGAAGGTATTTATAAAAGGATTCCTTCTTGGGGAAATAATCTCTTTGAAATTACCATGCCGGTTTTAATAACACAACTTCATTGAGACAAAGCACATGGAGAACTAAACTACATAATACCTAAAAATAAAAATTTACTAATCGCGTGACTTTGTGCTGCCGTCTATATTTCATTTTGAGAACTACTTCAAGCAGAAACAGAATTAAAAATTCCTCTTCTGTCGTAAGAAAATGCCAAACATCATCGCAGAAATTAACAAATTGAAATGCATGTGATAATAAACTTAAATTAAGTCAGCTGTTTAAAAATATGCAGAACTTCTATTAAAAACTCTTATTGGAAATTAATAAAAATGTATCTTTTTTCATTGCAGGAGGCAAATATGTTCCCAGAGCCATTCTTCTCGATTTGGAACCTGGAACAATGGACTCTGTACGATCGGGTCCTTTCGGACAACTGTTCAGGCCGGACAACTTTATCTTTGGTAAATGAATATTTCTCACCATGGAAAATTAACTCTTTCAACTCAATGATATTATATGTATGTCGTAATCTAATTGAATAAATCGATTTTTTACAAACAGCCACCGATATTTTAACCGTCAATAAGCGAAAAATCTCTAGTATTCTCTAATCAGTGTGATACTGTTTAGGCTTTTTGCATAGAAAATGCAGCATATTCATTGCTCAATTAACCAGATTTTTGTTTAGCAAAATTTTATAAACAGCAAAATGCTCAAAGTAGTGAAGTTTTAATGTTAATAGCCTACCCTTATTGCAATAGCCTGATCCAAGTTAAACTTTTTGATGACCATTACATGCATTCCTCATATTTTTCGATCGTAACGAAGTCAAGTGACCGTCATCGTAATGAATGAATTTTGACTTCTTAATGATAGTTCAACAGAAGAATAACAACTGTTTTGATGGTTTATTCATGTTGGACCATCAAGAATGTCCATCATAGTATCTTGGAAATCTATATTATTGAACCATCTTGGTCCCTCAATGGACTGATCGTTTAAACACGGTTCCCAGCAGATCACCGAAGTCGAGCATCGTTGGCTGCGGTCAGTGTGCGGGTGGGTGACCACTTGGATCAGTCTGCGTAGGAGCCAAGGGTATGCGGTGTGGGTCCTCGTTAAACTGTTCTACCGTAAAGTACTCGACTTCACGCGGAGGTATTCGGGAAGCTACCAAAGCGAGGGTGCCATCTCTTTTGCAGAGGATCAAAATTGTTATTGCATGTCTTCGGATCATCCTCAGGGATGTTTCCCAGACCGTCGCAGATGGCCCATTGTGCAGCTCTAGTACGACGTAAATGAACTACTACTACTACTGGAACCATCTTGAATAATCATCCCCTACTGTATTAATTGGAAATATTTTACGAGCTTTCTTAAACAATTTTAGTTTGACTGAGTAATTTTTCACACATTTCTTAATCACTCTAAAAGCAGAATTTCAAATTGCAGATGTTGTATATAGAACCTTTGATCACATTTAAAATTATTTTCTGTCCATGACACGACGCCAACCAACCCAACCCTAAAAGCAAGGAGGCTAACTACAATAAGCCTATAAAAATTACCAGGCAAATTATAAAATACTAAAGATTTTTCCGATTAGTATGGGGCTCAGCAAAATATCGGCATCATTTATCATTTGTAATTAGTCATCTCACGACATGTTGTTCTCTGTTCATAATTATAGGACAGAGTGGAGCGGGAAATAACTGGGCTAAAGGTCACTACACGGAAGGTGCAGAGTTAGTGGACACTGTCTTAGATGTTGTCAGAAAAGAAGCCGAGAGCTGTGATTGTCTACAAGGGTTCCAACTGGCACACTCCCTGGGAGGAGGTACCGGCTCCGGAATGGGAACACTCCTCATTTCCAAAATTAGAGAAGAATACCCTGACAGAATAATGAATACCTTCAGTGTCATGCCATCTCCAAAAGTAAGTATACTTTATTATTTATGCTTATTCATTATTTTATGCATAACGTGCGCATTTTTTATTTTTTTTGCAAAAATCTTTACCCGATGTTGATCCGCCTTTGCAGATTCAAATATTTGGCCAGACAGCCAAATGTGTGTGGGCCAATGCTTTCCTGCAGATTTTGATGATGAATGCCTTATTTGTTACAGGTATCCGACACAGTAGTAGAACCTTACAACGCCACTCTGTCTGTGCACCAACTGGTTGAGAATACGGACGAGACTTACTGCATCGACAACGAGGCTCTTTACGACATTTGCTTCAGGACACTCAAGCTCACGACCCCCACCTACGGGGATCTCAACCACCTTGTCTCTGTCACCATGTCCGGCGTCACTACATGTCTCAGGTGATTAAAACATACACAAGACTAGACTAGGTCCGGTTCATTTCATCTATTGGCTAGAGTAGACGAATGCAATATTTCTGTTATTTATCAATCAAAAGATTTCTGTAAAATTTTTGGGAGAGGGCAAAACTGTGTCACATTTTCAGATGCAGTTACAAGACAAAACACTATGTCAAGCAGCAAGTAAAAAAGTTTTTTTCAGTAAAAAAGTAATTTCCTAAATTTTACTCTAGTTGCAACTTTAGACTATTTTTACTCATCGTTTCCGATACTTTTGTATAAGTTTATTCTTTTATTTCATAAGTCCGCTTCAAAACTACTTTTGATATAAAAGAATAAGCTTATCTTTGTGTCACAAAAATCAAATTATTTATGCGCTGACTTACATTCATACTACATTATTGCTATACATTTTACTGGCATTGTAGCGCTTCTGTATTACGCTTGTGACCATTATATTCCAATAGGATTCTTGAATTTTATCTCGATCTTGACCTACGTGTAAACTTTTGAACTACAATTCTGAATAACTGTGTAAACTTTGATTCATTTCAAAACTGATTATAGTGCAATAACAAGATTCTAGCCAGTTTATACTCTCTGTGTAATTTTCTCAGTTAATGAGATTTGTAGTTTTTGGATAAACTCTTTGTTTCGATTCAAATCATCTATAAATCAACAAAGTTCGAATCACTTAATAATACGACAATCGTTTCATTTTTCCTAATCCAAGTCCTTTTTACCTTAATTTTGTCTTACAGCCACAGTCCATTGGTAAGATATGTTTTGATTAAAGTTATTGTCCTTTTCCTTTTAGGTTTCCTGGTCAATTGAACGCTGATCTCCGGAAACTTGCCGTCAACATGGTTCCCTTTCCTCGACTTCACTTTTTCATGCCCGGGTTCGCTCCCCTCACCTCTCGTGGCAGCCAGCAGTACCGAGCCCTGACGGTACCCGAATTGACCCAGCAGATGTTCGACGCCAAGAACATGATGGCAGCCTGCGACCCACGACATGGGCGCTACCTGACTGTCGCGACCATCTTCCGAGGCCGAATGAGCATGAAGGAAGTGGACGAACAGATGCTCAACGTTCAGAACAAAAACAGCAGCTATTTCGTCGAATGGATTCCGAACAATGTAAAAACTGCTGTCTGTGACATTCCACCCAGGGGTCTCAAGATGTCCGCCACTTTCATCGGAAACAGCACTGCAATCCAAGAACTCTTCAAGAGGATATCCGAACAATTCACAGGTAATATTCCCCACTAATGTATATACATGGCTGTCAACTCTACTGGATTTTGCCCGTTTCTCCTGGTCTGATTTAATAAAAATTCTCCTGGTTTTTGTACATTTTAGAAAATTCCCTAAAATTGACTGAGTTTCCTAAAAAAATCCTTATTGAAATAGAATTTTTGCTCAGATTATTGCTTGCTTGAATATTTAAATAAGTATTACTAATGTATATTGAAGTGAGTCTCATTTCTAGAAATCAGTTTAAAACTTTTTTTGTTCTAAAATGCTCAGTTTATTTTTATTCAGAACTCCCTTTCTAAAGTAATTAAAAAAATCTTAATTACTATTGGTAATAAGCTAAACGCAACGAATTTCTTTTTTGAAATCAATCCAAAAAGTATTTTAACCTAACATTACAAAGAAAAAAAAATGGACCTACAGAGGGTTAAGTAGCAATATTTGTTATCCCCCGTTTTTATGGAACTCTTTTTATAATTTTTGTTCTATATTTTCAGCCATGTTCAGACGAAAAGCTTTCTTGCATTGGTACACAGGCGAAGGAATGGACGAAATGGAATTCACGGAAGCCGAGTCTAACATGAATGATCTTGTGTCTGAATATCAACAATATCAAGAAGCCACAGCTGATGACGAAGGAGACTTCGAAGACGAGGAACAAGCTGTCGGAGAAAACGAATAAACTGAATTTAAAATAAAAAGAAAAGAAAACAATTTATAGGATCGAGAAAAAGCTAAACCATTTTTTAATAAATATCGTTTTCCCCCAATTAGAAAGGCTTCTCAGCCCTCGCTTGTATGATCTGAACTTTTTCAACACAAAAAGAATTAAACATTCCAGTCAGTCTCCGCCTTTGAATTCCTTAAAGTTAGATAGCATTTTTTTTATTTATTTAATGACATTTCTATTTTCAGCGGCATTCCACCAACGGATAGGCTTGCAGTTTATCATTTTATGGAATGCAATTTTAATTTCGAACGTTTATTCAAGCAATTTTTCGTGCAAACGAAAGCCAGTGTTGAACAAACTATTCCTATATAAAGAATTATACTCTTTGCATCAGCGTTGAATTTAAGCGAATGTTTGTAATTTCTGTCCTTTTTCAATAAACGATGTTGAAAACTCTTTTTGCGTCACTCTCTTGTATTTTATTTATTTCTTCATTTGAATGTTGGGAAATATAAGTTCTGTGAGTAGTACTTTTATTTCAAAACAAAAGAGTTGTGTTGTTGCATCATCTTACATGAAATACCGAGTTTTCCTTCGATATTTTTTTCACAATAAAAGAAGAAAAAATAGTCTATGAAAAAATATTTACGGGAAAAATTACAATTATAAAAAGTATTGAGATACCAAAGTCACAGTTATTATTTGAAATACATAAAATTTAACAAAAAATTTTAAAGTTGGGAATTTTTTTCTGTACTAGGAGGCTCTGTTCTTTCTACTCATTGATTTTTTCTCATTCATTGCAGTTTTTTACTTATAAATTGTTATTTAGTACGAAAAAAATCTCGTAAATAAAATATATTATTTTAGGCAACAAAATTCTGTTTATAATCGTAAAAAAATGAACAATTACCATTTGAAAAATATTCAACTGTACTTCTTGGGAAAAAAAATCGAATTTAGTTGTACGTGACAGTAAAATTGGCATTAGAATGCGTGGTAATAAAAAAAAAATATATAACTTCTTTTTCTCGCTTACGTCACCTATTATTATAACAGTTCAAATATGAAATGGTTTTTATCTATTTTTTTTTACATTTTAAATTTACAATATAAATGTTAAGATTTGTATCTGCATGAAAACATGCAATATCTCAAGTTCGTTTTTTTTTGACGAAAGAGCGAGTTTATGGATGGTGTTTTCTACACAAGGGAGCGTTGCAAGCTCGGGACTGCCTAAATTTCCGGGTTACTGTTTCAGTAGTATTTTAAAGCCATTTGGCATAATTGTGTTTTGAGATTCTGGCAAACAATGCATTTGATTACTTATTACTCATGTTTACAATACCTGTGTTTACAATACTAAAAGTGTTAACACTAACGTAAGATGGTGCAACACGAACAAACAGTAATAAACAAATGGAAAGAGGCCAAATCAAGACTGCCAAAAAAGCGAGTTATTCAAAATCTAGCAACCATGTCACCTTTTTTAATAATAAATAGAAATATTGCGAAAAATAATTTTTAAAAATTCGTGATAATGCACTTAAAATTGCAAAAATTTTTCAACAAATTGGAAAAAAAGCAATTTAAGTTAATAAAAAATGTCCCTTTTAACAAGTTAAATTTCAACTCCTTCGTTAATTACATTTTTACGGGCTGTACAGCAGTTCGTGAGATATTTAATTTCTACTATTAGTTCACGCTCTCCCTATAACTTGTTCAAATTTTCAGTCGTTCATAAAATACATTTTTTTAAACTTGTAGTAGATGACACTTGATGTGAATACAGTTTTTTCAAATATTAATTAAATAGGAATGAGTGAAAAAGAATAATGATACTGAAAGAACTACTAACCTAGTTTAGAAAAAATACGACGAAACAATGCCTCACTTGTCTATATAGCAATATCAGATGCGTAAATACATTTAAGTACAAAACCGTTTTTTTTTTTTCTGTGCATAAAACTTTTTAACTTTCTTATTATTAACTTTGTTTTAGTTACATTCAAGTCATTGTAAAAAATTAACTTCAAAATAATAAATACAATCAGTGTAAAAAATACTTAAGAAAGAATGTCTCGTTTGTCTAGATATCAATAGTTTATTCACACTTCAACTTTTACCTTATCCTCTTTATAAATGTGAGTACCAAATATTGTTTTTTTCGTTACTATTTACTTTACAATTCATAAGGTAAGAAATTAGATCATTCAGACTAATATTTAGGCAAGTTAAATTTTACAAACTATTTCTTATGTTTAAAGACGACTTAAAAACAAATGATGACCAAAATGCTAATACATAACAGTGATCCGTTTGAACTAATCAAAATGTGTATTTTATTTTATACAAAATTGGTATCAAAATAAATAAAATTTTATTTATTTACTTTGAGTTTTAAATGACAACATTTAATTGATAACTAAAACTTAAAGTTTAAATTAATTTAATTCATATCATGTAACATACATTTTGTTGAATTTTTTTTCCCTCCATTTATATTGCTTTTTAAGAGATCGCATTTGCTGTAAACTATTAAATTACGAAAATAAAAAATAAACTAGAACTAGTGGGCTGCGCCCCCTGCTCGCTAACGCTCGCAAAATCCCGAAAATTGCTACGCAATCTTATATGGTTTGTTCGCAAACCAAGCTCGCTACTAACTTAGGTACATTGCAAATACACAAAATTCTAAGAATTCAAAACAATCATTCAAATCCCTATAACAATATTTTTTAAAAAAACATTACATCTTTTTAGTAAATACTAAGCCATTAAAATAAATTTGAATTCAAATAAATGACATGTAATTCGTTAAACCTATTAGAAATGTATAATAATAAAACAAATAAATTCGTGATATAAATCAAAAATCGTCAAATAAATTCGTGAAAAAAAGCGCTTTCGACATAATACTAAAATAGAGATCGATCGACAAAGATTATTCACTTTTACCTAGCTTAAGGTTATTTCAGTTTCTGTTCTTAAAAGCGCTATATGTCAAGCCATCTCAGCTAGATTTGGCATGTGACATTTTTAGCGACAATCATTGGTCGATTTTCTAGCGTTGCCATTCGGGGAGGTGTAATGAGGCTTTTTTTTTGCCGCCGTGTAAGAGAAATATATATAGAGATGTCTATTTGTAGTGGCACTGTAACTCTATGACAGAGATCATACAAATAGCTATATGAAAATGCGTAGTAATTTCCATTAAATTTTCTAAATTGGTTGATTCAACGAAAAAAAACATAAAAAACAAGTGTAAAATGTAAAACATTACTGTGAACTGCTGTAAAGGAAGATGCATAGTCTTCCTACAGTATGCGATTTTGAATGAATAAATAGAAAGTAAATTGACGACACTATAACATTTAATAATCTACAAAGTTAATATATTATAAGCATGATTGATTCCAGTTATTAAACACACTGCCAATGAGGAAAAATATTTACATCCACTATTTCTTAAACATCCAAACATATAGAACGTCAGAATCGTAATTAAAGTTACGATGTCCAAGCAACCTTGCGCACCACCGCATTTTAAACGTTTGTAAATTTCATAGATCTAAAATTTCAAATTGAAAGATCGTAAAAAAAAAAAAAAAAGGGCGATTCGCGGATTACTTTTTCTATTTTCCAGCTAAAATTCCCATAAATATCCCACATCTATATTACAGTTAATTAGTTGTGGACAAGGTCAATAAAATCACACGCATCATTGTTTTATTTTTATGAATGTAAACAGTGCGTTTCTATAACTACACATTTTGATATTGAAGATAGATAGTTAACGTAAATATTTTTCCTCATTACTGATGCACCTTATGACTTATATTAATTATACTAATAACTATACAGTGACTTGTAGATAATTGCAAATATTAAGAGTTTATAGTGTCGTCAATTATCGACTTATTTTGATGTATTTGTTGATGCATTCAAAATAAACCGCTTAAATTTTGCGAGTCACATCTGTCAAAGGGAACCTTTTTCCTTGACATTAAAGATCTTCAATTACAAGCCAATGGGAACTAGAGCTAAAGGTAGGCTGAAGAATCAGATGGCTTGACTGTGTGGAAGAGGATTTTAAAATCCTAAGAATTAATCTTAATAGAGTAAAATCTAGGTCAGTCACAAAGAGCAGAATGGAGGAAGGTTCTAGGGATGGCTCTAGCCCTCAAAGGGCTGTCATGCCAATAGAAGTGTCGTCAATTTGCTTTGTTTTTTATTCATCCTAAACCGCATACTTCATTAGAAAGACTAAGTGTAACCACTTATAATATTATTTAAAATCTACCTAATTTATGATTATTACGTAAATAAAATTGTAATTTTTAGTTATAAATAGTTTATTTCATTGAGTATAACATAGCTTTTGGACGTCGTATTAAGGCCTAATTAATTTTATAGTTACCACTTTCCATATAAAGAGATCAGCAATCGTGAACTTTCGTGCTGTTCTATAGTAATTTTATAAATTTAATGTGCTTAAACTGATTTCAAGTTTATGGTATTTTTTTAAAGAAACTCGAAAATTCAACATTAGTGTTTTTCATCACATAAGAAAATATTTTGGTTGGCTTAATCCATATTAAAACATTTACGTATTTTTTTCTTAATATAGTTATTTATGGTATAGAATTATGGTTCCTTGGTTTGACGACAAATTTCAACTGTCAAAATCATTTTCTTGCTGTCTCTGCTTTTCATGACATCACCATAGAGTTACCACAATTTCTATTTGCCGTTATGTAATTCGTTCTTGGTTTATTTTCATGTGTATATACATAGGTGTGTAAGTGTTTTTAAATCTCCAGAGGGCCCCCCCCCCGATTCTACACTTTTACCTTATTTATTGACAAACTAACAAAATAAATTGCTTTGGTTTTAATTTTTTCCCTTTGAAATAAATAAGTATACCACGCTTGATTTTAGGAATATTGACACTACTTTAAAAATACTAATTGTGAAATCAGAATTTTTGGAAACAGTGCATTGCAATATTGCGTAAAAAAATGACCTTTGTTTATTTGAATCAAATTATTAGTTTTGTTCTTTTGATGTACACCTTAATTAACTATGACAGGTTGCATATCCAAATCTTTCAACAAAAAATAGCAACTTTTAAGCATTTTTTAAGCACTCAAAAAATATTTTTAAGCACCATATACGTTAACAAAATGCAAAATAATTTTCAAAGGCTTTAGATGATCATGATAAAATAACTAGTCTTTGACTAGGAACACTTTTCTTGATTATATTAGCCATTAAAATATGATCAAGAGATTTTTCGGTTCGATTTCAGAGGGTGGAAATTGAAGCACGAAATTGAGATTATCTTGCAAAATGCAGCAGAGTTGCACATGAGAGTGCAATAATCTGACCGAACCCAGCTCACTTGCGGACTCGCAAGTATTTCCTCAAACCTGTAAAATGATTGGCGCTTTCATACGCTATGGACTGATGGCACGCTAAAAGAGATTGTGGTTGAATGAATCGTGAAAACGTTGAATAGAATAGTGTGAAAAGCACGCTTTTGCATAATACGTGGTGAAAATCTACAAGGTAAAGAAGAAAAAAAATTTCGAAAAGGGAAAATTAAGCACCTTTAAGGGCTTTTAAAAAATGCTATGCGACATGTATAAAAAAGCTATTATTCAATGTTTCCAGGGTGCGATAAACACTTTAATTTATACTTCGGCGTTACACTAAAACCTCATACATTATCAAATATTCTATTCCTATTCAAGTGATCATTCATTATTTAATTTATAATTTTAAAGTAAATATGATGAGTCACTGTTCACGTAAGTTTTGTCCCCCTCTTAAATCTACTTCAACTAAGTCTTCAAGACACGTGTAATAAGAATTCGGTACTTATCCGTTTAGGGAACCCTAAATTTTTTTTAACCACAGTACCTAATATATAAGGTACTATTACCACAATACCAGTAGTACCTATAACAGTTAATTAGTCATCATTGGGGCCAATAATAGTTTGGAAATTTTTTTTGGCACCCTGAAATAGATAAATATCAAGAATTTTAGTTAAGAAATATGTCCTGTTGTTAAAAATCGTTTTAATTCACAAAAGGAAAAGTTGCAAATGAACCAAAACTCAAGTTCTTTAATTATTCTATAATAAATAGCCTTTACACGTTTAATTTAGTTCTAATTTTGAAGCTGATTTCTTTAAATTTTAAAATTATCTACGCTGGTTGGTAAGTATCGGTTTACATAGACTAGGAAGTAAAATTTGCCATGTATTAACCACGCCAGGTTCTGATTTACACATATTATTGGCTCACTATTGGGATCATACTTCCTAGATTGTTGCTGCCCAATATTTTGATAATGGAGAATACATATTTGTCGGAAACAAATATATATTTATTCTGAAAAGAACCGTTTGACTGTTTAATTTCATAACTTAATAGTCAAAACAGATTAATTAGTCTATTTGAGATCAATTCTTTGAACTATGATGATCTGCAATTAGTTCGAGAAATTTCGATTATTAGAACAAAAGTTATTCAGGATGCTTACTTTTCTATTTTAATTTACAAACATTGTACATCTCATTATTCTTCATTAGTTTTGGAGTTGTAGAAAAAAATTAAATTGGCATTAAGGGACTTGAACTTAGGATTGCTCTACAGCTTAAATGTTTTGAAGGTCAAGAACCTAAATAAGGTATGCATATTATGCCTAAATTTCTTTTACTTAAATAAAGTTAATACGTTTTTGTGTCTGATTTCACAATGTAAATATGTTCCACAAGCAATAAATGCATACATCTACACAAGTTCATTTATATATTTAAGGTTAGGCCCTCAAACTATTGAGTCTTAGATGTTCACCTTTCTTTTTTGTGCACCGTTTATTTTTTTTTACGGATAACATTATTTTCTAAAGCACTATTAATTCATTATGCATCTGTATTGAATATTCACTGATATATTTTGAGCTTGTTCATTACTATAATGAATAAATTGTCAGTGTGACAATTATTGATATTGAAAAAGAAAACAAACTTAATTTAAGTACTCAATACTTCGACTATTTATTCTTCAATAATTTAAAAATAAATTTAATCATAAGCCCCAATTTCCATAACCTTTGATATCTAATAAATTTGTAGAGCACAATATTTTGTTTTTCCTTATTTTCTTCATCATTTCTTTATAAAGTTTCATTTTAGAGGCTTGGCGCTGATTTTCCAGCCAGAAATTAAACTTTGACCCGGAACATTTTGGTAAATCAAGACATTGAGGAGACTGCTCATTTGATATACCTTCCTCTTCATTAATTGAGTCTGCCTCTTCATCTTTTGTATTTTCATTATCGTTTTCATTTAAAATATTATTTTCAGGTTCTTCAACAGAATCAATGATTGTTGGGGGTTCTTCATCACCAGATTCTTCCATTGATTCACCACCGAAAATTGTTTCTTCCATAGTAGGATCATCACTGTCCACGTCGTTTATGTCTTCACTCAATTCTAAACTGGTGTCCAGTATCTTGTAAGACACTTGTTCGTTGAATGACACGTTTCTTGATTTCTCGAGGTTATATTCTGTTCTGCCTTTGAGACAGCTTTTTAACTGTTGCAAATGTAATTTATTCTTTTTCATTTTCTTAAACTTCTTTTTTCTTTTGCCACATTCTTTAGATTCAGAACTTTCATCTGTGTGTAAGTTATTCCTAGTATTTGAGGTTTCACCATTAGAATTTTTCTTTAACTTGGCCGTCCTCAGGGTTTCAATTTCTATAGATTCAGAATTTTTATCTGTGGGTAAGTTATTCTTAGTATTCGAAATTTCATAACCAGAATTTTTCTTTAACTTGGCTTTCCTCGAGGTTTCAATTTCTTTAAAGTCAGAAGATTTATCTGTTGGTAAGTTATTCTTCGTAAATGAGGTTTCATCATCAGAATTTTTCTTCTTTAACTTAGTTTTCCTTGAGGTTTCATTTTCAGGACTTTCAGAAATGAATTTCCTTTTTTTGGAGAAGTTTTCATTTATTGGCTGCGATTTAGGGGTAAGACTGTTTTCATTTGAGATGGATGTGTCCTCTAAAACAAAAACAAATTAATTAAAAGCTGTGCGAAAAATATTATATATCTTTTTTTTTAAATAAAAATTTTACTTATTGTCGAAAAAAATGAGGATATACTTTATGCAAAAAAAAGTATTTTAGAAAATTTTTAGAAAAATTTTGTAGTATATAGAATACAACAATGCCAACAACAATGTAATGCTCAGTTAACATAATATTAATATATGTAAGAAACAGCAAGAAAATTTTGAAAGCATAAAAAATTCTAATTTCATCAATATCAGCATGAAATTACTACCATTCCTACATAATATCTAATTGCATTGTAAAATAAGTCTCATGCATTCAAATAATTCTCAATGTCTTAAAGAATTTCAAACATAAGACTGTTTATCATGAACCACCTAAAAACTTAAATCCTTGCCACAAACCATTAAATTGCTGCAAAATTGAAAAAGAATTTTATTTGTATTTGAAAAATAATTCATTTTCTAGGAAGTAAATAAGTAGTAAATTGCAATTGATTGAAGAAAATTTTTTATTTTATTTCAAGATTCATTTCAAAAAATACTATAAATAAAAATTACAGTTTAAATACAGTCGAGTCACAAGAGATAGTTTGAGTCTCGATTGCTTGAGTTTCCAGTAAATCCGAGCTAATAAAAAAAAAAAAAAAAAAAAAAAAAGGCCTTGCTCCCAAACAATAACCACGCACATACAACTTGTGGAACGATTACTACGATTGGTTTTACCATGATTACTACAACCGAATGCAGAAAAATAAATTTTTGTATTAAACACTGAAATATGTAAACAGTGGGTTAAAACAAAAAATATTAGACAATTTTTTTAAAAGTACAATTACTATAGCCGAATAATAAACTAAATTATTGTTTTTAATAGTTTTAAAAGTTAATATACTTAAAAAAATTTGAGATAGAAACACAAATGAAAGCAATAGAAATTAGCTTACACATGAATCAGAGAAGGGGATTCCAGAGTTTATATTATTTTTTAACAATAGTTGGCGAATTCCGGAAAAAAAAAAGAAGTCAAAATACTTAAATTTTTAAAATTGATCTTTGGTCACTTGTCATACATCATTTTCTTCAGAAATATCTAAATTACCAGATTTTTTTCTAATTAACATATTAATTTTCAGAAAATCAGGAGCAAAGTCACTTTAATTTTACAATGCTGAAAATCTCTATTTTGTTAGATACTGTCATTTGAATAAATTTATTTCTCGCATACAATGTGTAGTTTAACTTATCTCTTAAATGTCGAATTACTTTCATATAAGTTATTTTGAAAACAATTTTTTTTATTTTAACCAAGAAACAGGTAAATTATTTAGTGACATTACGATCGTCCTTCCATTAACAAAATACTACATCTCAACTATCTCTCACCTAGAAACCATTAGGTTTAGAAATTAATGTTATTTATACAAAGCAGAAATATTTCACTTATAAATAAAAAACAGTTAAAATTTTATTGGGTTTTTATTTTAGTAGCTTTTTAATGTCAATGAAAAGACAGACTATGTTAACGGAAAGGACAAAATATAGTAATGGAAGTCATCCATAAGCTTATTTAGATCTATTAAAAACTTTAAAGTGAAATAAATGAATTTTAAGTTAGTATTCAAATTCAAGGCACATATAAATAATATTTTTAAAAGTTTTTTTTAAAATAAATCATTAGAGAGCATGTTTTTAATTATGGAAAATATGTTATTTGCATATGAATATAAATCAGAGTTTCAAATTGAAAACTCCCTTTTGAATATTTAATAATACAAAGGAAAAACAAGTAATGGCTTTTTTTAGGTGTTTTTTGATAAGGCAAAATCACAATATTCAACCATTTTCAAGACTACCATTGATTCCATTTACAAGCTATAATCTGTGAAATATGCCAAAATTTGCAGGGGTCGAAAAAAAAATAAGACACATAATTCTACACAGAGAAAAAAAATTAATGACGCAGATTAATGCAGGTGAAATTTTTACCATGTAATATGAATAAAAAATATAATATAAATAAAATAAAAAGATAAATATAAATAAAAATTTAATTTTCTTCGTTAATAACAGCTAAAGAAAAAAAGTAGAATAATATGAGAATCAAATACATGATTGCTTTTTCTTAATGTAGGTGTCTGATCAGTCTTAAATAAAAGTCTCGATTGTTCAAACATAATTTTCTTTGTTTTGAAATTTGGTATTTTGTCTTATCAATAGCTAGAATAATATTACAGGTTGCATAGCCAAATCTTTCAACAAAAAATATGTACATTTTAAGCATTCAAAAAAAATTTTAAGCACTATATACATTAACAAAATAAAAAATAATTTTCAAAGACTTTACATGATCATAAGAAAATAACTAGTTTCTGACAAAGAATTCTTTTCTTGATTATATTAGCCATTAAAATATGATCAAGAGATTTTTTGGTTCGATATCAGAGGGTGGAAAATGAAGCATGAAATTGAAAATATCTTGCAAGATGCAGCAGAGTTGCACACGAGAGTGCAATAATCTCACGGAACCCAGCTCAGTGGACGCACGTGCAGACTCGCAAGTATTTCATCAAACATGTAAAATGATTAGCACTTTCATACGATAAGGACCAACGGTATGGCAAAATGGATTGCGCTTGAAAAAATTGTGAAAACATGGAATAGAACAATGCAAAAAGCGCGTGTTTGCCTAATACATGGTGAAAATCAACATGGTAAAGAAAAAACATTCCTTTTCGAAAAGGGAAAAATAAGCACTTTACGCTATGCACCATGTATTATACCTACCATTGATTCCGTTTACAAGCTTTAACCTGTCAAATATGCCAAAAATTGTAGAGGGGTAAAAATAATAAAATCAAGATTTGCAAGAATTCGAGAGATTATTGGTTCAATTTCAGAGGGTGGAAGATAAAGCCTGAAATTAACAATTTCTCTCAAAATACAACAGAGTTGTAAGTAATCCTCCTCACCCCACAGAATATTTGGTGTAAGCACATGTAGACTTAGTAATTAATCCAACATAAAAAATAATTGGCTTTCATAGGGTATTCCGAAAAGGAATATAGTTGAATGAATACTGAAAAGATTGAACAGAACATTGTTAAAACTCCCTTTTTTTTCCGTATCTCATGGCAGCAATCAACTTGGCAAAGAAAAATCTCATTTTAGAAAAAGAATAAAATTAAACATATTTAACAAACACCAAATGAAAAAAAGCACCTTTAAAGGCTTTTCAAAACTGAAAATAAAAAATTATAAGCTTTGTAGGAAGAGATTTGAGAATACACATTTCAAATAGGAGTCCGCTTTTTGTACACCCCCAGAAATCAGGGTTTGTAATTTTTTTTATTTTATTTAAATCTGATATTTTATGATTTAAGTCTAATTTTCTTTATTTTTATTCAAATACACTGTAAGGACTATGATTTATGATCAAAATAACTTTATAAATGTTTAATCAAAATTAAATTAATATTAATACTATATTATAACAATATTTTAGAAGCTCTAACTACCTAAAACAATTTTTCATTATAATACATAGCTTTGAATGCATAGAAACCATTTTGAAACAAATGCATGATTGAAATTTAAAGACTAGATGAAATAGAGAATTTAAAGAATATTTTAACTATTGAAACAAAGTTTCAATTAACAAAAAATAATTTTAATTTAAAATTGTGATTTCTTTTTTTTTCCCTCTTGATTTTTAAAATGACAAAATAAATGTAACAGATTGTGCTTATAAATGTAGTCATTCATCAATAAATAAATATTTAATCCATATATTTTTATATTAAAATATTAATTTTTATATAAAAATGGATAAGTGAATCCTTTATCAAAATAGATAAGTGAAGCTAAAATTTTTTAAAAAAATCTATGTACTCATTGGAATTTTTTTCCACAAAATTTCTTCATAGAAATTCTGATAATGTCAAAGGTACTGTAAACATATAATGTGATTCATTTAAATAAAATGTATTTAAAATAAATTTTAAAACTAAGAAAAAAATAAAGTATCATTAATTTAAAATACTGTTTTTTTTTAAACTTTTTAAATCAATATATATATATATAAAAAAAAAATCAGTAGATTTAAATCGATGATTTTTTACAAAAAATCATTTGATTTAAATCAACAAACCCTGCCAGAAATACCCATAGTTTCCAAAGTATTGCGGAATTACTGAAACAAAAATTGAAACCTTAATAATTTCTTTATTATAATCTAGTAACAAAACCTGAATTGACATACCTTTCTTTCTTTGGATCTTCATAGCAAAGTAATCATTTACACTCAACTGACTGTTGAAAGTTTGGTTAGCGTGAGAGGAAGGATGCTCACGAACCTAAAACACACACAAAAAAAGAATTAGCAGAGTGATAGATTAAAATTAAAAAAAAAAGGTAGATTTTAATAATTTTTTAAAAGTCTGCGATAACAATAACCCACAATGGCAGATGGAATTGTTGTTATAGTGAGCTTGTCATATAAGTAACTACACATAGTTAAGACTAAAATAAATACAAAAAGATTCAGTGTAAAAGGGTATCTTAGTTTGAATATTCGGTTGTCAAGAAGGGAAATTAGGGGACATGGTCGATAAATAACCAACAAAAGATCTGTCTCTTTAACACTAAACATACCAACACTCAATATATACATAATTCTACCATAGCCGGTCAAATGACCGGACTTTACGTTCCTTGATTGAATGCATGAAATATGGATGTAAGGAAGGAAATAAGCTAAAAAAAAACTTTATCATAATTAAACAAAATTGTATAATGCAAATTCTTATGTATTACAAACACAAAGAATAAGAATTTTTAATTAATTGCTCAACGCATTTTATACATATACAGGGTGTTTCCATTGTACATTTTCCGCAAACATATTTCTTCTAATTATTATTTTATAAATCTTATAATTATAAGAATTATAATTCTTATATATATTCCTGTAATTAATATTATTTCTTCTAAAAACTTGTGCTGTCTTGATTGTTTCCACATTTCTCTGGGTAAAAACTAACAGTTAGTTAGAAATGAAGTAAAGCTATCAAAATCAAATATAAACTACCTACCAAAACATTTAGTCTCGTCACTTTTCCTGACACAAAAATGCCTATCTTAAAATTTTAGGTACTTTCTTGAAATTTGAAATCAGCTATTTTGATTGAACTAACTACACAACAGTCTTTGCAGAAATGTGCAACTCATCAAATACAATACGTTGAACACGCATTATATCGTAACTTAGGATCCAATGAAATTATAAAGCAATAAATTGTTCTCCCAGTCAAATGACCGGTTGCGGTAGAAATAGGTACATGACAAGTATTATTCGAAACAAACAAAATACAAATAATAATAATGGAATATTAACTGTATATAATTGTTAGAAAAAATCATGAAGTCAAAGTTCAAAAACGATAAGATGATAAGTGCATTTTTGATGTAAAAGTTTTTAAATGGTCATTCAACCGGTTATGGTATGTTTACACCGGTTATGTATGTTATGTTATGGTATGATACAAATACATTAATAATATTACTTTTAACTTTTCGGACAGTAAAAAAAAAAAATTAATTGATAATTTGTAAACTTACAGGTTTTGGCGGTTTTTCCAAAAATATAGATTTCATATCTTTCTCTGAATACCGATTCAAGTCTTTTACTCGAACAAACTTCTGATAGCTAAAGAAAAAACAAATCATTATTATTCAAATATGTAATTTTCACTTTCAAATTAGAATTTATAGTACATGTAGCTAAGACTTCTAAAAAATTATATTTTGTTTTACAGACGAGAGCATTTAATATGTCTTATAATATTTTTCTGTGAATTTTTTTTTACAAGGGGAACAAAAGAAGGAAAAAACATATTACAGTAGGGAACTGATTATCCGGAACGATCGGGACCATCGCTATTCCGGATAACTGATTTTTCCGGTTTTCTGAATCGCTGCAAAAAAAAAAAGTTTTTTTTTTTTTAATTGCTAACCCAACTAAAAAAAAAAAAAATATTTGAAAATAATCTTAAAACGAAGAAGACTAATGATTATTTCCAAAATAATGGTAAGGTAAACATCGTTCAAAAAAGAAGGAAAAATCCTAAAATCTTATGAGGAAAAAAAAATTTTTTTTTTAAAAAAGGGCGGGAAAATTTACCGAAATTTCGTTCCGGTTTTTTGGTTTTCCGATTTCCGGATAACAGGTTCTATACTGGACTTTAGTAACACCAGAAAAAAACATCTCTATTTTAACATTTATAATGCTTTCTGTTTATGCCAGTTAAAGACAAATGGAGTACAATAAAGCCAAATTCCTTTAGAACTAACATTTCGGAGAGAAAAACAGTTGATTTAACCATTTAAATCATTATAACATTCATGTAATTAAATTTGTCATAAAAATTCGTCACAGCAACAATTACAAGTAAATTATTTTTTAATAAAAATAAATTTGAGGAGAAATATGCAATTTCAAATGTTTTGTATGTACAAAAATTCTATATTTTTGTCACTGATATTAAAACCATCAAATGCCAAGTGAAAATTGAAATTTTATTCAAAGGGATTCGATAATTACAGTAGGAAACAAATTTTTTGTTGCAGTTAAGCAAATACTTGATGTTGTGTAATTCGAGTGTAGGGATTTCAATCGGAAATTAATTTTGCTTCTAAAGCTACAGATTTTTTTTTTGAATAACATATTTAGTTTTCAAAATGTTATCAAGACTTTTTTTTCTTCAAAATTTTATCTATAACAGGAGGTGACATAAAAATTGTGATAAACTTCTAGAAGTTAAGACACATCATCAGAATGAAAATTGCATAGAAACCCATGCTCAGCTCATAAGGGCACATTTCTACTTTGAACTGTTCTGAACCACGCAAAGAAACAGTTCACAATAGGGCAATCCCCCTGGCATACAATAACATTTCCAGGAAAATGTTTCTATGCAATTTAAATCCTGATAATATGACCAATTTTCCCTGGAAGTTTGTTGTAGCATTTATGAGTTCCTCTGTAACATATAACATTTTTAAACTGGTAGAATCTGGGGAAAAAATAAACTAAAAATGTAATTAAACAAAAAACAAACAAAACTGAAACTTGGAGAGATAAATCGATTGCAGATTTAAAATCAGCAATACAAAAGTACTTGAGCTGTGCTAAAAAATCTCGCACAATATTAAAAAAAAATTGTTCCCCAGCATTATTCCTTTACTTACTGCAGATGATTCTTTGCCTTGCGTGACCTTTGTTCCAAACTTTTTTCAAAACTTTCATTTGACTTGAACTTTTCTTGATCATTCTTAAAATGTTTCTGCAAATTCTGCAGAATATTTTCATATTCTAAGCATCCAACAGTAACTGGAATCTCATCATTTTTCCATCCAACCCCTAAATTCATGATTAAAAAATACATCTTAAAAATCATAAAAGCAATGTCTGTAATAAAAGGTTAAAAAATAACAACATAGAATAGAAAAATATATTTTAAAAAAAATAAGACAATGAAAAACATTTAGTCAAAGAAAATTATTTTGACAAATAATTTATGTTTGTGTAAAGTGAAAATAACTACACAAGCATTTAAATAACCAATGAAAATTGAACTTGTATGCTTATTGGATTACTTTTCTGCAAAAGGCCAAGCGTTTATTATAAATCAACATATCCCAATTTTGCTAGAATAATTTAGATGCTTATGAAAGTGCAGATTTTATTGCAACGATTGATTTTTGTGAAAGTACCATTCTTGCCCGGTTGACTTTTGTGAAAGTACCAATGAACGATAGTAAAATTCACCTGTATTAGGCCTTTGCCAAAGTATGAGATTTTCCTTAAATACTGTCAAACAAAGGGAAACTCATTGTTATTATTTTTTTTTTGTTGCTTTTTTGCACATTACTTAGATATCAAATTTTGCTCTGCATGTTAAGTTGAAATGTAAAGCAACATAAAGCATATTCCAAATTTTTACTATATTAGCATGATTATCAAATGAAAGTGGATATTTTTTTAATTGTTATTGGTAGTATTAATGATTAGTTAAAAAAAATTTTCATGACTATACCTATAATAGCTTAAATACTTTTTATATATATTGTAAATTATTTAACCTTGTGTTTTAAATAAACCAAAAATTCAAATTTTGCAATATTTTTGAAAAAAAATAAAAAAAAATAAATAAAACTAGGCATTATTTTGTTTTTAGAAATTATTTATAAACTCATTTTTAAAACATTTCACAATAATACAATTTTATCAATAATTCCACAATAATTTTCCACATTTCTATTGAACATAGATGATCTTAAATCAGTCCTAATTTATTTCATTCTGAATATGCAGCCTTCAAGTGGAAAATAACTAACATTATTATAAAATTAAATATAATTGACAATAATATTTTCAACTAAAATATTTAAATAAAGTTTATATTTCAATTCAAATCATACAAATTGAAAGAGACTATACCGGTATTAGTATCCCTTTTAGAAATCTTGATATTCTCTTTTATTCCATCCTCATTCTTTCCCAGACCTTTACCTTTACTCCAGCCCATCTTGGAAAGTAATTTGTGACCAAAAGTAGTTTCATCTGAAAAAATTAGTAGAATCTAACTTATTTCACTCGAACACTTAATAAACCAAACAATTGGTGCATTTTTACATTAACTAGAACGACATTACATATATTCACTTTTATATTTATATAGGTGCATTACAAATTTATAAAAAATTGCAAAAAAGACAACAAACAAATTACATTTCAAAGTAAAATTGTTAATTTTTGTAACTGAAATTTCTTCATCATTATGTACCTGCAAGTTTCAAGATAAACAAAATATATATGAGTGAATTTCAAAAATGTTAATAATTTTAGTGTTTTAAGAAATTTATATATATATATATATATATATATTTATATATGAAAAGATGAAATATATATATATATTTAAAAATGCTTAATTAATAAAAATTAGTAATTACAAATCATCAATTAGAATAAATTATTAAAATAACATTGATGAGAAGAAAAAAAAAATTATAGTACTACTGGATAAGTATTGTGCGGCTGTGAGGAGAACTCCTCCAGACTAAAAGTCTGGGGATGTCTGCTGCTATGGTGACAAGAGGGAACACTTTTCTAATGGGGGTGTAATGGAGAAAATAAGGATGGTTGATTGGTTTACTCTTGCTCACTTATGTCAAGATGAAGACAAAACTATTCACACTACACCCCTGTTCCAAATGATTTTTCCTTGTAACCATGGTACCCGCCACAATGCAAGACTGGTGATTTAAATAGTAAGAAGTTTAATTTACAAAAGTAAATACCACTTTTTAACAAAAATATTTTATCTTGACATACTTAAATCAAATATGTTAAGAAAAATACGCCATATTTGGGCATGTTAAAATAATTTACAAGATCAATAAAATTGCAACTTGATTAAGACTATACAATAACATAAAAACTGTTTTATAGAATATTAACATTGTTTTTTTTCTTCCTTCAAAAGACAAATGACTGTATTAATTGGCATAGAAAATTCTGATTAATTATTAATAATATATATATACCGTTAAACCATAAATTTCCACGAGGATTCAATTCAAAATTCAGCTTAGAAACTTTGACTTGACTTGCCATAATCTTTATTTGTTACTTCCACTATAAAAACCAAATAAAGTATTAATTTGCATATAAATTAAAATTATACAAAAATAAAGTTACATAATTATTAATTTTTAATATAAAAACATATTAGATTATTATTGTAATTATAAAGAATATTTTAAATATACATAAAAAGCATACAACTCATTACTAAGCAGGTAACTGACATTCTTTTATTTTCAATGAATGGATTAAATTAACTTAACAGTCCTTCAAAAATGCACTTTATAAATAAGCAATTAAAGATGCAGAATAAAACTAAAGGTCAGCTTAATAAAGAGAAAAATGAGTTTTATATTTTTCATTTTGAACCAACTGAAGGACTATTATTTGAGTTATCACTATCAATAAGTAATTTTTAAATGTCTTATTATTCATCATAATGTAGAGGTAGAGGTGAACCCTGTGGCTGAACGCAGCGACACAGCGATATTGTCGCAGAATGTTATAGAGTTCATGCAGAATTATTTTTCTTTTGAAAAGTAAAATTTTTTACTTTTCCTTACTACAGAAATTTACAATGTAATCTTCGTAAAATTTACGCAATATTTGAATTATGCATTTAGATAATCACTTTTGGACACGTTAAATTTATGGCGATAGTATCGTAAATAAATGTAATGTTTTGATTGTATTTTTGCATGTTATTGATTTTCCGTGGTTTTTGAATATCCTGATATAATTCAAGCAATGTGGAAAATCTGAATTGTGCATTTGAGTATTTACTTTTTAAGGCAATAATTGAATCGGATTTTTGGCAGTTATTGCTATTGATTTCTTCATGGCTTTTAAATCCAAAATTTTTATATGATATTATTAATTACTTATTAAAACAACCTAATATCGAAATGTAACACGGATTTGCGTGATTTCGTCGTTGATCTTTTTTTCGGTAATTCATGATTTATTATTATTTTTTTTATTGCGATGATTATTTACAAAATGCGAAGAAGGAAATAGTGCATTCCCCCCAACAAAATGAGAGAATACCACCCATAATATTAGAAAAAAATTATTTATAACATTTTTCTTTAAATATACACAGCACTTTTGTTATTTTAAATTAGTAACATATATGTTTGTTATTATTAAAAGTATTTTGCAGAAAGATATTAGTGCTATGCCGCAGGTAGCTCGAAAAACTTTGCCACAGGGGAGGTGAACCCATGTTAAAAGCTCAAAAATACAATTTTATTCAATGATAATAACATAAACTAGTGTTGATTGAAGTTTAACTGAATCTTTTACCTATTTTCTTGATAAAAAGAGGATAATTTGAAATCGGTCACCGTATAACAATATAAAGTTATCATGCAAAAAAATTCAATAGTAATCTTATTTCTATATAATCTTTCGGCGACATGATAAATACTTACATGTTTTGAGAAAATTTTAAAAACATGAGAATTCCAAAGATCCCATATATGCTATTCTAATTATTTAGATCTTACAAGTGAACATGAACTGTCAATAATTGAAAAATTAATTTAGTTTAAATGACATCCACGTTGACTTTACAAGAAAAAGAATTAGATCTCTTCATTTGTTTATGAAGTGATGTTAAAAAAATAAGCTTCCAGCCACTTCTTTCTGTGCAATCTTAGCTTTTCATTAAATAGTCCAAACTGACTTTGTCATTAATGAACTTCGGAAAATTGAAGAACTGCAGAAAACAATATTTTAAGAAGATAAAAAAAATTAAGAAATTAATCTAAGATCAATAATCTTTGATAATTCGAGGCACTACAAAATATTAAAAAAAAAAAAAAAAAACAATGTCCTATATATTTGCCATCTGTTGCCCATCAGTACAACTACTCTTGCAAGATTTTTGATAATTAAAATGGAACATTATTAAAATTTTAGAGATTAATAAATTTCAATAATTTTCTTCCGCTGCTGATATGTCTTAAGTGTTAATAATATTTAGTGGGNTACGACAAAATATTAAAAAAAAAAAAAAAAAAAATGTCCTATATATTTGCCATCTGTTGCCCATCAGTACAACTACTCTTGCAAGATTTTTGATAATTAAAATGGAACATTATTAAAATTTTAGAGATTAATAAATTTCAATAATTTTCTTCCGCTGCTGATATGTCTTAAGTGTTAATAATATTTAGTGGGTGTTACCGAGGTTTTTTTCTTTATTCTAGTTTAATTATTAATAAATAGAATCGAAGCTACAACAGCTGCTTTCCGATTTAATACTGTCAATATTTGACTTCATCTTAAAACATGGTAAGTTTCTTATTCCTTCTTGTAAGTGTCAAGCCCATATAAGTTGTTTTTCTTTAAAACCTTTGTTTTGGGTCAATGTAAATATCATTGTGATTTGAACTTAGTAACTATTCATTATAAATATTAATATGTTTGATTGATTTTTATGTGACGCTTTCATTCCACCCTCTCACGATTCCTAAAAAAGGAATCGAATTTGCACTCTTGCGTTAATATTTCTTAAACTAACTGTTATTACCTATACTCGGTTAAATTTAATAGTTGGTCTAAGTTATTATAACTAAACGTTTCTTTTTGTTTGAAATACGCATCCTTTTTACTGCAAAATGTTGATTTTTGACAAATGTAGACTATATTTATAATATGTTTTTATTGGATTGTTTAATACTGTATAACAGTATTATCATTAAACGGTAGTGGTTATCTATATTTATATGTGTTTTTATAATTAAATTTTATTTTTAAAAAATACTATTATTTAATTTTGAGGAATTTATGGTAACAAAAATTTTGGACTCAAAAGTTATGTTTTCCTTAGATTTAATTTTCTTGTGTTTTGATTAAAATCGTCAATTTTTATTTTATTTTATTACATAGTCTTACTGTGTTCTTTTTAAAGTAATAATAGTTTTTTTGGTCATTTTTATGAAGATGTTTACTGGTGAAACAATAGACCCTTACAACAATTCAGTCACACTAGCGTTGGGGACTTTTCTGTATTGTGATCTGTCGCACCAACTCACCAAGGTGACAAATAGACTTTAAACTTATAATTTGTTTTAATAAAAAGTATGCAGATGCTTGCCTGGGGGTTGGATACGAGTTATGCCCTTTGAGTTGGTCCCTTTCTGTGATGTTTTTTTTCCCTTCAGTTTCCCCTGGGCTGCTGCCCCGAAGTTGCCAAGATTCTGCGATTATTCTGTCTCAGATCATGTTACAAAAATCTCTCCATGTTTAATAGGATGTTGTTATAATGAGTAAATTTCAAATTTTCATTATCACTTTTTACAAATTTGTAAATTCTGTCTAAATTTTCAGGCAATTCTGTCTAAATTTTCAGTTGTTTGTAGATTGTTTTTTCAAAAGTCGTTTATCACTTTTCACGTGGTTTTCCAATCACCAATATATTTAATACAATTTTATTACAACATTTGAAATTCTTACTTGAGTTATCACTTTTTAAAAAGTGTTCAATTCGTTATGATTCCATCACAACTTCTCGTCATTTTATTATAGGTTTTTCAGTCAGCAGCTATTTATCCTTTGATTGGCTCTTTTCCACATGATTTTTTTTAAAATTCTGATATATTTAATACAATTTTCGATTCATCACGATACCATTATAATTTCACGTCTTTGGACGATATTGGGTCTTTTGGAAAGTTCTTGATTCTATAATGTGTCTACCAATATGAAATTTTCGGACGACTCAATAGTTATTCATCAGTTATTTATCATTTCTTTTTCCGTAATGACATGATTTTTACATTTCTCCGATATTTGAATACATTATTACGACACATGAATTTTGATTTCATTTTTCAATTGCTTTTATAATCAATATCGATAATTGAATCATTTTTTGAGACACTCGATTCGGGATGACACCGTGATGAATCCCTGGCATCTTTCAATCAGGGTTTGTGTTTTATTTATTTAATTTTTTTAAAAAAAATTTCAAATATCAGATTTTTTAAAATTTAAATCAGATTTTTTGATTTAAATCTGATTTTTTTTGATTTTTACTCTAATACCCTGTAAGGACTTTGATTTAAGACTATTTAGTCTTAACATTAATTATAGAATATATTAGACGCTCTAACTACATAATACAATTTTCATTATAATACATTGCTTTGAATGCATAGTAGCCATTTTGAAACAAATGCATGATTGAAATTTGAAGACTAAATGAAATAGAGAATTTAAAGAATACCTATTAAAACAGAGTTTCTATTACCAAACCATAATTTTAATTTAAAATTGTGATTTCTTTTTTTTTTGTGACAAAAAATTTTTTTTAAATGACAAAATAAATGTAACAGATTGTGTTTATAATTGTAGTCATTCATCAAAGAATAAATAAATATTTAATCTATATATTATTAAAATATTCATTTTTAATCTTATATCAAACTAGATTAGTTAAGCTAAAAAATTTTTTAAAAAAATCGATGTACTCATTGAAATTTTTTTTTTACAAAATTTCCTTTTAGAAAATCTGATAATGTCAAACAAAGATACTGTAAACATATTATAAGAAAAAAAAACTTAAATGTTTACTTTAATCTGTACTTTCAATCTCAAGAATCAAAAGATTTTTAAAAATGTAATTGTATGTTGGAATTTAACACATACCAAGAAAGAAAGTAATTTCGTTAGCTAAAGTTAATTAATGCAGCAATTAATTTAAAATAAATTTTAAAACTTAGAAAAGAAATAATAGAAGTATCAATAATTTAAAACACTGTTTTTTTTAAAACTTTTTAAATCAATCTCTATATATATAAAAAAAAAAATCAGTTGATTTAAATCAATGATTTTTTTTAAAAAAAATCATTAGATTTAAATCAACAAACCCTGCAATTGCTTTTTTTTTCTTTGTTCATTCCTCTTTTCTTATTCGAATATTTTTATACCTACAATGTTATTACAACAAGTGTGTTTTCAAGTTTAGGAAGTCCTTTGTTCTTATGCTCAATTCGCATTGACTCTATTAAAAATTAATCCACATTGTTTATGTATAATTGTTTTCAGCAGCTGTTTGTTTTTCGTGACTCATGGTTTTTTCAATTTGGATATAATTAATACGCTGTTATAACTAGCAAAGTTCGCTGTTATAACTAGCAAAGTTCGAATTTTAGGTATAATTTGTGTGTGCTTTATTCGCAATGATTCCATCGTAAGCCTACAGAAATTTCTTATCCCTTTTTCGGTAGTTATTACAATTACTTACTAAGCACTGAATAATTGAAATTATAGTTTTTTATACTGAAAAAAATTTTTAATTAAGTCTTATAACATCTAATCTTTCTTTATTATTGATATAATTTAACCACATATTTAAGTAAAATAAATCAATATTGTATTATGTTTATTAAACATCAAATTATTTTGCATACAACCAATTATATAAAAGTTTCATGCGCTCATTGCTTTTTTTAGTTTCTTTTTTTAACCTATTTTGAAATATAATAATTTGCGTGCCTCTCATTTTATTATTTCCTAGTAAAAATAAATGAATAAATATATAAAACCTTAATCAATGAAATTATGCTTATAAATGCATCACACCTTCAAGTATATATGTATCAATTATATTGTATATGAAAAATTGCACTAGATTTAAATCAATAATTTTTTTTAAAAAAAAATTATTCAAATTGTAATTTTAATCATGGTTTAATTCAAGTAATTAAAATAAGGCAGACTCCGGCTGTAAAGAGTGCTTCTAATTTATAGCATAACAATGTAATTTACTCATTAAAAAATTCTTTTTGTTGTTTCTCAGTGAGAACAAGTGCTTTTGTGCAACAAAAAGTGATTTACTCATTTACAAAACTCATTAGATAACTCATTTACAAAACTCATTACAAACAGAACCCTAAACAGGGCTTTTAACTTAAAGTGTAGCAAAGTTATTTATGAATTTTACTTTATGTTTATCATATTGATAGTGCTCTAACCAAATGTTTAGAGTGCTGTACTTAAAAATAATGTTGCTTTTAACTTTTAAGTGTGACAAAGCAATTTTACTCATTAAAAAATTTTCATTTTATGTTTTTTAGGCAGAATAGTGCTCTAATGAGCTCTTTTAACTTAAAGTATAACAAAGCGATTTAATTAGTTTAAATTTTCATTTTATGTTTTATTTTTTTAGACAGAACAACAGCTGGACTGTGCATTGGATTTGATGCGAAGACTCCCTCCTCAGCAGATTGAGAAGAATTTAAGTGACCTCATCGATTTGGTACTTTCTTTGAATTTTCATCTCTGGTTTACATCTTTTGAATTATAAATGTATTATACATATGTCCATAGTTAGATCATATATACGCAGCCCATGCGCAGATACATTGGTGGTGATTCTCCAATTTTGCAGATATTTTTTTAATATTTATTGTAATATAAGAAAAAAGTATCCGCACACACAAAAAATGTTTGCGGTGGGGGGTGGGATACAGAGCAGATGGCATAATCATGATTCATGCAAGGTAAAAGAAAGTCTGTAATTAGTTCTATGTATCTCTGTTCTCAAAGAGAAAAGATCTAACTTCCACTTTAGTCTAATGCTTAGCGATCCCATCCTTAGCGGTCGGTCCTACAACCAGCTGATCGTTTAGAGATCAACTCAATTGGTCTATCGCTTTCCTAGGAAAATAGACAATTGCAGTGACAATAGAATTTTGTTCGACACTAGCGTTGNTTTTCATTAATAAATTAACATATATATCGAGTTAATGAGCTAATTAGCTTAGTAATTTATTTAAAATGCATGCATATATTATTAAAATAATAAATGTATGTTTTTAAGTGTCTGTAGTTATGATTTAATAATTAAAGTGACTAATAATAATTATGATTTAATGATAGTGAAGTAACTGCAAACTTTTAAAGACAAGTGTAACAAGGGGGTGTGATGGCTATTTTCCCTTTCCCATATAAACCTATGTATTGACAGCAATGACAAACTAAATAAAAAGAGTTGAAAATAAAGAAGGGTTGAGGAAAGAAAGGGCAAAAAGGGTATAGAGTCTATTATATCAGGGCACTAATTTACTTCAGGGGCAACAGGGTGGATTCTTTTGACTAAAAGGGCAGCAGGGTGCTGCGCCCTGTTTACCCTGCCTAGAATGAGCTCTGATATATATATATTATATATATAGATTGTCAAGAATAAATAAAAAACATTAAATAGTGCATTGATTTCATATATTTAATAAAATTATTCTATTTTAAAAAATATTATGAGCTTGCAGATACTTTTGAATTGTCTGTGCATATACTTTGTTTTTATCTTATTATTTATATATCATATGTATACTAATATGTACATGTATTTTATTCTTTGAATTAAGGTTCCTAGTCTGTGCGAAGATTTATTGTCCTCTGTTGATCAGCCCCTCAAAATAGCTCGGGATAAAACTCTTGGCAAAGATTATCTTCTCTGCGACTACAACCGTGATGGAGACTCATACAGGTACTTGCATGCATTTGCTTGTTGAGATAAATTATTTGTTTTGATCATTTTATGTGTTAACAAATTACGTGTGTTAAAAGTGAATAAAGTTGAAAAATGGGCTTTAATTTTAATATCAGGGTTCATTCTAGGCAAGTTTTGTAGAATGGGCCGTCCCAGTTTGCCCTTTGGATGAAACATTTCCAGCTTACATGCCTTTTGATCTTAATTATATGTCCAGATATATTAATAATTTATTATTATTTTTTTGTAAATCCACATGGTTTACCGTCCGTTTTTTCGGCAGTATTGATCATTTTTCGACCCTTTCCCTGCTTCTTGAATTCCAATATATTTAACATGTTATTACGGCATACACATTTCAAACTTGAGCTATCACTTTTTTGAAGCGTTCGATTCGTTGCATTTCACATTGTTTGATAGTTTTTCCTAGAAGTTTATTCATTTTTTCAGCATTTTATTTAATACGTTCTTTTTATGACACAGCATTTTCAAAATTCTAGAATTACGCTCATTTTGAAACCGATTAATAGAACGTGCAGATTTAACTGAGGATTTTTTTTTAAAATTAAAACTAATTCTTTTTAAAAATAGTTTTTTTAATGATGAAATTCAGAATTTTTTATATTTTGAGTGTCTTAAAAGCTATACAAATATTTGAAAAGCATTGCCTTTTTTGTAATAGGTGCCCATTTTTAGGGAGGAAATAGGTTTTTTAAGGTAAAAATCAAACCCTGTCAATATAAAAGTAAGCAAACCATAGAGCATATCAAACTATTAGATTGGTGCATGTGAATTGTCATATTTGTTAGTGTATTTATTAAACTGCATAGCTTTTTTCCCAAGTTGGTTATGTTATAAAAATATTATCTATTTGTTTCAATACATTTTTCTCAACAAAAATAACCTTTTTTTAAAATTATTTCAAATGGTGAGGCTACTATACAAACAAATAGCTATACAAGAAACAAATAAAAAGTATTACGAACAAAATTGACTGAAGTTATTGCCTTAAAAGTTCTCTGGCCTGCCAATAGAGTGCTATTTCAGTGTCGCCTTTAAGAACTGCACATTGGCTATTCAATAAATTATATAACTTTCCTTTCTTTAATTTGCAAATTCTGTGATAACTATAAATTAATATTTGAATTATTTTGCTTTGATTTAAGTTGTTACTTTAACGGCACGGTCAAATTTATCGAATAACGGTGTTGAATTTAGTAGGCAGATATCTAATCAGCTTTAAAAAATTATACAAATAAATTAGTAATTCCTTATGATTCTATTTCTCTACACTATTTATTTTTTTATATGTGTTGGTAGTAATTTGTGCTAGGCTATAGATAGTTAACTATTCCAAAACTTGTGGTCAACTTTATTATGGTGACATTAACTCATTTTCGGCCAAAGGTACGCAAAAGCATGATTATAGTAAATATTTATTAACACTGTGACGTATATTTTTCACTAATTTTATTTTTCTGGGTTATTTCAAGGGTTCTTAAAACATTCAAAAATTAATAGTAATTCAATTGGTGTAAACACTATCTGTTGAGAAATTTTTAAACTATTAAAGTATTTTTAACTTAAAACGGTTATTGACAAATGAATTTTTTTTTAAATGTATAATTATTCCTTTTGATATTTATCATTGTTTTTATGATATGTATTGAAGTTGCAAGTTAGTAAATGAAAAAATTTCATAAACAAAACAAGCTTTCTACTAAATGGTTTGTTCATTGATTTGGTGAATGGTGCTTATACGCACCATTTTATTACTTAAATAAAATATAATTTTTTTTGTGTCTTAATGAATGTAATGTAAGTTTATTTCAATGAAAATAATACCACATTTTATAAAATTTATACGCTTGGCTTAAAATGAGCTAATGGCAAGTTATAATGTGATTCTTAATTTATTTTACAAATACTATTTATCACCCAGATTGTCACCAAATAATTTAGATTCTTGTGTATTTTTTAACTTTTATGAATTGCTAATTCAGGGTTGGCACTCCACAGAGAAAACCAGGGAAATACAGGGAATTTAAAAATCAGCACCTAAAATAACAGGGAATTTTGATTTTTTCTTTACAAACTGGGAAAATACAGGGAATTTTGTTTCTTATTTTTGTCTTTTAAAAAATAGTGACCACTCAAAGCGTAATCTATGGGATATTTGACCATGATATTTCAGCTATACTAAACTATTTCGTTTACTATAGCATTATTTAAATATGTTCAGCTGTTTTTCCAGCAATTAAAACTAATAAATGTAGTTACCCAATATAGCTCACACAAGAGCACAGTAATTGTTGTTTCCTCTTAATATATTGTGTATAATATATACAGGGAAAACACAGGAACTTTTTTTCCAGATTTGAGTGGCAACCCTGTAATTTTTAAAAGTTAATCAGATATTCTTGTTTCTAAAATGCCTTTTGAAAAATATAACTATGCAATTGATTCAGGTCTCCTTGGAGTAACACATATGATCCACCACTGGACGATGGTGCAATGCCATCTGACCGACTGAGGAAACTTGAGATTGATGCAAATGAAGCGTTTGACCAGTACAGAGAGATGTACTTTGAGGGAGGCGTCTCCTCAGTGTATTTATGGGATCTAGAGCACGGCTTTGCAGGCGTCATACTAATAAAGAAGGCTGGAGATGGATCTAAGAAGATAAAGGGTTGTTGGGACTCTATTCATGTAGTTGAAGTACAGGTACGCTACATTTATTCATTCTTTAATTTATAACTAAAATTGTTGGGGTACATTTTTTAAATCCATTTGTTTATGTGTAAATTAAGTACAAAAATAACAAATATAAATAAGTTTTTTATTTGAAATCTTTTTGTGGTATTCAACACCATCAACTTTAAAATACCTTTTTTATTTTAAATATATCCCATACCTGCCAAGTCTCCTGTTTTTTAACGAAGACTCCTGAATTTTATGACTAACTTTGGTTTACACGTATATTCTCAAATTTCTCTGTATTTGTGGAGGAAATTGAAGGAAAAATTTTTTTTTTTGGCTATAAAATATCTGCTGATGGCAAAAATACTTCTCTTATTCCTCAACAGATGGTGTTATTGCCAGTACTGCAGTATGTTAAGTGTTTATAGTTTAAGTAATTATAAGTAGTAGAAGTCTTCTTATGATTAAAATTTATATACATATTTTTGTTATTTCGTTGAATGTAAGTGCTTGTATTATTTCCAATTTTGAAATTCCTTTTTTGACTTGCATGATGTATCAAAACTACTCGCAGCCTAAGAAATATTGCTAGTAAAATCGTCATTATTTCATTTCTCCGATATTGGCTGGTATGATATCTGATGCTTAATGTAAGAAATTCATTTTAATCGATTTTAAAGGTTTTATGTAAGAGATTTTTGTTTAAATTTTGTAGGAGAAATCCAGTGGTCGAAATGCCCACTATAAATTGACATCAACAGTAATGCTTTGGCTTCAGACAAACAAATCTGGTTCTGGTACTATGAATTTAGGTGGAAGTCTCACAAGACAGGTAATTGATATTTTCAATTTTTGATTTGTTAATAGGTATAGAATATTTACAAAACAAATTCGCATTCTATTGAGATGTCTTGATTGCTACATGCTTATAAAAATAAATACACATCAATAAATCACTGAAGTTATCTATATTTAACTATCAATTTGATATCCTAGCAGATTTTGCCTTGAAATGCTGTCAAAAGTCATCTTTTAGTCAAAATTGGTGTACCAGGGTTGTCATATCACAGGGAGAACCTGGAAAATACAGGGAATCTTAAAAATCACTAAAATTAATAGGAAAAGTACAGGGAATTTTTTATTTTCATCTTTTAAAAAATGGTGTCCATTCAAAGCATTCTATGGGATGATTAAGGAAGATATTTCAGCTACGCTAAACTATTTAATTCTACTATAGCATTATTTAAGTATTTTCAGCTGTTCCTTTTTTCCTCTAAATTTTTCCATCCATTAAAATTAGTATAGGTAGCCCAATATAGCTGATCCCATATCAGAATTGTGGCGACATTGGCGCAGAACATTACCAAGTTCTAGCGGGAAACTTTTTTTCGTTTGGGAAGTAAAAAAAATTGGTTTTGTTTTCTTCAGAATTATGCTCAAAAGATTCCTTTGACGCTCATCAAAGTGGGAAAAAAAATGCTCATGATTTTTCTATTCTTATTTGAGACTAATGCAGTAAAAAATTTGGTTTTCTTTTCTGCAGAAATTTTCATTCTATTTTTTTTATTCANTTTTTTTTTTTTTTTTTTTTTTTTTTTTTTTTTTTTTTTGTGCGATTTCCACAAGTAAATTATAAGTAAATCTGGAAATAAAGGCAGGGATTTAATAACCTCATTTTGAAGAGTTCGATTCGTGTGATTTTGCCTTCGATAATTTTTTTCGGTAGTTAGTGCCACGGATTTAACGATTTTTTTATTATTTTTAATGTGAAGACGATTTACAAAATGTGAAAAAGGAAATAATTAATGTGTTTTCCCCTTACAAAATAAAAAAAATATTTAACGTAATATTAGAGTAAAAAAATTATGTAATCAATTAAAGAATTTATTTTATTTGGTCCCCAAAGTTTTTTTTTTTTATAACATTTAAACCATTTTACTGACCAATATTGATACCAATATTGACATTTTTGAAATCAGCATCAAAAATTCTATGAGTGTACAAAATTTCATTAGACAGTGTGTGCCATGGCTGGATGAACTCAGGACTAAAGAGAATAGAAGGGCTGGTTCACTCCTTTGAAGTAGCTCTTGCCGCGCCAATCCTCCGATTTTCTCTAGTGACGTCACTTTGGCGCAAAGCTCCCACTTTTACTTCAAGAACAGAGCTTTTGGCCTTGCTAGCTCTAACTAATATTGGAGCATTTTTTGTGACATATTCTAAGACATTTGTTATTTTCTATAATGACTTTCCTCAGTTTTTGCCGTGAATTTACAAAAATTTAAAACTATTATCGAAATGCCAGTTTGCTAGATTGCAACTTGCAAAAATTCTGATAAAAAAACAAAAGGAAAAACGTGTTTCCTAAAGTAAATGAACAACTATGTAAAGAATGGTTTCCGAAATGACACAGTTAATATACGAGTAAAACAGCAATGCGTTTATTCTATCATTAAGAACTTTTATAAAAATTTATTATCTAAATAGAAACCGCCTCGTAACTTCAAAAAGAAATGCAGATGAAAAAAAAAAAAAAAAATAGATAAGTCAAAGNTTTTGTTTCAGTAATTAGCGTATAAGGTTGATGTTTCCTAATGATTAAGTATGAACAAATTGCTTTTAACGGCATATTTAAAAATTAGGGATTCTAAATTTAACTTAACTTATTGTTATAACAGAATATGTAGATAAAAAAGTGCCAATATATGCTTTAATTTTTCTTGATAATTAAAGTTAAAACAGAACTGTTTAAAATAGAGTATTTATAGTGTCATTTTCGCCAACTAGTAAAATATTTTTATAAGTTTAAAATGGTATTTTTTTAATATAATGGCAAAGAAAGTTTGTTAGAGCTATGTTTATGAACGGAAATAAAGTGTTAATTACGTAAAGTTTGAAAGCTTATAACCAGAAAATGTCTAACTTATTTTTACAAAGAGAAAGATGCAAAGTTATCATAATATCTTTGCTGCGATCTCCGAGATTTGTGGACACAGTGACGTCATGAGTAGGGAAATCATAGCTTCAGCTCTAAGAGCGGAGTGAACTAGCCCTTCTATTCTCTTTAGCCCTGGGATGAACTGACATGGAAGGAGTGACTAGTAGGCTTTTATAAATATTTTTTATTGATATTGTTTCAGTAAAGAAATAAATAAATTTTTTTTATTATATTAAATTGTATTTGTTTTATGTTTAAAAAAAGATTTAATTTTTTTCTCCCTTTATTAAATGCAGGTGGAAAGCGATTCCAATGTAAATGAAGCTAATCCTCACATTGCTAATATTGGTCGAATGGTAGAGGTAAATAGTTTATGTTACTTGCATTTTACTTGACATGATGTTGATATTATATACTATGTAAAGATTTTAAAAGGCAAGAAATAATTGAATTATATATGTTTTATATTTTAATGTTATTATATGGTGCATAGCGTTTTTGAAAAGTACTTAAATGTGCTTATTTTCAATTTTCGTTTTTTAAAAGCTCTTAAAAACGCTTTTTTCATTGAGTGTTTTTAAACAGTGCTTAATTTTCCCTTTTCAAAAATGAGACTTTTTTCTTTATCTTATCAATTTTTTCCACGAATATTTTACGGGTTTGATGAAATACTTACTAGTCCACGTTTGCTTATAGTGAGCTGGGTTCGGTGAGATTATTGTTATCTCGTGCAATTCTGCTGCCTTTTGCAAGATATTCTCAATTTCAAGTTTCATTTTACACCCTCTGAAATTGAACTGTAAAATATCTTGATCATTTTTTAATATATATATATATAATATGTGTATATTATTTTTACTTATCTGAGCCTTGACCAGGCACTAATATGTTAGAAATTTATAAAGTATTTATTCAAATTTTTATTCATTAAATCTTAAAAATAATCTTCTGAAATCATTTTTCCACCCTCAAATCTCATTATAAAACATTTTCTTTAAATATTCGAATCTTTGCCAGGATTTCCTTAGCTCATAAATTTTCATTAAGGAACATAAAAAAAGTTTTTTTGATCAAACAAATCCTGTAATAATGATTTTGGCAACACAAAAAAAATTAACACTGGTGCATAGCGTTTTTTAAAAAAGCGCTTATTTGTTATTTTTGAAAGCCTTTAAAGATGCTTTTTTATTGCGTGTCTTAATTTTCGCTTTTGAAAATGAGATTTTTTCCCTTCTTTATCATGTCGATTTTCGCCCCATATTATGCAAAAGCGTGGCTTTCACATTGTTCCATTCAACGTTTTCACAATGCATTTCGGCTTACCATCAATCTGTAGCGTATGAAAGCGCCAATCATTGTACATGTTTGATGAAATACTTGCAGGTCCGCATGTGTGTATACTGAGCTAATTTCAGTGGGAAGGATTCTTGCACTATCATGTGCAACTCAGCTGCATTATGCAAGATAATCTCCGTTTCAGGCTTCATTTTCCATCCTCTGAAATCGAACCAAAAAATCTCTCAATCTTTTTATGGTGGCTAATATAGTCAAAAAAAGAATTCTTTGTCAAAAACTAGTTATTTTGTCATGCTCATGAATAGTCTTTGAAAATTATATTTCATTTTGTAATGTATATAGTTCTTTAAAATATTTTTTGAGTGCTTTCAGAATACTTAAAAGGTGCTTATATCTTGTTGAGAGATTTAACTACGCACCCTGAATAACTGAAGCTTTTTAATTTGCAGGATATGGAAAATAAAATTAGGAATACTTTAAATGAAATCTATTTTGGAAAGACCAAAGATATTGTGAATGGACTGAGATCTGTACAATCACTTACGGAACAGAGACAACAAGCAGATCTGAGGAACGATCTTGCCAAAGCCCTCCAGAAGAGGCAGGCCAAGAACGAAGTCTGAAATATAAAAATTCAAATCAATAGCAAATAAACTGTTTTCGTTTCTTTTTCCCAATTCGAAGGAGAAAAACACAACTGTAATGATTTTTTTTTATAAATATATATATATATATATACATACATTATATTTCAGTGGTTGAGAAGTGGATTTAAAAAAAAAAAATGGTGTCTGTTTTAGGTGTGTACATTACTCAGTTGAGAGGTTGAAAAATTTTATATTTTTCTGCTTATTTTTTTATGTTTCAGTAACATGTATGTTCCCTGTGTTAAAAATCCCGAAATATAACAGCAATATGGCTGTTGATTATGTTCAATGATGATATAATTAAATTTAGATTGCTTTATCTGTTTTTTTTTTTTTTCTTTCAACAGAAAAAGAAAGTATTTGTAATAATTCCTTGCATTGTGTGTCCTTAAATTTTTATTATCCATCCAATAGACTTCATTTATTGTTACTTGTGGTTATTTATTACAATAAATATTTTCACAATTGTTTTTTTATGTTTTATTAATTTTTGGTGTTCGACAAACATAATCTTTTCGGCTCAGCCCATCGGATCAAGGCCCAGAGGTCGACCAAAGCTGAGATGGGCCGACTGCGTGGAAAGAGACTTTTCAGTCTTATAAGTCTCAAACTGGAAAACAACTGCCAGGCGGAGGCAGGCCTGGAGGAAGTTGATTGAGAAGGCCAGGGCCCACCCGGGGCTGTCGTGCCATTGAGGAAGGAAGGATTAATTTTTGGTACAGGTGCGAGCCAGAGTCCCTGGCCAAATTATTAGAGACACTCTTAAGATTCTATGTAAAATCTTATTTATCAGGTTATTTATTAAATAAGAATTGTCACTTATTTTTCACCTTCGTTAAATAGGATTACCAATTTCATCATATCGGTATTTTTAATCCATTGTGTTTCTATGGAGATTTATTCGGGGATTTGGAAAATATTCGTTACATTGAAATTTTCGCTATTTTAGATTTAATTTAAACGGGATTTGGATGTATAATTATGCAGCAAGACTTCGCGGCATTTAAGATGATAAATTTAATTTGTCATGCTGACAGAGTTGTCAAAATAGTGCACATTTTGAAACTGACATTTGATTACGTATTTTCCCTGAGTAGACAGCAAAAAGCTTGTTTTTACTTATGCTATCCAGGATCTGGAACTGAAAATTTTTTTTCCTACTTATTTGATGATTAATTGAATTTGCTAGATACTAATTATTTGTGACAGAAAGTTTTTGTTTCATAAATTAAAATAATAAAAATAAATTCAAAACAAGTTTGGTATTTAAGATATTTTATTTTTGTAAAAACATTTAAATAGTTTAAAATTTTTTTTGAATTGAATATTTAAAAACTTAGCTTTCCATAGTTTTGAACTTAATCTAATCTCAAATCCTCCTGAGGCGACCACTAGTCGGACTAAACATACTCACTGCTTTGTGTCTCCCTTGGTAAAAATATGTTTGTTAGCATGACTGTCTATTAGACTTAACACACCATTAATTCCATTTTTTTTTCCTTCTTATTACCGCATACAGAATACATGGACCAAATTTGAGACTTCCAACTGTGTAAAAATGTGTTTAGCTTTACTGTCAATTAGACTAATCAATCCAAAAATGACAAAATAATGAAATGAAACTTAAGTTTTTTTTTTTAGCATGGTGTGTAGCGTTTGTAAAAGCTCTTACGTTGTTTTTAAACAGTGCTTAATTTTCCCTTTTCGAGAATGAGATTTTTTTTCTTTACCACGTATTAAAGCCACTTTTAATTGTTTATGCTAACCACTTTTTTATTATTTTCGTCTTTTAAAAGTAGTGACTTTATCTATGGGATATTTAAGGATATTTCAACTACACTAAACTATTATACTGAAACATTTCTCTAGAAATGTAAAAATTTAAATTAAATAGTTTTTGAATGATGACAGTGAAAAATGAGAAGCACAATCTGCAAGAATTTCCGAGAGGCAGTGGTGATTGCGCCAGTAACTTTTTTTTTAGTATAAGAAGATTTATTGAAATAAAAAGTCAAGAAAATTTAGTCACTGGTCTGAAGGATCTGTAACTGAAAGATATTACAAGTCCATTTCTGTCTGTTATTTTTTAAAAATAAAATCAAACAGGGTTGCCACTCCACAGAAAGAACAGGGAAAACCTGGAAATTAAAAAAAAAAACACCTAAAATAGCAGGAGAAATGCAGAGAATTTTGAGTTTTTCTTTAGAAACTGGGAATTTTGTTTCTTATAGTCTTTTTAAAAAATGGTAACCACTTAAAGTACAATCTATGGGATATTTTACCTATATTAAATTATTTCATTTACTATAGCATTATTCGTTTTAAGTATACTAAGATGTTTCTTAAGCTCTTCCAGCTCCCAGCAGAACACCGAAGTCAAGCATCACTGGCTACGGTCAGTGTGCGGGTGGGTGACCACTTGGATCAGTCTGCGTAGGGACCGAGGGTGTGCGGTATTGGTCCTCGTTAAACTGTGCTACCGTAAAGTGCTCGACTTCGCGCGCAGGTCGTCGGGCTACCGAAGCGGGGGTGCCATCCCCTCCGCAGAGGATCAAAATTGTGATGGCATGTCTCCGGATCATCCTCCGGGATGTTTCCCAGACCGTCGCTAATAGCCCAATTTGCAGCTCTAGTGCGACGTAAATTAACAACAACAACAACATAAGCTTTTCCAGCAATTAAAACTAGTTTACTTAGCCTAATATAGCTCACACAGAAGAGCACAATGATTGTGTGTTTCCTCTTAATATATTGTGTATAATATATACAGGGAATTTTTTTTTCCATCCAGATTTGAGTTTATTTCTTAAATACCTGTTTTAGATTTGTCCATTCTCTTAAACTCATATTTTGAGCTGTGCCTAGAATAAAAAGCTTACTGACGATTTGTATCTTGGTTCAAGAAAAACTGAAACCAATATATTCCTAATTATTCACAAAAAATAATCTCTACTATAACATTAGTTAAAAAGTACTGATCTCTCGGTTGATTTTAACTATTGCGCAATTCAGTATTGCTACATAAAGTTGATTTAAATTGTTGAATAGTCTTCCGAAAGACAAGGCGTTTAACAAAATGTAGAAAATAAAATGTAATTTGAAAATTCAGTCTATTTAAAATAAATTTAAGAAAAAAAAAATCATAGTAGACTTATACAATACCATTATCAGACCAATCAAAAAAAAATCTTAGTAAGAAATAGTGCCATAAGGACAACCACACACTTATGTACACTATATACTTAATGTATTACACTCCATATGTACTATATAATTTAGCTCAAATTATTAAATAACCTAATCAGGGAATTAAGTCTGATAATGTGCTTTTATCAGGGGTGATTGTATTCCGGGTTTTTCGTATCATCCTTCTAGGTCTAAAAATTACGAGCAGGGCATACGATTTTTCTCTGAATACAGCGGAATTTCGGGTCCCAAGAACATTCGTTCTCGGACTTTAATTAATCAGAAACTTATAATCTGACGAACTTTTCATGGAATTCCTCAATCTAAAACTTTTGCTAACGGGACGCTTACAAACACGTGATTCTTTCGGTTTGGTCGATTTTCGCCATTTTGAATTTTTGGAAATACAACAGAACTCTCTAATATCGCAATTCCTATTTACGCACTTTGAATATCAAACATCTATTTTCGTTGTTGTTGTAGTTAATTTTACGTCGCACTAGAGCTGCACAATGGGCTATTGGCGACGGTCTGGGAAATATCCCGGAGGATGATCCGAAGACATGTCATCACAATTTTAATCCTCTGCAGAGGGGATGGCACCCCCGCTTCGGTAGCCTGACGATCTGCACGCGAAGTCGAGCACTTTAGGGTGGAACAGTTAAACGAGGACCCATACCGTACACCCTCGGTCCCTACGCAGACTGATCCAAGTGGTAACCCACCCGCACACTGACCGTAGCCAGTGATGCTTGACTTCGGTGATGTGCTGGGAACCGATTTTCGTATTTGCCTAAGTTCAAAGTTACAAGCTGTGATTCGTATTCAAGCGATTTAAAAATCCAACATCAGGATTCATATTAACGCGATTTTAAATATCCAATATCACAGATTCTTGTAAGAAGTACGTTTTTTCTTGAATTAGTTACTATAAGAGTGCGATATCCGTCATTGGTAGGTAATTTAATTACAAATATTATTTAAAAAAATTATGTTAAATACGAAACATGTATAGTAAATTGATATTGATTTTTTGCACATACAATTTTCAGGGTTTTTGTCTTTGAGTCACAATTACCCCTGTTTTATTATTATTGATCAAGATAATAAATGAGTCAACTTCAAAGAATTTTCAAACAAATATTTATTTGTCAAAACATCAAAATTCAAATTTGAAAAAAAAAAGTCAAAATCTTTGGCAAAAATGAAAGAGATTTAAAATTGCTGATTGTAAAAGATCAGCTTAAACATATGAGCTAAAGGACTAGCATAACAAGCAACACAAGAAAATAAGCTCTCAACTTAACACTAAAAAAAAAGCATTTAAAGTGCCAAAAATTCACATGTGCAGTGCAGACAAAACACAAAATATTTTTACTTCAAGTTTACTAAGTGACGTCAGAAAGCAAAAAAAGACTTATTGAAATACATAGCTGCCAACATGGAGAGGGAAATATCCATGCAGATTTTACGAAATAAAACATAAAATTTCATGATAATTGTTGCAAAATGTAATCAACATTTTACACATACGGAATTTTAGGGATTTTTATAATATCAAAATAAAAAAACTGCAATATTTTCCAGTCATGATTGACATTAAATGAACTTGAAATGTTATGTATTATGTTTACTCATAACTTTGAATAATAGTAGGCATTTAATTCATCAGAGATGATTGTGCTCTGGAAAAAATCCGGATTTCCTGATTTTTTGCTAATTGCCATCTGGAAGTTTCCGGAAATCCAAGGACCAGAAGTTTCAAGAAATCATCGATCACATTTATGTATAAAAATTCTTGTATATTTTACTTGAAAATATTAGAACTTGGCATCTCTCTCATTTGTAAATATTTTTTCTAGTAGAATAATAAATGTGATTAGAGATACAAGTAAACTTATACATAACTATTAATTTAAATTATGCTGCATATAATTTATTTGGAATTTCATGTTTTGAAAATAACAGATTTAAATTTATAAAGACATTAATTTTTTTAAATGCATCATTAATGATTTTACTCAAGAAATGTTCGGGATTTTTGAGTTGCGCTCATAATTACCCCTGATTCATCAAAGATAGTTAAAATATATTTTTATGAATTTAAAAAAAGGAGTTCTGAATATAAAATAAACTCCACATTTTAGAACTAGAAAATTTTTTTTGGACTAATATTTATGAATGAGGCTTGCTTCATTATGTATCAGTAACACCTGTTTAAATATTTAAGCAAGCAATAATCTGCGGAAAAACTCTATTTCAATAGGGATTTTTCAAGGAAACTTACTCAATTTTAGGGAATTTCGCAAAATGTACAAAAACCAGGAGAGTTTTTATTAAACCAGTAGACCAAGAGAAACTGGCAAAATCCAGTAGAGTTGGCAGCTATGGAAGTATAAGGAAATGATGGGCAATTCTCAAAAAGGTGGGAGCATAACACAGATCTTAGCCCTTCAAAAGTTGAGCCCGCGGGTAAAACTGTACGGAAATTTCCTTGCTACACTACTCTTCTATGTTTTAAATATCCATCGCTGAACAGCAAACCCAATTTTGGGTTTACGACTACTAATGTTCATCTCCGTAGCCTTGTAATTTTGAACCAATCTAGAAGACAAGGAAACTCCTGGATCAGTACCCCCAGAGGTATGATTTATCATGGGATCATGGAGGATTTTGTGACTTGAAACATTTAACATGCATCAGTCACTATTCACTACACAGGGAGTCTTCAGCCGGCGGGGATCGAACCCACGGCCTCTTGGACATGGGCCCAGTGCTCTATCAGCCAGGCTATCCCGGCCCTACTACTCTTCCATTGAATAACATGGGAGGTTTTTTTTTGAATGGTAGGAAAGCTTGTAGCTTTAAACTGGGAGTAATACCCAGAGGGTTAACATTAAGCTCCTTTAACCATTAAATTTAGTTCCCCTTAATATTTTCAGAGTAATATTATAACAAGAATTAACATAAACTATTGCGAATGTTTCCAATAAACCTTTTATTACTATTATTTTTTTGACTGGAAGAAGCATTCGAGCTGAACACTGAGCCAATGTAACACAAATTTTTTTTTAATTGTTCTGTTCTCGGTCGTTTAAAATTTTTTCTCTCAATTGGATGATTACTTGATAACATTAACAAATGGCAGCACAGATTATATTTTACTGTGTAAAATATTTTTAGAAAAAAGTAATCCAACCTTTCAGTGTATGTTCAGTATAAAGATCTAAACAGCTATTATTTTAACAAAAAATAGATCACTATCTTATAGATAAAAATAAAAGTAAATATGGGTAAATATAAAGCAATTAAACTAATTTATCTACCTTTGAAATATTTTTTAAAAAATATTTTAAAGTATTTTTTAATACTTTTAGGAAATATTTTTGCTATAAAATGCCATTTTCTTAAACATGATTTTCAAGTTGATAAATTTTAAACTAGTCATTTTGATTTTGGAGACGTTTATAATTTTAACCTAATTGTTCTGATTTTAACCAAAGTTACCATAATTTTAAACTAGTCTTGGGAGCAGTATAGCCAAACCATGGATCTTGGGCCAAAAATATCCATCAATAATAAAAATAATATTTAGCAGATAGTCCAAATCGCATAGCGATAGCAACACCAATAGTTATTGCCTTAAATTCATTGTTTAATATAAAAAATTTTTAGTGTTAATTTTATCTAAGGTATTTTGCACAAGTAATGAAGATTAAGTGCAACGTATCAAAGGAAATCCAAATTAGCTGTAGTTAACATTGTTGTTCCCACTTTAAGAGAAGTGCCCCTATATTATAAAGATAATACATATTTTTGATGAAACTAATAAGTACACTACAAACAATAGTTGTCTTCTAATTAGTCTTATCTAATTAAGTACATATGCAAATAATTTAAAATATTGGGAAAACTGAAAACAAAATTTTATAAAAATATGAATACAAAACAATGTTATAAATCTGGCAGAACGTGTTTGATTGTATTAATTTTTCAAAATAGTATATTATTTTTGTTGGAGAAAAAAATTTTATGTTTCTCACAAAATCATGTTTTTAAGCAAATGATTAAGTCTTAAATAACCATCTTTTGCACAACAAATAATCAAAGTAGTTAGCGTGTAAAAATTTAATTAAGTTTTATGTGGTTGTCTTGGATAAATAAGAATTAGATCTAACAAGAAAGTTAAAAGGTATAGAATTTCATGTAATTTTTACAAGTATTGATAGATTACTTAAAATATTTATACAAGGAAAAAATCTGTTAGAGGTATAGGATTTAGATATTTATCCGCAAATTCAACATTGCTCCTTTTTATTTCATCACCCAATTACAAAAATACGCAGGGAATGTAAAACTAATTCCCCACTTAATTTTATAATTCTTTGATGGTTTGAGAATTAGATCTAACAAAGAAAGCAAAATGCATAGAATTTCATTAAATTTTTACAAGCATCAATGGATTACTTAAAATACTTGTACAAGGAAAAATTTTGTTAGAAGTTCATTTGCAATTCTTTTAATATCATCACTAAATTTAAAAAAATAAATAAATACAGGAAATGCTAAAGTTATCTATAGAAATCAGATTCTGATTTTTGTTATTCAATCTGTTATTTTATCAGAATCCATATTTAGCAAAATATTTCACTGAATTTAATTATATTTATTTGAAATCATTTAAATGGAATTATTTAACTTGGAAACATATAATTAATAACTGAAAATGAATATAAATTATTCATTCATAAATGTTTTTTTTTTAAAATATATAATCAATCAAATTCAAAAACACATATTAAATTTTTTTTTACAAATTACTTTAAACCTCACTTAAACATGTTTCAACAAAGTTAAGACATTATTTAAACAATACTTAATTTAACTTAAATATATTTTTTGATCAAAATGATGTAGCATTTTTCAAAAACAAATATTTCTCTATAACACTAAATGAGATATGAATCTAAATTTTTAAAGAAGAAAATTTATATACAAAATTATTAGTTATATTATACAAATGGTAAAATAATTAATCCTACAATTTACAAAACAATTATTTCTCTATAACACTAAATAAGATATGATTCTAAATTTAAAGAAGAAAATTTATATACATAATTAATCCTACAATTCACATCTGAAAGAAGCATATGAGTCAATCAAGAACGTTTTGAAATGGGGATGAAACATAAAATTAATTGTTTCACAACAAAGTTAACAAAGAACATATTTGAAAGAAAGAGTTTAGAAGATTAAAATCTTTTCTACAGCACTACTGAATGCAATGGCGATGCTTAGTTCTTCAAGATACCGTTATTTGCAAGTATAATATCCAAAGCTAAACATTATATGTCATATTTACAATTTAAACATAACGTGCAAGAACTTTTGTTTTTTAATCCATAAAATGGTAATAGTAAGTATTTTGAATATTAGAGACTTTAAATGTTTCTAACAATAGCGCTTAGGTTCATTATTTCAAATAGGGATCTGAAAAATTAGTAAAAACTCAACAAGATTTTTACTTTTTTAAAAAATCAGATCAGAGCAAAAAAAACTTTAAACATGTAATTGGGAAAAATAGTCTTCAACTGTTACTATCTGTTTTAAAGTTTTCTAAGAATTTTTGCTTCAAATAGAAAATTTTGTGCAAAATTATTAGATGAAAAAATATACTAAGAGCCAGTCAATAGGGATGCTTTTTTATTAAGACTAATTAGGTTAATAGGATAGGTTAATTTCGAAATATTTAGCAAATTAAGTAGGCCCAGAAAAGTTGATAAATGATAATAGTAAGTATTTTGAATATCGGAGTCTTTTCTTTAAATGTTTCTAACAATAGCGCTAAGGTCCATGATTTCTAATGTTTTAAAATTTTCTAGAAATTTTTGCTTGAAATAAAAAATTTTGGGAAAAATTATTAGATCAAAAATATACTACGGGCCAGTCAATAGGGATATTTTTTTTATTAAGACTAATTAGGTTAATTTCGAAATATTTAGTGAATTAAGTAGGCCCAAAAAAGTGGATAAAAGATAATAGTAAGTATTTTGAATATCGGAGACTTTTCTTTAAATGTTTCTAACAATAGCGCTAAGGTCCATGTTTTCTAATGTTTTAAAATTTTCTAGGAATTTTTGTTTCAAATAAAAAATTATGTGAAAAATTATTAGATCAAAAATATACTAGGGGCCAGTCAATAGAGACAATTTTTTTTAATTAAGACTAATAAGGTAAATTTCGAAATATTTAGTAAATTAAGTAGGCCCAGAAAACTGGATAGGCCTCGTTCTCATATTTATCATGATAAGACCTTGCTTATCAGGCAAAGAACATCGTTCAGAGACTGCAAGCCTTTTTGACTCAGTTTGTGTCATTTCAATTACAGTTAATTACTTTCAGGAGTCCAATGTGTCACTTGTCAGATTTTTTTTAAAAAAATAAATTATTTGAAAGCTACTGCTTTGGCTTTAAACCATATAATCACAATGCATAACTATATTGGCTTTTTGGTTATTAACTTGCTTTAAATCTAAAGCAAGGCGTTTTCTCATAATCCATTGTACAGAATTCACAATATTATTGAAACTCGTAATTTAGTTTGATTTCTAAATTTATAACTCAATATAATTTAAGTAACTAAAGAAATTTCAGTAATTAATAAGCAATTTAATAGAGCTTTCCTTTGTGGCAATTAAGTATATGTCACATGCCACCAAGAGATATACATGCCCTCTAGTAACATACATGCCACAGGTTCGCCATCTCTGACCTAGTTGGATATGAAACAAATGTATTCTGCAAGGGAATGATTAATTTGTAAATATTACAATTGCACATTTATTTGTAGGTACCATACCAGTAAATAACTCACGATTGTATAGTTTGTCTACAGTAAGAACTCCCCTGCCACAAAGTTTGAGGCCGCCTGCTACTATGGAAATGAGAATAGTGCATTTCAGGGAGGGTAGCTTCTCTTCAATCTAGGGCTAACACAATAGACAGAGAAAACAAATTCGGTTTCTCTCGTCCACCCAAGCAAAAGCCAGTCCTAAACAATGACCCCACACCCCTACTTGAAATAGTTATATCTCATTACAGATAAATGGTTAGGAAAGTTCTTACTTTAGACAAACTATACTTTCAAACGAAGTATATCCTATGTCAACAAAGGCTTCCTTTTATTTTCGCTTTTGATCATATCTTCCAGAAGACTGTCCTTCTCCTCCTCGTCGCTCTTTCCTCCTTCACTGGATCCTTCATCTTCAGATCCTTCGATATCCTCCTCAATAGGATCGCTGGGAAGGTCTGATCCAAGACTCTTCATGGAGGCTCCCGTTTCCTGGCACATCTTATAAAGCTCAGTGAGATCTTCCTCCAGGGTGTCTTCGTTTTCCTCCTCATCATCATCTGGAACGACGTCATGACACTTCTTGGAGGTCTCACTCATCTCCTCCACCATCTGCCTGGACACATTTTTATTTTTGCGGTTCTGAAACAGAAGGACACAATGTCAGCAAACATTTCTGAAAAGAGACACTTTATAGATTTTGATTTGTACTTTTTCTCCAAGGAAATTATGTAGAAACATAAGTTTATGACCCACAGAAGTCCCCCCGAGTCTCAAGACATATACTTAGTGATTGTGAGGTCTATTCTGCTCTAAGATTCGAGCATACGAGGTTAACATTGCATTAAGGCCTGTGAATTACGGGATATTCCAGTCAGGAGTTTGCTGAGCTTTGTTTCAGCTATCAAGCTTTTCCGTTAATCCTTGGGTACAATAGACCTCTGGTCGATGTGCCTTGCTCCTCGGAGCTGCCCGACGTCTAAGTCTATCGATCTAAGTATTACAATAAAAATAACGTGAAAATCTATAAAAAAAAAAACATTCTTCTCGGACAAATTGTAATCTCTTCCTAGTAGCAGATAAAAAGTTGCTCTAATTTGGACTTTGGGTTATCTAGACAATGAGGTATTATCTCCAGCATATATTTTTTAACTCTGAATCAAATAACACTAAGTTTGAGACAGGACTAATAATTCAGAAATTATTAGTCCTGTCTCAATGCAAACCTGCCAACATTGGAGAAATAAAATAACGGAGATTTTACTAGCAAAACTTTTTAGGCTACGAGTGAAGTTTGAATACATCATGCATAATCATGTAAGTCAAAAAGAGAAATTTAAAATTGGAAATAATATAAGCACTTACATTTACAATTGGAAATAATATAGCACGAAGTAAAAAATATGCATATAAATCTTAATCTAAAGAAGGCTTTTTTGAACTATCATTTATAATTACTTAAACTATAAACACTCGACACACTGCAGTACTGGCAATAGCATCATCTGCTGAAGAATAAGATAAATATTTTTGCCCTCAGCAAATATTTTATGGGCAAAATTTCTTTTTTAAATTTCTTTTTTCAAATATGGAGAAATTTGAGAATATAAGGGCAAACAGGAAATAGTCGTAAAATACAGGAGTCTTCGCTAAAAAAAAAAAAAAAAACAGGAGACTTCAGGTATGTCAATGGCTTTATGCACAAAAAGTTCTATTTTTTGATTTGTAACAAATTTAATAGTGCACCTTGTACTTATTTGCACATGTGACATTGCAAATTTGATTTGTACTTATTTGTTGTTTGACATTGCTGTTTCTATTGGGTGAAACATTTTGCATGAATGCCAAATTGATATCCCATTTTTACAGTACAAAAGTGAATGTTTAAATGTTCCATTTTATTGATTGAATAATTGCTATTTACTAATTGAATGCTGTAAACAGGGTATTTGCTACATTTTGGATTTTCAAATCCATGACTTTTTATGACTAATTCCAAGAATTTTTCATGACTTACTGAAGTTACTATTTTCTCCCACAAAAACACAACAATATATTTAATAACTTTTCTTTATCTGCTTAAGCACGCAGCAGCCTTTAAACACTGGATATTATTGCTGGCCACGCTCAAAGCCCTGAGGCAGAACCGTGGGCAAACACGGCGACATTGTCGCAGAATGCAATTGAGTTCTTGCAGAAAGGCAAAAGCAATTTTCTTTTGGAAAGTTAAAAATTTTGGTTTTCTTTTCAAAAGAATTTTTTTAGGAAGTTTTTCTTTCTTTTTTTTTCCTGCAGAATTATACTCTAAAGATACTTTTCTTGCTCATCAGTAAAGAAAGAAATGCTCCTGATTTTTCTGTTCTCATTTGGGAATTCACCAATGAATGGCTTGCTTCAGTTATAATTTTAAATTTATAAAATAAAATATTAAAATAAATAATAAATAAAAAAATTCTGAAATCACTGAAGTTAAAATATAATTTGCTCTAGAAATGATGTTCTTTCTTTCATTTTTTGAAAGAACACCATAATTTTGAAAGAACATTTTATATTTTAATAAAATGCGACTGTGAGTGGGGATTTTGTTACAAATTCAGGTATTCGGAACACTATGAAACTGGGGGGAAATTCCATTTTAAAAATTAGATTTTTNAAATTCCATTTTAAGAATGAGATTTTCTTGAGACCTAAATCCATGATTTGAAAAAAAAAATTATTTAAAATCATTTCATGACAAATTTTGTTCAATACCGAAATCCATGACTTTCCAGGTGCGCAGATACCCTGTATAAAGAATGGAAGAGGCCATAAAATACCAGCAAAAAGATATGCTTTTTTTTAATAGGTTGAATGGACTTACCCTGATTTTTACATCACTTTTCTGAATAACTTGGTCGTCAACTACCGATCTTTTGTTGAGAGTATCATTCACAGCGCCCATATGCTGGATTATTCGTTCCATGGCCTGCTCTGTTTCTTCCAACTTTTTCTTCAATTTATAGATTTCATAATCCTCTGCACAATATAAAAGCTACATTTAAACAAAATATTAACTAGCATAAAATTAAATAATCAATCAAAATTCAATTTTAAATAATAGAAGTTATTTCACTGTAATAAAACTTTAATTTATAGATTTCGCAATCCTTTGCACAAATTATTAACTCAGATAAAGTAATAAATATCAATCAGAATTCAGTTTTAGACAACAGAAGGTACAATACCCTACAATAAGGGTTGTTGTTCATTTACGTCACACTAGAGCTGCACAATGGGCTAATGGCAACTGTCTGGGAAACATTCCTGAGGATGATCCTAAGACATGCCATCAAAATTTTGATCCTCTATAGAGGGGATAGCACCCCCACTTTAGTAGCCTGACGACCTGCACTTACATACCAGTTATTTACATCAAGGGACAAACAAATCTCTCTATTTGCAACGAAGCCACCGAAGTGAATTTTTTCTTCAAGATATTTCCCAAAAGCTTATTGATTTACATTGCCCAATGTACGAACGAAGGAATAGAAATGGAGAATAAAGCATTTAAGGAAAGGGAAGCAAGTTCAGCATCAGACAGTCAATACGCTACAGACAAAATGCATCACATGACCGACAAATTCGAAATCATGACAGTAGTTGGGATATTGCTGATCATAAGCTACAACCGGGTACTTCAAATGGCTCACTATTGGTCACTCAATTGTTCGCTGGGAAATGCAGCTATTCAAAAGGAGATGAGCAGGGACCGATTTCTTTTTTTTATTGTAAAATTATATTTCAATTTAGAAACCTGCAGATACTTCGAAATTATATTATATTGAAGAATTAGTTTCCTGCTTGAAGTGTACTTTTTTGAAGAGTTTTACTGGCAGCACAAGGCAGTCAATAGACGAGTCAATGGTCAAATTCAAGGGGAGGAACAGTCTGAAACAGTACCAACCCATGAAACCAGTAAAGAGAGGTATCAAAGCTTGGGAGTGCTGCGATTCTAAGACTGGATATGTATAGGACTTCAACATTTACACGGGGGAAAGAATCTTCAGTGACTGAAGGATTTCTGGGAGAACGTGTAAAAATGCTTATTTCTACAGTGAAGATTCCCCAAATCGTTCTATGTTTCGACTAATTTTTCACTTATGTCAATCTGATGCACACCCTGCCCCATGGATGTGTTGGCACCTACATGAAAGAACGAAAAAATACACCAACATTTCTGACTGCGAGAAGACAAGAAGTACAGCGAGGTGATTCGGTTTTCCAAACTACAAGAGAGAGAATAATTGCTGTCAAATGGATGGGCACGAAGGAAGTTTTTGTCACGTTGAATTGCCATAGCAATGAATTAACTACTTCGATTAGAACTCTAAAACATGGATCTAAGAAGGAGTTCCCCTGCCCGTCAATGGTAAGATTTTACAACAGGTTCATGGGTGGAGTTGACTTCTCTGACCAACTGGGAACATGCTACAAGGTGGATCGTAAATCCAACAAGTGGTGGAAAAAGGTATTCTACAGATTACTGATGACCTCGATTGTTGATGCCCATGTCAAGATGTTACTGAACAAAGACGTCCCTTATTACCATTCCTCGAAGCTGTTGCTGAAAGTCTCCCAACATTTAGAAATAAAAACAAGGAAGTCAATAAGCAAAGGCCCTCTTCCTCCAAAACTATATCATCGTCATCATCAACAGCAAGACTTTTCAATGTTGGAAACCATTTCCCGATTGAGGGAAAAACGCACAGAAGATGTGCACAGTGCGCAAAAATGAAGAAAGAGGCATGCTCGAAAATCACCTCTTGCAACGTAGCACTGTGCAAGAACTGTTTCCAACCCTACCACACCCTCAAGAAACCCAGACTTTAGGTACTGTTGTTCCTCCATTACTTTCAATGTTTTAAAATTTTTTCACCATTCTTATTTTATAACTGTTAATTCTGAAAAGTGTTTATAAATAAACATGGTAGTAAAAATGTTAACGAAAATGTACATGAAAATGTTAATAAAAAAAAAACATTGCCTAAAATAATCATCAAAATGTTAAGTAAAATGTCAATAAAAATGAGTTATTGACTCTAGAATTCTGACCGGGACATACCCTGTCCCATCAATAAAGCTTATGAAATCATTGTTGCAGGTGGCGCGCTGTTATGGGGACGTTTATGCGTTTCCAAGACCATCAACCTTTCAGGCATGAAACTTATCTAATCTAATAACTGCTTGGAGGAGAAATAACAGATCCCGGCAATGGGGTGGAATCGGACGGATTTTTTGCCGTATTAAAAGGGTTAAAAATATATAAATAGAAGCAGTTAAAAATTTATCAATTGTAAGCAAATTAAATTTAATTTATATATAATTGGTGGACAAAATGATGGAAATGCTTCTACACTAATTTTTTCATATTTTTCAAAAAATACTAAAAGAAGCATTTTATAATGAAAGTCATGCTATTTCTCATACTTATCAATCATTTTTAAAGCTTTCAGAACTTTAAGGGACTGGTATTACATTGAAAACAACAACAAACATTATTAATCACCTGTGCTACAATATACAGCAATAAGTTTGTAACTTGCATTATTGTAAGCTATTATCATTTGTAATGAAATTTTGTTTTATAATGCAAAATGAAATTTGAGGAAACCCTCTTATCATTTAGAGCTTTTTTTGAAAAATTAGAAAACTGTTAGAAACTTTTTAAATTTTCAAGATATTCAAATTGGATTTTTTCATGAGTTATCTAATACAATTCACTACAAAATTACGAAAAAACCTTCTCGCATCTTTTACACACATGCACAGTATCAAAGAACGATTTCAAATGCTTATAACTTATTCAATTTTACATAATATTTTGTTATCAATTAAAAATTGCCCCAAAAATTTGTTTAATTTCATTGAATATTTTTTAAACATTATTACAAAAAATAGGCCAAAAAATATTTTTTTAAAATAAAAATGTCCATAAAAATTTCAGCTAAATTTCATGCAATAATTGCAAATAACAACCAAAGTAATCTATGGAAGTTACCAGCTTATTGCTATATTTTCGGGCATAAACTGTCAAAAAATACTTGTTTTCGTTTATAATTCTTTGGTGGTCCCTTAAAGCTCTAAAAGATTCCTCACAATATTTCTTGAGAAATTTAAAAATATGTCTGAAACTGAAAGATTGTCTTCCATTAATTGTACGGTTATGTATTTTCAATGTAAAAAACTTCTTCAATTTATAGACATTATAATCCTGTGGACAATAAAAGCTACAGTTAAACAAAATATTAACTCACATAAATTAATAAATGTCAATCGGAATTCGATTTAAAACAGAAGGCATTTTCAATGTAAAAGAAACTTTGTCAATTTATAAATTCTATAATCCTATAAAAGAAGGTTCACACTAAAATAAATAAATAAATAAATAAAATAAAAAAAATAATAAAATTTTTTTCCCCCCGACTTTTCCAGGTAAATTTACGATAAATTTTAGTCAAATAAAAATGTAACAAAATTTGTATTAAAAAAATGTTAATAAAATTATAAATAAAATTGCAATGCGAAGAATTAATAAATTAATTTTATCTCCTTAATAGAGGGCTAATGTCATATGTTGCAATATGTACTTATATAAATAATAAATCAGTATAACACCGGATGTCAAGCATCATCTTTGATTAAATGTTTCATTTTATCATAAGTTTATGAAATATCCACCCTTATAATATTAAATGGANCCTATAAAACAAGGTTCACACTAAAATAAATAAATAAAATAAAAATATTTTTTTCCCCTGACTTTTCCAGGTAAATTTACGAAAAATTTTATTCAAATAAAAATTTAACAAAATTTGTATTAAAATTTTTTTAATAAAATTATAAATAAAATTGCAACGCGAAAAAGCATTTATAAATCAATTTTATCTCCTTGATAGAGGGCTAATGTCATATGTTGCAATGTGTACTTATATAAATAATAAATCAGTATAACACCGGATGTCAAGCATCATCTTTGATTAAATGTTTCATTTTATCATAAGTTTATGAAATATCCACCCTTATAATATTAAATGGAAATTGTCAACAAAGTGTATAAAGTTTTATCTTTTCAATGCCTTCACTTTTGTTTAAAACTTGAATTTTTTATGTAGCATTTTTATAACTTTAAAAAATATTACAGAGAATGCATGAAATCTATTCTATAAAATTCATGAGTTTTATAACTTTCTAATAAAATATAGAATGTGTTATTAAAGAAAAAAGAAGGGGGTATAAGTATAGAAGAAAAATAATTATTCTTACTTGCATCCAATTCAGCAGCTATGAATAAAATAAAAATGAGAAAATTGTAAATAAATTTCTGATACTTTCAATAAAAATTACTAAGTAAAGTAAGGAAACACATGAAATGAAAGGAAAAACACAAAGAAAGAAATTTTTTTCTTCCTTAATAAATAAGATGTTACTTTTAAACATTGTATTCGATTTATATACACTATTTTTATTTAGTCTCTTTCCTCTCAGCTGAAACATTATTAAAAATAATAATTTTGATTAATAAAAAAATAGAATCAGTAACAATAATTTGCTAGGGATGCAAGAAATAATGATTTGGCAAACAAAAATCTGCCGAATAGCAACATTTTGCTTAAAAAGAAATCATTCATAAATATTTTTAATACATAAATAAGTTCAGTCATTAAAGAAAAATAAGCAAATCTAGCCTATATTACTGGTATGGGGTAAACTAAAAATTTAAAGCTAAAAATCACAATTAAACTTTTTCACATAGTTGAATTTTTTAAAAAGTGACCATAAATAATAACTTTCATAAGAAATGCTCTTTAAAAAACACTGATAAGAAGAAAAGTTAATATAAAAATTTAAAAGAGAAATTTTTTTCTTTTCTTCATAGTTCTAGAATATAACTTTAACGTTGAGAATCATAGTTTTCTATGTCAGTGGTTAACCATTTTATTGTACTAATTAAAAAAATATTCAAAAGTGACAATAAAAAAATTGAAAATGCTGCACTATAATTCAAAAAGAACAACAGCAAAAACGGAAAAAAAGTTTTCGATTCTAAAAACAAAAAAATGTAGAAAAACAACAAAATTGACCGAATACATAACTCATGTTTCATTATAAAGTAATATAGTTTTAATGCTTTAAATTTTGCTTCTCCATTTGTCGTTCAGAACATAAATTACAAATTTTGGAACTTAACAAATAAATGTGAAACTTATTTCTAATAATGTATCGCGATTTCAGATTATTCCTTACTAAATCTATTCTAATTCCAAAGGATAGGGAAAAAATTTTGTTGAAAAATACTTTGTCGAATATTTGGTAAAAAAGTCCAAATACCGAATAGAGGCCGAATATTCGTAACATCCCTAATATTTACTACAAAAAATAAGTAAGATAATAAAATTCAGTACTACTGAGATATCTCTATAGTTATGTTTAGTAAAATAAACTAAACAGACAGTTTAATAAAAAAAAGTCTTATTAAATATCAGTATGTAATTAATAAAATATTTAATAATTTTCTAAATTATAAAATCTTTAAGGCTATAAAAACGTACTGTAACTATGAATTTTTTTATTTACATATAATGTTAAAATAAAATCAATGTGCGAGTCAATATTAAAACTAATGCAAAGCAACAATACTAATACAAGTGCCCACTTCATTTCAGAAAGAAAAAAAATTCCCTGACATCTCCCTGCTCTTCAGGAAAATTTAAATGTAAATCCAGATCACATTTTAGCTATACCATACAATTTTTCATTGGAAAACTTTGAATTTTTTAAATTTATTTAGCAAAAAAAAATGTCAAATATTAGAATTTGTCAGGAAATATCATAAAAACAAGGAAAAGTTTCACTGTAACTTTTGCAACAAATAATTACAAAAATTTTTAGAATTATTTAACTTGAATCTCAATAACTGATTACTGTTACCAACAATTTTGAGACTGATTATTTCCTAGGTAGGTATTTTACAGGTTTTTGTAAAAAAAATAATCCTGTTTATCCCCTGATTTTTAGAGTAAAACTAAAATTCCCTGACAATTCCAAAATTTTCCCTGACCCATGGGAGCTCTGTAACAATAAAATAATCTAAAATTAAAAAAAAAGGAGAGGGCTTGGGACTTTTAATTATCAGTTATGATTAAAAAAAATTGAAGCTTATTATAATTTAATAATATATAACTATGAGTTTAGTAGTACCTTGTCCTTCCTCTTCGCTTTCAGGAATTGCGGTTTTGCATGCTGCAACACTCTTTTTCTTGCCTCCTCGTTTGGTAGTAGTTTTGGGAGGTGGTGGAGGTGTCTTTATAATTTCATCCGTCTCCTGGCAGATAAATTTACGATATTCAGGATCCATGTGAAAATCTTTGATCAGAGGCTTCTTCTGTTCTTCAGGGTTCTTTTTAAAAACAAGCTAAATAAAGAATGAACATTTAACTTTATATCCACATCTGTCACCAGGGATGGCAAGTTTCTTCCAACCCAATTGGAAAAATTGGAAGAGACTTGATTGAAAAAGGCATATCTAATATTAAAATAATGTTTTAAACAGTTTATTATTGCAATCTAGTTTAAATAATAGTATTAATATTTAAGCTATTTAATATATCATTCTTAAATAAGTATAACTAAACTAAACAACTGGAAAGAGAAATAAATTTAACGAATTGCTCATGAAGTTAAAATAACTGGAGTTCTCCGATGTTTTATGTTAATGGGAAACTTAATTAACAAATAGTATGATAAATCTTAATTAACAAATCATATTTTCAACATATACACTACTACAAATCACATATTGAATTCACAATTACTAATTAATGCTAGTAGTAGACTAAAGATAATGTAATAAACAGATTTTAAAATTCTATATAAAACTAAAATAAATAATATGAAAATAGTTACTTTCCTTTAAAAGAAAAAGTATTTGTTAAAAACTTTCAATTCACTGGTACTGCATAAAATTTTTGTTCAAATTTACCATTTTTTAAAAACTTATTGCTGAAGAACCGTTTTTACCATTTTTAGGTTCTTCCCGTGTATTGGAAGAAAAAGGTTTCTTCCTGTATCCTAGAAGAAATAGGTTTCTCCCGGATAAAATGCCAACCCTGATTATAATATGTCCAAAACCAAAATAATTTTTTGTAAACTAACACATCTTTCAATTTACACAATATTTGTTCTATATTACACTCCAACTTCTACAAATTGAATGTCTATAACAAGAATTATTTTGCAGAGGCAAATGGCACACTTGCCCAAACATTATAAAGTTTAAGGTCCACAAATGTCACTGCACAAAATTTTACATTTTAAAGTATTTTTACCTTTAATATTTTTATTCTTTTTCAGTAAGAGATTATCAGTATTTTATCAACTGCTTTATGAAAATTTATACTGTACTAGTTAAATGAAATTAAATCAACTCTATATTATTGACATTAAATCAAAAGTAATGCTTTTCTTTTTACAACAATATTTTCCTTTATTAAGAAACTAAAAGCTTCTTAAAGATTGATATAATGTTTTTTTTGTTGTTTTTTTCAAATTTTTTTTATTTATCAAAATAGCAATAATAAAAATCTTACTAATTGAATTGTTGCTTATTTATATTCATTCATGGGACTATCTTGCAATAAATAGTTTAGAACTTTTACTATTATTTTTTACTTTATATGTAATTTTTTTTCTTTAAAAACGATTTAAAACTCTGAAATTTTGAGGGTCCTCAAATCAGTATTCTGCACAGGATCTAACTTTCTCATAATCATACCATCTGAAACTTTTTATTACAAAAAACAATTTTTTAACTTTTATAATACCAGAAAAAGCTTTAATTTTTAATATTTTTCAATAACTCAATTTTTCTTCTTCTTTTCTTTTTGAAGATGAAAACATATTTTTTTTTATCTCCCATACAATAAAACTGATTGAATTTTTGTTGAAAAAAATTGCAATTTGAAATTTTTTGTTTTGTTATAATGTATATAAAGAATTGGCAGGATTATAACTGATTTTGAATGAAGGTAAACTAAAAAATACGTCTGATTAGGAAAAAGGGAAATTGTAAGTTATCTACAAAAAAGTGTCTCTCAAATTTACTTATTAATTTTACTAATTGACTTATATACAGATCTTGAATTTACGGTAGATTTTAAAGAAGTATTGTATTTTCTACATGGATTGACTCATGTTTGGACACACCTATTGAATGTTCTATTAATCAAGTTTTCAACAAACTCATCTTTTTCAACTTATGATAACTGCCTTTCAAGTTTTCAAAATTTTACTATAGGGTGATTCCACCGTTTATGAATGTCTCATTTGCTGATTTTAAAAGTTTATTACTCAGTTAAAATCTGAGTATATCTAATAATTTCTCTGAAAATAAGTCTTGATGTCATTTACAAGTTTTAGAAAGTTTTTTCTTCTTAAAAAAATGAAAAATTATATTGCGCGTCCTGAGGTAAACTTTTTTCGAGCTATCAGCGACAAACCTTTCTGCGAGATACTTTTAATAATAAAAAACATATATATTACTAATTTAATATAATAACAGTGCTGTGGTTACAAAAAAAACTATATAATTATTTTTTTAATTGGACATGGAATAATCTTTTACTCTAATATTATGGGTGATATTCTCGCATTTTGTTGGAGAGGGGAATGCACAAATTATTTTCTTTTCCGCATTTCGTAAATAATCGTCATAAAAAAAATTTAAATTCATGAAATCTGTAGAAGTAATTGCCAAAAAAGGATCAACGAAATCATGCAAATCAGACTCCTCAAATGGTTGTTTTGTTTTGAGATTAGGTTGTTGTAACAAATAATATTGGGTTTAAAAACTATGCCATTGGGTTTAAAAACTAAACCATTCAATAGAATTATTGCCTTGAAAAGTAAATGCTCAAAAGCACGATTCGAAATTTCCATATTGTTTGAAATATATCGGGATATTTAAAATTCATGTGAAAATTAATTTGAATAACTACTAATGATACAATCAATACATTACATTAATCGACAATTATCAACAATAATTATCGGCCTAAATTGAGCGAGTCAAAAAGTGATTATCTAAATGCATGATTAAAATATTAAGTAAAAATTTCTGTAGAAAAAAAAAGTAATTTTTTACAATTTTTCATAAAAAAAATCTTATTGCAAGAACTCTGTAACATTCTGCGACAATGTCGTGATTTTGCCACGGTATTATGTGACATGAGAAACACCAGTTTTTAAATTTAAAGAAAATTTAAGCAAATAAAAGCTACCAAAAAATTAGAGTAGGTGTAAATGACAAAGATTTATTTTTTAAAGAAAGCTTTTAGAACTGCTCGGTTCTGTTTGCCATCTGCCCTGTAGTATGAAAATTTGATTAAATTAATGATATAGGTTGCAAACTTGAAGAAGGCATATTACCTTGAGGACAGTGTATATAAAGAAGACTATGATCCCAACAGTATAAATTGGCATGATTATACTCATGGCACCACCAGACTTCGGTTGAGACTTGACAGGCTGCCTGGATTGAGGATGAGGAAATGGCTGAAAGAGAGATCAACATGTTAAAGTGTGTATAGGAACATTGTTACAATGAGTACAAGATTTAAATAACTATGGATGGTTGATTGAATGTTGATTGATTGAAACAATAACAAGCTCCCTAAAACCGGAAGGAAATTAGAAAACTTCTGGTGTATCCCTCTGCTTATGTTATACTTACGAGATAATGTGTGAACAGGCTTAATACTCTAGGACAGGGGTGGCGAACCTTTATGCACCAATGTGCTATTTTTTCAAAATATTGTTTAATGAGGTAATAGACGTGCTGTCAAATAATTTTGACTTCGTGATTATTGAGAAAATAATAATACTAAATACTATCAACTCAAAACTCTTTATTTACTATGAAAAAAAAATTGCAATGTTTTTATACGGGCAACAGTTATACGTGTAATTCAACTTAAAGTAACATTAGTGTGACTTCTGTTATTGCAGATTAGATGACAAATAACTTACATTAAAGTTGTAAGATGTTAGTTTAAGCAGGACTGTTAATTTCTTTTTTGCTTGTTATTTATTGTTAGCTCATTTTTTATAGTTATTGTTTTATTGGAATTAATTGTAAATTTTTTTTTGTTAATTTTAATGTAATTGTTAACATGCTTCATAGTGAACTTGTGATCGGTGGCGTGCCCAGAATATTGTGTTGCGTGCCATAAATGGCACTCGTGCTATTGGTTCGCGATCCCTGCCCTACGAAGTTTTATTATTGTGATTTGTGTTTAAATTTCGGCATAGTTTTTACATTCCAAAGAGTTATTTCACCGTTCATTTTGTAATTTACAAATTCTAACAGGTCATTAGCCTACAAAAATGTGACGAAATTAATATTACAGCAAAAATAAAGCGTAAGCTTAGCCATGTTTTGAGTGTTATTCCTTACTTACATCGTAAAATAACATCGTTGCTATTTTTTGGATAGCAACATAGCAAGCCTGCAGAATCTTCGAATTTATTTGCTGTTTGCTACGTTGGAAGTTAGATTAGGAAAATGCGTTATATTGTAAACACTACAAGCATAATAATATTGGATGGATAATTTTTCCAAGCTTAGGTGTAAAAATCAGTCGGAAGTAGTAACTGGGAAGTCTTACCGCAACTTTTAACCCCTACCGCCATCTACGTTTAGTTTCACACAGTCAACCATCCATAAAAGAAGAAATATAACAGCATTACAACCAATAAATAGATTTTAATCAAATTACAAGTAACAAAGTCTTTTTAATTTTGACAATTACTTTTATTTAAAACATTAACTCTAGTTATCTTATCTTCTAATAAAAAGTATTTTAAAAACTGGAATTTTACAGTCATAATTTAAAAGTAATTAGTAGATAAGGATAGGAATAGCATGGAAAAAATATAGAAATAATTAAGTTAATAATATTAGAGGAGTTATGAATTAAAGAAGCTTAAAATTATCCATGATTGGCCGTGCAGTATAAAAAAATTATAAAATAAAAATTTAAATATATACTCTTCCATCTCTCATCATAAATTTTTCATGGACATTCTCAGGAGTCACACTTCCTCTCATGCGAGGATTGATTGATCCAGGATGCAAATGGGGAGGACGATCAGTCTCCTTATATCCTACAGACAAAAATAAGCATATTAGAACAGTAATAAGAAGATTTCAAAATATCCTTAAAGACATCTAATTTTATTATATACATTTTATACCTTAAAAAAATTTTTTTTAGTATATAAGTACTATAAGTAATTTAAATAGAAATAATTAAATAGAGATGTGGTACAAATATTCTCATAACCAGTATCATAATAAATATTTTTAACAATGCACATCTAACAATAATCTCTACGAAGGTGCGTAGCCAAATCTTTTAACAAAAAAAGCACTTTTTAAGTATTTAATAAGCACTCAAAAAATATTTTTATGTACTACATATATTAGTAAAATGCAAAATAATTTTCAAAGACTTTACATGATCAAGATAAAATAAATAGTTTTTGACAAAGAATTATTTTCTTGATTATACTTGATTATAAGAATTATTTTCTTAAAATTTCAAGTCTTATGAACGAAGTTATTCCTTGTTTTTCCAACTAAACCACAAAAATAGTGCCAAAGTTGAAGCGTTTCAAATACCTATAGATTCTTATAGAGATCCATAGGCCATACTGGGGCAAAAAATATAATCATAATAAATCAAAATTTGTAAGATAATACAAAATGATCTCACAATATTAACTGGATATAAGTTAAAAAATATAATTTAAAATTTTACAAATAAAGTTATTTTATTGTTTCTAATAAAAAAATTTCCCTTCCTTTTTTTGCGAATTCCTACAACAAGCAGTATTACAAACACTACAAAGAAAATTGGCTAAATACTAATTAGTGTTTGTTGTAGCAATCTATTGTATAAAATCTATACTCTTTATTCTTTTTTTTTAACAATAATGGTCAGTTTTTTAGAAGTAATATTTAAATTTTTGAAATTTTTTTTTAAACATATCCCAATTTGCATAGGAGAAAAGAGTTTTTAATAACATTATGCTTGAATCAAAAGCCTAATCATTATCATCATTAGAGTCAGCCTTCTTCATTTTTCCTTCTATCAAAACAACTAAAGCCCTTCCAAATAAATTTTTACAATGATTTTAGTATCTAAGTAAATTTTGCAATTAAATGACAATTTTACTATTAATTGTTTGATTTCTATAATCATAATTAATTCATATTTTCTGATAGTTTTCCATAACTTTGACCAAAACACATTTGATTTATGATAGAGGATCTTATAATATACATTCTGTTGATACCAAGCATAGGAGATTTTATTGATTGCAGTAACCAAGGCACTACCTTACACTTGAAATAAAGTTTTTATAAATGTATAGTGATTTTTCTATAGAGAACTTCCAATTTCTTAGTCTTAGTAGTCTTAGTAACCAAAGTCTTAGTAACCATTATTCATGCATATTATATGAAACAAATAAATTTATAACAGAAATCACCAGTAAGGAGAGATTTCCATATCGTGATCTGTGGCAGAATAATTGCCAAATCTTGGCAACTTCCGGGCAAGGGCCCGCGAGAAACTAAAAAAGAAAACTTCACAGAAAGGGACCAACTCAAAAAGTAAAACTCATAGACATCCCAGGACAAACATCTACATACTTTTCTGAAAAAAGTTGCAAGTTTAAAATCTATTTGGTATTCCTGGTGATTATAGTTGGCGCCAGATCACTATACAGAAATAACCCCACGGTTTAGGTGTTTTTAAATTTTAAGGAAATATTTATGTATCAGCAGTTGTTTGCACCAATTACTAGCATTTTTGTCATAAAGGTCTTGTTTTCCAGTGAAGCTTTGGCTTATACTTGAAAGATTATTGCAAACAAAATATGACTTTTTATATAAAAGTTAAAGACAATGAGAATATGATTAAAAATTATATAAAGTTGATGGCAATTTTTACAGTTTTCTATTGGCTAAGAAAAAACTAAATTTGTAGTTACTTTATACACATCCTTCCTAGCCTATACATAGGAAGGATATTTAATAATTATCTTTTTAATTTTATTTAACAAAAATTCATAAAACGAACTTTCTTTTTAATTAAAAATTTATAAACTAATAACAAATTTTGTAATGCTTCAATAATGTTACATAAGAAAATATTAATGTTGGTTTGGTGTAGAATCGGAATTGGGCAACTAATCATGAAACTTTTACTGTAAAGAAATCCTTTCATTTTCCTAATACTTTTATCTCAAATTAGTATATGAACATTATTCAGAGAACACAATTAATAATTTAAATCTTCCATTCCCTTAGAATTTCTACCTCAATTTTTTATTATGAGATCATTATTGTTAGAACATAAATAGAGTCAAATTAAGAGAGGCACCCAATCAATAATTTTTACCAAATATTGTATAAATAAATATTTTAAATGCAATACTAAGTTAACAGTAAATTTAAACTCACTTCCATCACTATCCACTTTGGAGCTTGATAAAGCAAATGCGGCCTGCCACATTGGATAAAATATTTTCGGCCATAATATCGCAAAACATCCGAGAACAATCGCTAACACAGCAAGAGTTTTTCCAGTTCCGAAATCCGCTTGAGCCATTTCACAAATTAAATTCCTTAGGATAAAAGTCAATCATTCCATTAAAATTCTCAGTCGAACATTTATTTAATAAAATTTCAATACAGTATATATAATTAATGAAAGAAAATAAAATTTAATACAATAACAATTCTCAGATTTGTAGCAAATACCACAAATCTATAGCAGAACTGTTTTCATTTTTGAAGACATCTGGAATGCAAAAGCGTATAGCTTTCATAGGAAATTTTATTGCTTTAGCTATTTATTCACCGAGGGAAACATCTCAACTCTGCTTCACCATAAAATAAAAATAAACAATAAACCGATACCAATCAAAACCATGGCCCCTGCCACTGAGAGACGACCGCGTGGTAGGCGGGGAATTAAAAATATAACAAATTATTTTACTTTGTCGGATATTAAAATTATACTTCAGAATCCTACATACAATTGGTTAATTGCTTTAGGACTTTTAGTGTTTGAATTATTTTTAACTCTATACATAATTTATAAAGTGCCTTGTAAGTGTGAATATCACGTTTAAAAATATTGATATTAGAAAAATGCGTACCGTAATGTTATGCAAGCAATTTTATTATAAAGAAATGCGTTGTTTATATTTTAACTATATTTTATTTGGGATGATTTATGTATTGTGATTCCGTTCGGGGATATACTTTTACACTTTCATAAAAATTGAATTATTGCAATGAAGGAGCATTTAACTGGTATAAGGAAACATTTGCTGTAAATTTCAAGATTGAACTATTTACAGATTTTTTTCATTTAATTCGAAAATAAAAGAGGGGGACACATTAAATAAATTTGTGTGAAAGACTAAAAATAACTCATTTTCTTAAACATTCAGATTTTGCATGACGTAATAAAATTTGCTATTTCTATATTAATAAAATTTAATAAGAATTTGATAAAACAGTAAAGCAGAGAAATTAATAAAAATAATAATTTTAAATTGCAACAAAAATGTAAAAATTTTTTAAGCATGTTTTGTCCTTAAAATGTTTTAAAATTAAATCATATTAAAGATTCAATTAACCCACTGCGCTCTTTTTCCTCTGCTACAAAAATATAGTTTTATTGCTGCTATGACAAGAATAAAATTCGTCAACTGTTATTGAAAAAGTATCATTGGTATATGATCCACCTGCGAATCTGATAGTCGTTCATATAATTTCACTCTCTTTGTTAGACGAGAGCTGTTATCGCACACAAACAAAGTATGAGAAATATAAATCAGTTACTTTTGAATTGTTAAGGAAACTCGAACTCATAAATTTTGATTTCAGTGTGTACCGTTATTTTAAGGAACAAAAATTGAACTGTTATAATTTTTAAATGGAAAATTTTTATAAGAATTATTCAAATAAAATGCCTTTATTGCATCAGACTTGCAGAAATGTGAGTAAAGAAAAGAGGAAACATATGATGGTCTTGTTGAAATTCATTCCTCCTGTTTAACAAGAGTTTTATAAAACTTTAAGGATAAGTCGGCATGAAGGGAGCTCATAAAAGCTAATGAGATAAACATTTATATGGATGAGGAATCAAGTTAAAGTATTGCTTATTATATTATGTATCAATAATGGAACATATACTCGTTATTTTTGATAAAATCTATAATAGAGTACTTTAACTTTTTTGAGATAAAAAAAATTGCTCTGTGACTGAATTTGGATTAATAATTTTCTTTCACTTGCCAAAGCGATTAACTCCCTTGAGAACAAAAAGATGTTACTAATGATAACAATTGTCTAAAGACATTCTTTTTTTTCTTCTTAATGGCAGGTACTGAACTTTCGCTCTTAACCTTGGAAGTGTTACTCATTTAACATTACCCAGTGGGCACCTATGAACCTCACTCATGAGGGTGAGCAGCATTACCCACACCACACTGCCACAGAGGCCTGTTTAGAGGGTCGACCACATTAAGGCATCAAACACAACAAAGGGCAACATACAGTGAGAAACTACTTTCTCCATGCCCTGAGCATGATTCGAACCCGGAGCTATTGGCTTCCCAGTTAGGCACGCTAAAAGCTCGGCCACCTGGCCGGCTCTAAAGTTAGTCTATCTTATACTTTCAATCGGATGTTAGATAAAAGATGAATATGCAGTTATACAATCTGCATTATATTTTTGAATTTTTAATCTAAGAATTTTAAAAATGTATATTTATACTGCTTAATAATTTTTCTCAATTTCTTGTTTAATGGAGTTGATCGATAAGGCAAGTGATGCATTCATATATGCATAAAAAACAAACCTGCAACTAGCATGAATAATCAGTTAAAATAAGTTATTAGTAGGTAGATTGAACATTGTGCTGATTTTTTAGTTTGGTTTATATTGAAATAGGTCGAGAGGCTTGTGAAATAGTGCTCTTAATACTTTTGAATTCAATTCAAGTAAGCTTAGAAGAATAAATAAAATAATAATTTAATTTGATAAATATCAGTTAAAAAATATTCTTTTTTTGTTCCTTGGCTAATCTAAGAATTGATCCAGGCAATTAGGCTGTGATTCAATGTTATTCAAAAAATTAGAATATTGACTTTGCAAAGGCTGATTTATAGAATAATTATTATATTTAACAAATGAAACATTTCCAAAAAATATTTTGGTTTTAATAACCAAAATAGATACTTTGAAACAAACAAATCTCTGTCTGCAAGGTTTAGATTTTAAAAGACTCCATTATTTATTTGTTAGTCATCCAAATTTTTTTACTCATTTGTTGCATTCTTCTAAATTTCATAAACTGCTTGTCTGCTTTGAAGGAAAATAATGTTGGAAGAAATAATTTCGTTTTTAAGTGGACAGTGTAGTTTTTCTGATGCAAAAGAAAATTGACATTTCTAATTTAAAAAAAAAGCTGTTATACAAACTTGTTCTATACTAAACATAGCAAGTATTGCAGAATGAAATAGTTGTACTTAACAGATGACAAAGACAAAAGATCCAATCAGCATGCTCAAAATCCTTCAGTTCGTGTAATTAGAAGGATTGCTTAGATGCTACTTGACAGCATCCCCAACAGCACTAAAAATGAAAAGAAAACCTGCAAAGGATCAATATGAAGGGCCGCTCTGCGTAGTTCCACTGTCCAATATTTCTCACTCTGATGTTTTTATAAGACTAAGTACCACTGCCTGTTATGCCTGTCTACACTACCCGATGTACTGTATAAGAAAGTCATATTTTTAAGTATACATGGCAGCAGCGCCAACAATGACTAGAGCTAATCAAATGTAGGATGTGTTACACGTGCTTGACCATGGGTTATGTGAATACCTTGTAAAGCCTATAACACTGGTGATGTGAATAGCAATCAGTAGATTTTTCGTTCTGTATAACTTTTATCATAAGAACTTTCTAACTGGTCAAGAGATAGTAACTACCAACTTGCTCTCATTTTTAGAAATTTTAATAACTTATTTAGATTTATAGCACCAAAAATTAAACCTTTTGTCATGTAATCAAAAGTATTCATCAAAAATTCGTTTGGTACATGATAAGTAAAAGATAATTTGAATTCATATTGAGTTTGTATTTATGGTGAATTTTTTTTAAAATTATAAAGTATTTTTTTAATACTAATTAGTTGATTTTGAATCCTTGTTTAAAAAAAATCTATTAGCTTCTGATAATGCCTCCTTCAGAATGAAAAATTTCTTGCTATGCGTTTTTTTTAATGCAATTTTAATAGGTATGGAAAATTTCTTCCACAGTGAAAAAAAAGAAATTTTCTTTTGTGAAAGAAACTTGCCATCTAAAGAAATATCAATCAGTAAAGCTTTTTTTAATTTTTTTTACAGTTTTTAATTGCAAACTAGGTTCAATAGTTGTATTAATTTCCTAGTTACTTAATACATAATTCTTAAATAATCCAAAACTGAAAAGCAACAATTAGAAATCGAATGAATTTTTTTAGAAATTAAAATAAGTAATTTTGCAATATTTTATGTATATGAGTATAATGAAACCTTGTTTTATAATTATATGAAGAACTGTTAAATTATCATAGTCAAATTTTATTAATAATACTAAATTAACAAATTACATTCTAAACATTCATTTTGAAGATTTTTATTTTCTTCCATTTCATAAATTTTCTTCTATTTGTTGTCAGTTTCTTCCATTTTGAGCAGTTTCTTAAATATTTTTCAGTTTTCTCTAGTGTTTTAAAGATATGGGCTTCTTCTAAATAAAATACTAACCTTTGCTTTCAAATATGTATTTAAACAAACTGAAAACTTTTTTTTTCTTTTGGATAACAGGGTTTCATCATTTTTAAATCAACATGAATATTTCTAATAAAGATAATATTTTAAAACTTTTAATTAAATGTTAATTTCTTTCTGATAGAAACTATTTTTTTCCTAATGATGCTGTTTTTTTATTTCTCTCTCATCTTTTTCAGATACAGAGATAGATTGGAAAGCGTACATGCAGGAAGTAGAAGGAGTGCTCAATGGCACGCTAGATTATTTAGAGTTGAAAGGTGACACAGGACCATTAGTGTAAGTATTGTGTGCCACATAACTTTTTTTTATGATTATATGGTTTCTGGTGACTCTTTATTTTTCAAAACTTGATTCGAAGCTACCCAGATCACAAAATACAGTAACATTATATTAAATATCATTTTAAATAGTTTTATCTATACATTATTTTTTAAGGAAAGGTGCATAAAAAAAGATATAAAAATAATCGTAATGTTGAAATTATTGGCTGCTTGTTAAAAATTTCAAGTAGTTTTTAATTGCAGACATTTATAAAAATATAAAAGTAATCACTCATTTCAAAAAGTATTAATTTATCTGGGCAATTTATTAGTATCTGTAAATATATTGAATAAAAAGTATTTTATTTATTTATTTTGGTGGAAAGGCATACACTTATTTAATTTTTTCAAAATAAACTTTTTTAAAAAATTTTCCTATCTAGCACACAAGTAGTATCGCGTACACTCTGAGTACCTCTATCCAAAAAGAAATTTTTTTTTTATTTTTTTCTGTTTTAATCTGAACTCAAACTATTTCACAATTTCATCTTATTATTCATTTGTATAGTCTTAGATTTAATGTTTTAAATACTAAATTTAACCTTTGTATATTATATATATATATATATATATGTGATTGCGCGCATAATATTTTTATAGCTAGCGNATGTATGTATATATATATATATATATATATATATATAATTTTTAAACTGTTTTATGTCCATTTTCTCTTCTTAAAGAATTTTTGTTAACTGTTAGTTTAGTATATCTATTTTGAAGACATTTTAACTTTTACTCCACGTCGGTATATTTGTTTTTTGCTTTCTTTTATCACAATCTCATTTTCAATTTAGTTTTTAACAATATGGATGCATTATAAAGAGTAATTTTTTTCTTATGATAATTATTAGAATATGGCTTAAGCATTTTAACAACAATTTTTTCAAAACAAAACTTACTCGCCAGCGATAAATATTCACTCACAAATGGCAAGCGGAAATTTTGCTCCCAGCATTAAGGTAAACTAAAGTTATTATAAATTTATATGAAATTCACTCGTTGTGGGCGCTTTCAAACAAAAATTAAATAAATTGCATCTCTTTGCTGAGAAAAATGGTGCCCTGATTGAGATTGCTATATCAATGACATGCAGATTCATAATTTTGAAAAAATATTTGCTACCTAGATTATTTGATTACCTAGTTAATCTGTAGCAAATCGAATATGTTATTAAAAATTTTTTTCTTCTGCTTATAGATATCCTGCTGGCTTTGTTTATGTATATTCTATTTTATATGCAATTACTCAAAAAGGAGAAAACATTTTCCTTGCTCAACACATATTTGCATTTTTATATCTCGCAACTTTGTATTATGTTTTCAAGCTCTACACAAGATCTCAATATGTAAGTTATTATTTTAGTTTTGTTTCTCATGTTATAGATCTATTGTTTATAAAAAAAAACGATTGCATTTTGCGCTCTTTGTGTTATATTTCTTTTTATCAGTTCTCTATATCCATTACTACAATGAATTTTGCTTTTTAGCATTGTTTCCCTTTAGTGGCTTCAGTTAACATTTGCAACCTTGTGTTCGTAAAATTTTTATTATTTTTTACAGGGTTGCCACTTCTCAGGGAGAATAGATAAAATCTGAAAAATGCGGGGAATTTAAAAAAAAAAAAATCATTTAAAATAACAGGGAGTTTTGAATTTTCCCTTTCAAACTGGGGGGAAAAAAACAGGGAATTTTATTTCTTATATTTGTCTTTAAAAAAATGCAGACACAATTTTTAAAAGACAAAAGCTCAATCTATGGGATGTTTAAAGATGATAGTTCAGTGATGTTATATTACTCAATTTATTATAGCATTATTTGTTTTAAGCTGTTCCTTATTTCTCTAAGTTTTTCCAGCAACTGAAACTAGCATCATTATCCTGGTATAGCACACAAGAGCTCGGTAAATGTACATTCCCTCTTAATATATTGTGTATAATATGTGCAGGGAAACACAGGGAATTTTTTTTACTCATATGAGTGGCAACCCTGTTTTACATGCTTGCTTTTCCTTTTTAGTTTTATCATTCTCTATACTGTTACTTTCTTTGTTAATTACCATGTAAATTGGTGAATCTCCATGTAAATTAGTTAATTACTATGTAAATTAGTTAATCACCATGTAAATTAGTTAATTATTATGTAAATTAGTTAATTACTATGTAAATTAGTTAATTACGGTGTAAATAATGCTTTACAGGTCCCACCTTATGCTCTGATTTTCATGTGCTGTACCTCCTACAGAGTGCACGCCATATTTGTTCTCAGATTATTTAACGATCCAGTTGCAATCTTCCTGCTTTTTGTCTCCCTGAATTACTTGTTTGACCAACAATGGTTCAAGGGATGCATACTTTACAGGTATTCATGACATTCAATTTTTATTCAAATTAGTATTCAATATTGTTCTGAGTGTATACAGTGTTGCATACCTGCCAAGTCTCCTGTTTTTTAACAAAGACTCCTGTATTTTACTACAATCTCCTGTTTACCTACTCAAATTTCTCCGTATTTGTGGAAGAAATTTAAAAAAAAAAATATGTTGATAAAATATCCTCTGATGGCAAAAATAATTATCTTATTCCTCAACAGATGGTGCTATTGCCAGTACTGCAGTATGTTGAGTGTTAATTATTTAGGTCGAGCCAAGGTAACTTAGGGTATACAGCATTTGCCTTCCAATAAGGTGAACCCAGGTTCAAGTCCCAGCGATGACTGGTCAATACGAATTCCGCATCCGGCTTGCACCGACCACAGTGCTGGCGGAAAATATACTCAGTGGTAGACTGAGTATATTTCACGGTTTAGAGTCTCTTTGTTGTCAGGCTAACCATGGGAGATTTTCATCATTTTCCTCTCCATGTAACTCAAATGCCAATTATTTCCATCAAAAAGTCCTCCATGAAGACAAATTTCTTCCAATACTTGATCCAGGAATTCCCTTGTGTTCTGGATTGTGTTCAAAATTACAAGGCTACGGAGTTGAGCATCAGTGGTCATAAACCCAAAATTAAGTCGATTAGTAAAATCTCCGTTATTTTATTTTTTCTATCAGCAGGTATGGTGTTGGGCCTTGAACCCACAATATACAACAAGCGTAAAAACTTCAAATTTAAGGTGCTTAGTCTACAAAACTATTTCAGTTGTATTAGCATTATTATTTTCCATGCTATTAAAATTTTAATGGATTTGTTGCAATAAAACCAATTTTATGTTGGAAATCGAAAATTTTAAAGCTATACTCATTTCTAATTAGTATAGCATTAAAATTTTCAATTTCCTATATTTTTTAATTTCAGGATTTCAAGTAAATGAAATTATTTTGTATTGAAGTATAAAATTTCGGTGTGGTATCATTTTTATTCTGTTACTTTGATCTAAGTGTTACTTTTTTATATTTAATAGTAAATTCATTTACATTTTTTTAATATTACAGGGTGCATAGACTTTTTAAAAAGTGCATAAGGGTGCTTATTTTTGATTTATGTGTTTTAAAAGCCATTTTTTTATTGGGGTTATTTGTAAAAAAGTGCTTAATTTTCTCTCTTATAAAAAAGATATATTTTTTTCTTTGTCGTATCGATTGCATTGTAAATTATAAAAAATATGTGATTTTTCACAATTTTCTCTTCAATATATTATTTGCAACTAGTTATTTTATCATGATTATGTAAAATTTTCGAATTTGATTGATTTTATGTTTATAAATCAAGAGCTTTAAACAATAGAAGAAAATTTTTTTTTATTACAGCACAGATCCTAATTATGTTATTATTTTTTTTGGTGATTACAAATATTTTTTGAGTGCCTAAAGAGTACTTAAAAGGTGCTTATTTTTTGTTGAAAAATCTGGCTATGCACTCTGTATTATATTCATACATTGATCTAAGTGTCTCAAAATATAATTCTATATTATACTTCTGAATACTGATAACTAGTTTAGAATGTAGTCACCTCTGCTATTGCAAAGATTTTTTTTTTCTTGACTGACATTCAAGTTGACAGCAATGAATAATGCTCATTTTATTTTGCTTTTAGTTTAGCAGTTTCTGTTAAGATGAACATCTTACTTTTTGCACCTGGATTGCTCTTTGTTTTACTGCATTCTGTTGGATTGAAAGACACATGCAAATATATTATGATTTGTGGCTTTACTCAGGTATGGATCAATTGTTTATGTGTATTTGTATTAACATTTGCTCTGTATTATTTTATACCCTTTTCACCTGTGTCATGATTGTTACAGGCGACTATTTGCAACTATTTTCAGCTTGAGGCAACTTTTCTTGCCTGAAAAGGCTAGAAAAGCAACTATTTTCAAGAAAAGGAGACTATTAGGATACTTTTTTACACTCATAGCGATGTTTTTTAGTATTAATGGGGTTGACAACCTGCAGCCCGCAATAGCTTCTGAGCACAATGATTTTTTTCTTAAAAAGTAAAAAATGTTAAATCATTAAATTGTTGAATTTCAAGTTTGAGTCATCACTTTTAAATGCACTAAATTTGCACAGATTCCATTAAAAGTCTATTTTGTTTCTTGACCTCCTGTTCAAGGGTTATTACTATGAAATTTTGCTTCATTTAAAAATAAAAATAAAAATTTTAATACAATATTACGATACATGAATTTTGAATTTGAGTAATTACTTTTCACTCTATATATATATAGGCCAGCCAAGACTCCCTGTGTAGTAAATCGTGACTGATGCATGTTAAATCTGTTAAACTATTAAATGAACTAATTTGGTTTTTGGTGAGGCTGGTCGTGGGGGATTCATCACCCATGCCCTATCTTTATAGTAAAATTTATCAAATCAAAACCAACAGCCGCATCTTCCATTACACAAATTAACAATGTTTTAATTTCAAAAATATTGAAAGCCTACTTTTAAATTTTTTAATTAAGGAAGCCTTGAATTCAATTACAAATTTTAATTAACTATTGATATGAGGGAATATTAACTAATTGATACTGGCTATTTTTTTTTAATGCGACAGTACTAGTGAAATTTTTTAATGATTGATCTCAAACTGTTATGAGCTGTTCAGTGATCCATTCATAAAATTATGCTGGAAAAATGTAAAAAAACTTTTTGTTCCAAATGAAATAATTCTGAAGCCAAAAATAGTATATTTTATTCTTCTATAAGATTTGCTTTTATTATGTATAAGAAGAGCAAATTTAACATCTGTTTTTAGTTTGCTTTTTTTTTATAAAGTAGTTTGGTGTATGTATACTATTCCTAAAAATGATGGCCTGATTTTTTTTTCTTTTGACCTGTTTCTTTATCAGTAGTAACTTAATGGCATTTTTAATAATCACTTTTCAAGTCCTCTTTGTTTTCTCGTGCAGTCAAATAAGCTCTGATGTTTTGTGATTTATAGATTTCGATAGTGATTTATTCTTTACTTAAAAATTTGTGTGTATACTTATTGTCCTAATTTTTTCTAAGGATATTGGAAATATATATTCAGGATTATTTTTAAAGTACATCTTATATGTTAAATATACTCTTAAAATTAAATCTTGCTCTAAGTTGTATGTTTTTTACCGTTGTGTTTTTATACTTTAGAGTTGATTTTGTAGGGGGGGGGGGAGTTGACTGAAAGAAGACAATATTTAAGTTCAAAATTCTCTTTTAGTATCCTTTTTATTTTTTATTTAGCATTAGCTATTTCTTACTTAGCATTACCCTAGTAGCTTATTATAATGATATTAATAAGTTACTTGGGAATAAACTACCCTATGGGAATATTTCCATTATGTGTTCAGCATAAAGATATCATGTATATGGGTTACATTAACTTACTTTTTTTTTTAACATTGAGGAAGTTTTAATGTATCAAACATTAAAGGACCACAACTGATTGATCCTTCAAAAGTTTTAGGATGACAAGAAAGTTTCTAATTTTAATTTATTTTCTTTATGTTCCATTTTTTTTGGTAAAAAATTGTGTTAATAATTTTTTATTATTTTATTTCTTCAGGTTTTGCTGGGACTTCCATTTCTAGCCACTCACCCTTTTAGTTACATTTCCCGCTCTTTTGACTTCGGAAGAGTTTTCCTGCATGTCTGGACAGTGAATTGGCGTTTCATTCCGGAACATATTTTTGTCAGTCCATACTTTCATCTCCCTCTCCTCCTCTGTCACCTCATTGTCCTTGTTGTCTTTGCCATAAAGTGGACAAAGTAAGTGTAATCCAAATAAAGGTAGAGTATACTTTGTGTTTCATAAGAATAAAGTAAAACAAGATGAATAAAATAATTGCATAAAAACAGATCCACTGCCAACTCTACTGTATTTTGCAAGTTTCTCCTGGATTTTGTATTCTTTATTAAATTTCCTAAAACTGCATAAGTTATCTAAAAAATTCCTTATTAAAATAGAATTTTTGCAAAATTTATTCCTTTGCTTGAATACTTAAATAAGTATTACTAATGCATAATGAAGCAAGCCTCTTTTATAGAAATCAGTTTAAAACTTTTTTTGGTGTTCTAAAATGCTCATTTTATTTTTATTCAGAATTACCTTTTTAAATTAATTTAAATTTTTTTAAAATTTTCTTCAGGAATTAAATACCTATTAATATTCAAAATTATGAGTAATCATAATAAATAACATTTCAATTTCATTAAAGACAATTTTAACTGGAAATAAATGCAGACCTTTTACAGTTATAAGTTTAATGAAGTTTTTGTATTTTGATGTCTAAAAAATCTCTAAAATACCCTGTATTTAAAATATTTAGTATATGCAATTATTATTATTTTGTAAAATTACTGATTTTTTCCTATCCATCCTATCTATGCACTATAGTTTCGGTTTTATTAACTAGAGCTTTTCTCAGTGTCAAAACAAAGAATGAATAAAGAGAACAAGAGACAAACAGGTTGTTACATGGAAAAAAATTGTTTAATAGGAGGAGAGAGGCTAGCTTGAACAAGATAATCAAATAAAATTCTTGCACATTTGAGGTTCTCATCATGCTTCTTCCCAGACACCTGTTTCGTGTCAGGCTTTAATTTATTATCATGTTCAAGATACCTTCCTTTTACTGTTGGTTGAACCTCTTTTTTCCTTGTTGCAAATTGTTTGTGCCTTTTTTTTTTCTTCTGTCATTCTGTTCACACTGAGGAAGATTCTTGTTTACAGAACCTTAACTATGGTATGTTTGTCTTTATTCATGACTAATAAAGCATTTAAATTTTTGATTCTGGATATCATAGGAATACCCTATGATACTGGATTTTCTAGTCTTTGAAATTCAGGCGAAACATCCTAATTTAGTTCATAAAACAGCCTTTTTTTCCCCCCTCCCATTTGTTGCTCAACAGGCTCAAAAAAAAGGGAAAACCTCTTCATTCCTCCAAATTATCATATTTTCAGTGCTGTGTTTCTTGATTTAAATGGTAAATAAAGAAATAAACTAAAGACTATAAATCATCATATGAAGTAATCAAAGATGTTCCTACTTTGAAGAAAAACTGCTAAATGTTTTACACAAAAGTTTTATTCAAAATTATAAATGTCTTATTTTTAAATTATGATAGAAAATACATTCTTGATAAAAAAATATACTTTTATTTGAAAATGTGTTTCATTTAGTTTCAAATCTGGCAAAATGTTTGTTATGAGATATATTTTTATGTATAAATATATTTATATTTTTTATTTTATCTTGTATTCAGGGAATTTTTAAAATTAAAAGCTCTTAAAATGTATACTTCCAATACACATTCTATGAGTAAGGAAATTAAATATTTCAGTTTTGTCAAAATAATTTCATTTTTCATACTGAATACATGTAGTCCTTTTTCTTAAAAAATTGCCATGAAGCAGTTAAATATTAACTTTTTTCTTTAAAAAAATATAATTAATTTTCTTTGCATGCTTAATAATTTTTTGCTAAATATTAATACCATTTTTTCAAATTTAGTAATTATATTTTATAGCTAATTGCTAATCTTATTTTATTTATATTTTTAGAAATTTCGGCACAGGAGCTTTGCATTCTGACCAAGAAGATAGTTTACAAATTGATAGTATCCTTTCTCAAATAATAAAAGATAACAATAACAAAGTAGTTGATATCACTGCCAAAAAAACACTTTTTAAGGCAACTGGACCACAGGGATGAGATTCTTCCGCGGATTCGCGGATTTCCGCTTTTTTTCAGATTTTTCCATTTTTCCCGCTAATTTCCGCTGAAATTTTTTTTGCCCAAGTTAAAATGTTTTATGAGGAATTTAATTTTCCGCGGAGGGAAATTGTTGAAGTCCCTTTTCCTCCCTCTGAAGTTTCTCTAAAAATCATTTCCTTGGGATAAAACTGGTTGACCTTTATACAGGGATGAGATTTTTTTTGTCTCTCGAATTTCAGCCTTTTTATCAAAAACTCCGATTCTCTAAAAGTTTCGTTTTTTTAAATAAATATCCCGTTTTTTTTAAATTCAGTCATTGAAGTAAAATAATTATATTTATTTACGATTTTCAAAGATAAACAGAAAATTCAATCTACGCCCTAGCTGCTAACCCTTCCGCATTTTTACTTATTTTAGCTATTTTCTCCGATTTCACGCACAGAAAATAAGATTTTCCGTATTTTTTATCCGTCGGCTGGATAGCTCGTATTTTCGTAATTCAGATCTCGATTTTTATTCACGCGATTTTAATATCAATCATCGATTTTCGTATTTACCTGATTTAAAAGTTGCACATTGCGATTCTTATTTACGCTATTTAAATATCGTATATTATGATTCTTATTTACGACATTTAAAAATCCAATATCGTGTTTTGTATTTATGCATTTTTAAAATCTCGATTTTATTATCAAATCTCGATTTTCGTATTTACCTGATTTAAAAGTTGAACGTTGCGATTCTTATTCAGGCGATTTAAATATTGTACAGTGCGATTCTTACTTACGAGATTTAAAAAATCAATATCGCGATTTGTATTTACGAGCTTTTAAAGCCCTATGTAGCAATTCGTATTCACGTGAGCTTAAAATCCAATATCGTGATTCGTTTTTGTGGTTGTAATATCGCGCGATTTAAAAATTATGCATCGTGATCAAAAAATTAAAAAATCATGATTTGTATTTTCGCATTTTTTAAATTCGATGTAGAGTTTCATATTTACGTGATTTAAAAGTCTCATATCGGGATTTATATTCACATGGTTTACAAGTTTAAAAATCGCACTTTTTGTCAAATTTTTGTTTACATATATATATATATATTTTTTTTTCTTTTCTTTTTTTTGTTTTTTGGATTTCCTCTTTTTTACTTTCTGACTACTCTCATCCCTGGGACCAGTGGTTATGTGTTCGAATCCCACCTTTGGCAGGGATGTATCTTTCTCTCTCTCTGTTCTATGCTCTTTCTTCTATGTGATAGCGTGAAAAGGCCAGAGATGATTGTGCTTGGAAAAATCCGGATTTTTTGCTAATTGCGATACGGAAGTCCAAGGTCCAGAAGTTTCAAGAAATCATCGATTGCATTTATGCATAAAAATTCTTGTACATTTTATTTAGAAATATTAGAACTAGAATTTGCACTTGGCATATTTGGCTGTAAATATTTTTCTGGTAGAATAATAAATGGGATTAGAGGTAAAAGTAAACTTATAAATAAATTATTCATTTAAATTATTCTGCATGTAATTTATTTAGAATTTTATGTTTTGAAAATATCAATGACTTGAATTTATAAATACATAATTTTTTTTTGAATGCATCATTAATGGTTTTACTCAAGAAATTTTCAGGATTTTTTAGTTAGGCTTCCTGTGCCGCCCTAAAAACGGGTTGGTGGTTGTATGACGTGGGCTACGCTACTCCACCGCCCTGGCTTAGCAACAGCGTAACAATAAGGGAGTAGCAATTCTGGCATTTCAATGGAAAGTAGGCCCAAAGTACCCGTCATAAAAAAAAGGCAATTGTTATTGTTTAAGACTTGGGGAAATATTTTTGAAATGATGGAAAATTTCAATTTCCGTATCATTTTTAAATGGTACAATATTTTCTATTTTTATGTAACCTCTTGTATTTACTATCTCTTTTTTTATTTTGTTTATTTAAACAAATGTTTATTTTTATTTATTTGCATGTGAAAAAAAATTTTATTACATTAAATCTTTATAACACTAACTGAGAAACATAAGACTTAGCATTATATATAATTTTCTGTAATTTAGCTTATTTCACATATCATTAATTTGACCTGTTTAACATGATTGTATATATCGGAAACAATCAGTATCAATATTTTTAAATAAGTAATAAGAAACAACAATTTGGACTTTAGTATTTATCACTCACAGAAAAAAAATTTGCATTAAGAGCATTTGAGCTAAAATTCAATAAATTTATTAAGTTCATTAATCACACTATTAATAAATATGAGGGAACTTGTTTTTTTTTAGGAATTAAATTATTTATTTTGGATCAATAAAATTATGGAAAATTTGACAATTTAATAAGCATTCAATAAACACGCTTTATTTAATTATTTTTATGAAAAGTAAACTTTTCTGAGTAAATGCTAATTTTATTTTAAAATCCCTTCATTTCTAAAAATATGCGAATTTTTTTTGTTTTAAATCAATTCTGAACAGGGAAGACAAATTTCCTCAGTGGAAAAAAAAAACACCTTTTAAGAAAAAGTTTTAATTGTACCCAAGTAAAAGACATGGAGAAAACTTTTTTTTAAAGGAATATCAAATGAAAGAAAGTTTTTTAAACAGTTTGGAATAGCAATCTAGTTTAAATAATAATATTAATTTTCGAGTTATTTAATCTATTATTATTAAGTGAATGTAATGCAACAGTTGGAAAAATATGTTTATAAAATTAACATAATCACATTTTTTTGCAATTAAATTAACAAAATCACACACCATTAAAAAACACACATTCAATTCACAATTGTAAATAGCATACTAATATTTCTAATCAAATACCGTGAAGTGTGTATTTTTAAACTGACTCTGATTTATAATTTTTGTTTTAATATGATGTGAAAAAAAATTTTTAAAAATTTTTTCTTGTAGATGTGGAGAAGTTTTTACTTTCTGGTGCTGTTTTAAATTTAATTTGTTTAAACTGAAGCTGTTCTTATAATACTTTGAATTGTACTTTTTTGCAGTTTATTTCATTTCCTCCAATTTCTTCCGGTTTCCACATTAATTTACACTTTAATGCTGCTTGTTATGAGATGTGAAAAAATATTTTTTGAGTTATCCTTAACTATGTTGATAGATTTCATGTTTGTGATGTTTACTTCCAATTTTGTTGGAATTGTTTTTGCCAGATCTCTTCATTACCAGTTTTATGTGTGGTACTTTTTTACCCTCCCTTACCTCCTTTGGTCCACAAACTATCCAGTCGTCTTCAAGTGAGTTCATAAATTTTATTTTTAAAAACACTATACAAGGTAATTCAAAATGAATTCAGCGATTACAAACAGCTATAACTATTTAATGAAAAATAATTTATTGATAAGATTAACATAGAATGTAGGTGGAATTTCAAAATTTCTTTCTGTGCGAGAGCACAGTAAAATGGAATTCTTCACTTAATCAATGAATTCGCATGCGCAAGCTCATTAGTGAAAATGGCTAGTCATGTGCAGAAAACAGGGTGCACAGTGTTTTTAAAAAGTGCTGAAGGGTGCTTATTTTTGATTTATGTTTTTTAAAAACCTTTAAAGGTGCTTTTTTTATTCGGTGTTTTTAAAAAGTTCTTAATTATCTATCTTTAAAAAACATATTTTTCCTTTGCTGTGTTGACAGTCGTTCTAAATTACAGAAAATGCATGATTTTCATAATTTTCTCTGCATTATTTATCAGAAACTATTTATTTTATCACGATGATGTAATGTTTTTGAAAATGATTTAAAATTTTATTGATTTTATGTTTGTAAATTAAGGACAATAGGAAGAATTTTTTTTATTTATTACTGCACAGATCCAAATTTTGATTTTTTTTGTTTTGAAAGTGATTAAAAAAACTTTTTGAGTGCTTAAAATGTGCTTGTTGTTTGTTGAAAAATCTGGCTAAGCACCCTGAGAAAAGTATGCTGCATGTTAGAATTTAATTATTGTCATTCTGTTATCACAGCGTAGAGAAGATTTCGTCAGCGTTACTATCGAGAACCTCCAAATAGAAACAACATGTGCTTCCCATCCCCAGACCAATTTTATAATTGTCGTTGAAAAGCCGACCCAATTTTTCGGTTTATGACTGCTAATATTCAACTTCATAACCTTCTAATTTTGAACCCAATCCAGAAGACAAGGGAACTCCTGGATCAAGTATTAGGTGAAATTTGCCTTCGTGGAGGACTTTGTGATAGAGCTAACCTGAATTTGCGTTATGTGGAGAGGATGACCACGAGAACCTCCCACGGTAAGCCTGACGGCAAGGGGACTCTAGCCCATGATCCGTCTACCTCTGAGGATATTTCGCGCCAGCACTGTGGTCGGTGCAAGCCAGATGGGGATTTGTATCAACGAGCCATGGCTGGGATTTGAACCCGGTTCATCCCATTCAAAGGCGAACGCTCTACCCCTGAGTCATCGAGGCTCAAGCCCAAAACAATTTTTATTTTATTTTATATCCGTCGTTGAACAGCCGACCCAATTTTTGGTTTACGACTACTAATGTTCAACGCTGTGGTCTTGTAATTTTGAACCAATCAAGAAAACAAGGAAATTCCTGAATCAGTATCCCCACGGATATTGATTTGTTATGGGAATATGAGGGACTTTTCGACTCCCAACCAGGCTATCCCTGCCTAAACCCAAAACAATTAAAGAGCTCAAAGAACGCATTTGTAATGTGCTTGCGTCAATGACTGCACAAATGCTTCAGAATGTATTTCGGGAGATGGACTACCGCCTAGATATTGTCTGCGTGTCCAGAGGAAGTCACATAGAAAATCTGTGACGCATGTATACAAAATTTTGTTGTTTCTTCTACATTCTGTGTAAATTTTATCGAGAATTTTTTTTTCATTAAATTGTTATAGCCGTTTGCAATCACTATATTCATTTTGAATTACGCTGTTTAATCTATTGACGCAAATTAAAATGCTATTTAAAAAAAAATTAAAATTAAATGCTTTAAATTAATGCTTTTTGCTAAAAAAATGCTTTTTAATTAAAATGCTTTTTGCATTTTAATTAAATTGCTTTTTAAAATGCTTTTTGCTATGTAATGCTTTTTAAATGCTTAACATAGCAAATTGAAATGCTTTTTGCTATGTATGAATAAAGCAAAATAATGTGGTTTAACTACAAAGTAGTTTAACCAGTTAACCACTCTGCATGCGTCTGCCCTATTACTTTTCTACTGTGATTTTGTGTTCAGACACTGAAGAAGATTGTTGTTTGAACCGAAATTATTGTGTGTCCATTTCTGTACCGTTACATCTGCTTTATACATGTTGTTTAGCTTTATTCAATACTTAATGTGTTTACTGCTTTATTTATTATTTTAATTTAGGGTTTTAATCAGATTCTGCTGAAAAGATTAACCAATTTTGGAAAGTGATCCACCAAAACTTTAAAATATTAAATTCGGAGACCAACATTAATACAGTAGGGAACCGATTATCCGGAACGGTCGGGACCATCGCTATTCCGGATAACTGGTTTTTCCGGTTTTCTGAATTGCTACAAAAAGCCGTTTTTTTTATTGTTAAACCCAACTTAAAAAAAAAAAAAAATTGGAAATAATCTTAAAAATAAAAAAAACGATGAAGTAATACACTAATGATTATTTTCAAATCGATGGTAAGGTAAACATCTTTAAAAAAAGAAAGAAAAATCGCAAAATCTTATGAGGAAAAAAAAATTTTTTTTTTTTTAATGGCGAGAAAATTTAGCGAATTTCGTTCCGGTTTTCTGATTTCCGGATAACGGGTTCTGTACTGTATAAAGCTTTAACCTTAAAAATGCCGGGCTGTGTAAGGTCAGGAAACTGGCCTTGCATCAGAAAGGTTCTGGGTTCGAATCCCAGACAAGGCATGGATATTCTTCATTCTCTGTACTATCTGTCCTTCCTGTGGGAGCAACAGTAGCCCACCTAATATGGTGACCCTGAAAGAGTGGCTAATGTTATAACAGGCGAGCATTGGAAATAAAATTTAAAAAAAAAAATCCTTAAAAATGGATGGTGAATTTAGATTCAGTTTCAAAGCGATGTGAATAATTTGCACATGCATAACTAAATTTTCTAGAGGGAGCAGATACTAAAAATTTAAACAAATAATAAATATTTAAAAAAAAATGCAGAATTTTTTAAAAAAAATGTTTATTTTTTCACCTAAGTGCTACTAAAACTATTACCAATTGTATATCTACTAATCCATGTTGGTATTACAAAATTCTGCCATACGAGAATCAGCATTCTTAAATTGTCCTTAATTTAGACGCAATTTTGTCCTTCATTTTTATATTTTGGACTTCCAGCCCCGAGGAGAAAAAAAATATACATAAATATTTTTTAGCTTCTTTATAGCTATTATTTATTCTGGTTTAATCATAACTTAATGTTTATATACTTCGAAAACGGACCTCTGATGACCCGATCTTCTTGTGTCGAGGATGCCGGGTAATTGAGGTTTGGAAATCATTTGATTAGTATAATTCTCTTGATAGGTTGTGTATACTGGGTATATTGGAGTTGTGTTGGAATACTTACCCTTCAACGGCATTGAGCAGCGGCTTCCTGCACCTCTGCCACTTCCTCATTCTTTTCCACTTGCTGTACTTTGGAAAACCCCACCCAAGACTCAAGCCCATAAAGAGTGCAGATTAAAATACTTATTTTAAAAATTTATATTTATTTACATAGTCACCTCTGTGATCAAAGTACCTGCCAAATAAATATCTGTTTCATGTTCTCTTGTATTTATTTATTACTGTATATTATCAAGATCTAATACGTTGTCTACTTAACCAATCAGTGTCGATGGCTCAGTGCTTTACATAGTGCGTAGCTTTTTTAAAAAATACTTATTTTCGTTTTTTAAACGTCCTTAAAGGTGTTTTTTTCATTGTATGTTTTTAAAAAGTGATTAATTTTCCCTTTTTGAAAGTGAGATTTTTTTTTTCTTTAGCCATGTCGATTTTCACCTCGTAGTATGCAAAAGCGTGATTTTCACATTGTTGTTCTAATTCATCATTAAGGTAGTTCATTCAACCACCATCTATTTCGGCTGATCGTCGCTCCATAGCGTATGAAAGCGCCAAACGTTTTACATGTTTGATGAAATACTGCATGTGTGTACTGAGTCCGCATGTGTGTACTGAGCAGGGTTCGGTGAGTATATTGCACACTCATGTGCAACTCTGCTGCATTTTCAATTTTTAATTTCATCATTTTCCTCCGTCTGGAATCGAACCGAAAAATCTCTCGATCTTTTTAGGGTGGCTAATATAATCAAGGAACGAGTTCTTTGTCAGAAACTAGTTATTTTATCGTGATCATCTAAAGTCTTTGAAAATTATTTTGCATTTTGTTAATGTTTATAGTGCTTACAAATATTTTTTGAGTGCTTAAAAAGTACTGAAAAGGTGCTTATTTTTGTTGAAAGTTTTGACTACGCAACCTGTTGAAATATTCGCAACTGTCAATTACATTGTGAAGCTGTTAATCACGATAGCGTGGAGTCTTAAACCCATTATACCCTGACCCTCAACGGGCTGTAGCTTAAGTGCTTTTTTTCGCTCTCAAATGCCATTGAATGTGGAATTAAGATGAAAGGAATGCGCACAGAAGAGGGGACAACAACCTCGGACATCCAGTCAGTGGGCATCTAATCGACAACTAAGATAAAATTGCCTTTAGAAAAAATATTCAAATTTTACCATTACAGAAAATTGTAATTTCGACTTATTTTCTTCAAACAATAACCGTATAAGTAAAATCTTGAGAAAAAAAGGATTTCATAATTAATCGCCAATTATAAAATAACAGTCAGTTGGCTTTTAAGCTATTTTCCTTCCATTTTTAATATCCTGTTATAACTGGAATCGATAAAGCAGAATACTTACAACTTTCTAAAGCTTTAAATCTGCTATACGAAATTAAACAGGAGAATATTTGGCTTAAAGAAAATACTTAATGATGAATTTAATATGATTTTCAAATAAACTCAAGTTTGAGGGCATTAAAATACTGATTCTGTGGTATACTATAATGAAAATTTAGTGAAAGGTCATATAAAAATATGTATTGTTACCATTAAAGCAACGGAAACTTGCAGAATATATTTTTATTTATGTACCATGTGTAAAATGAAACGCGAAATGCCCTGAATATATTTTTGATCTGTTCTAAATGATGGGTAAACGTGTTAACCCTTTGTTATCCTACAATTTTACCCAGAAACTATGTGACGAAATCGGACAAAAAAATAAACACTTTCTCTCAATAAATATAACCCTTTTCTCCGACGAGTTTGAATTTTTGGACCTTAAAATAGGGTTCGTATAATTTATTCAAGTGAGTGGTTAAAGCTCTTTAATATTAATTATCTATTTTACATATTTCAACTTATCGACCAAATTATTTAAACGAGTATTTTTTTTAAATGCTGTTAATTATTTTTTTAAAAAAAACATAGCATTTTAATTAATTCCATGTAAAAAAAATTTTTATAATTGTTCTTTGTTTAATTTACGAAAAATAGTGAAAGTTTTGCTTTATAAAGTGTACAAATTTTTAAAATGCTGACCAAAAAAATGAGACAAAAAAAAATTTCATTATTTAAGTATACATTGGTCAAATAATTATCAAGAAATAAAAATTCAAAAATAAATTTTTTTTAAGTTAGGTGTGCAATTAACTCGGATCAAGGGTTAGTTTAAAAACTCGTATACCACCATTCAAACACGTTTCGATTACTTTAAAAATAAATAAAATATTAAACAGAAATATTTTTTTCGCGTTTTATTAGATTAAAGGTAGTTTTTTACATTACCTATAGCCCCACAGACATAGCAAAAAACGCACAAGCAAAACATTGCTTTTAATTTAATACATTAGGTAGCCGTGATAGCTCAGGGGATAGGGCAGTGGTTACCAATTGGCGGCCCCCGCGAAGCCTTTTTTTTTTATGGCCCTCGAACTAAAATATATTAACTGTCATTGTTTGCTGCAATTTTCGCAAAAAATCTATATGTGTTTAAAATACTTTTCTTTCGCTAAAAAAAAAAACTAATTTCTTCGTTTCTGTGAAATTTAACACACTAATGGTGCAAAAAAATATTTTTCTCAGGTTTTGCACCCAAGAACATATTTATTATCATTTATAGTTCAATTCTTTTGTTTTGTACAACTAGATAAAAATCTGACAGTAATATTTAATGTTCCTTCAAACATTAAAGAGTCCTATATAAATTGTTCATAAAGTTGCGGCCCGCCATTTGACTAGTGTTTTTATGGCTGGTCAATGCGAATTCCGCACCCGGCTTGCACCTACCACAGTGTTGGCGAAAAGTATCTTTAGTGGTAGACGGATCATGGATTAGAGTCCCCCTGCGTTAGGCTAACTGTGGAAGGTTTTCGTGAATTTCATTTCCTTGTAACGCATATGTGAGTTAGTGCCATCAAAAAGCTACTTTCTCCCAAAGGTTGATTCGGAAATTCCTTTGTCTTCTGGGTAGGTTTCAAAATTACTATGCTTCGTTGAGCATTCGTAGTCATAATATAGCTGGGTTGGCTGTTCAATGCCGGTTGTAAAGTGAAATTAAAAAAACTTGTGAGATCATGGGTTAGAATCCTGTTGCTATCGGCTAATCGTGGGAGAATTTCCTCTCTGTGCAACGCAAATATGGGTTAGTTAAAATAAAAAAGCTCATTTGTCCCAATGGTTGATCCAGGAGTTCGTTTGTCTTTTGGGTTGGGTTCAAAATTACAAGACTATGAAGTGGTAAACTCAGAATAGGTCGGATGCTAAAAATAAAATAAAATTAAAAACTAAAAATAAAATTTTAGGTCTCTCTCCATTTTAAACCATTTGGACTCTATTTTATAAAAAGTGCCACCAAGGGCCGGGATAGCCTGGTTGGTAGGGAACTGGGCTCATGTTCAAGAAATCGTGGGTTCGATCACCGCTGACCGAAATGGTGACTGATGTACGTTAAAAACTGTCAGGTCTCAAAATCCCCCATGTTTTCATAACAAATCATACCTCTAGAGGTACTGACCCAGGAGTTTCCTTGTCTTCTGGACTGGGTTCAAAATTACAAAGCAACGGAGTTGAACATTAGTGGTCGTTAATCCAAAAAATTGGGTTGGCTGTTCAACGACAGTTATAAAAAAATGTGCCACCAATCAATTTCGATTAAAAACCCAAATCAATCCGAAAAAACATATATCTATACGTCAAAATTACGCTTTTGTGTTTCCAATAAATTAGTTATTATAAGTCTATCCATTGAAACGATAAGATGGCATGTTAGTGTGTTAAAATCCAATCAATAGATATCCAATTCAAATATTCCGTTTTTTCGTTCTTCGCCTTGTACAGTTATTAAATTCCATTTAGAAGATTACAAAATACATTAATATATATACAAAATATATATTACAAATAATTAATTAATATATATTGCAATTAATTAATATATGTTCTATACATATTATTTAATATATATTTTCAAAATACATAAACATATTAATATGCATTAAGAGAATTTTCTATTCAGTAAATGAGCTTGTTTTTACCATGAATTCTATGAAAACAATGACTTTTCATTAACAGGAATTTTTATGCTAGTGAAATAAAAAATCATCTATTTTCATTTTTGGAGGGACAAATTCGAAACAATATTTCATCGTCAACAATGGCAACACCCTCAGCTAGTACGTCAAGCTCATCAGCGTGAGTTAAAGATTTATTATTTATGACGAAGAGACGAAATGGCATGTTGGCAAATCTCATTTTTCACTCCTTTGGATTTGGAACTGACATTTTACAATCCCTCGCGATTCAGGACGGTATGGTTCCATTTGTAACTTGATGCAGAAGCTTATCTCTTCACTATTTCCTTTTATTTCAGTGTAATGCTTTATGTGTTAAACTAACAACAATCACTTGTGGAAAATGCTCTAAATGTCGGCATTGCCAATTAGTTCCATTCTGAATTTTAACTACAAATCAGGCTGACAAAAATACTTTCGTATTTAAAATACGCTAAAAAAATGCACCAGAATTAATTGTTGAGCAGATTTTACAGCATGTTTTTTAAGAAATTTAATAAAATCAAATATTCTTGTCACATAAAGTAAGAATTCCTTTATTCAAAGTGATTTTGATTCGCAATGATTGTAAAAGAAAAAGCATATTTTTCTCTCCTAGTTATAAAAACTTGAAAAACATTAATTACTTATTTTTAAAACGATGTTACGTGCTTTGAAGCAAACTTTTAGGTAATTAATGAAATTAATTTTGGGAAATAAAATGCCTACAAGCATTTTGAATTAATTAGGTTCATCTTAATATACTGGTGTAAGAAATTAAGAAAATATGCAGACTTGGTCGATTATCTCTAGAACTACTGGATCGATTTTAATGAAATTTGATATGTACATACATTGTTACAATACAAAACAAATAACCATTCAACATTTGTAATACACACTCATGAGCGTGCGTTACACTCGTTGGAGGCGGAAGGTATGAAATATTGGGGGTATGGTCCCCTCTTGCAGATATGCAGGCCTTGCAGTGTGACTTCATACTTGAAGTAAAGCAGTTTATAGTTTCCTGTGGCAATTGTCCTGTGGCAATTTCATACCTTCCGACTCCAACGTGTGTTGCGCACGATCATGCGTGTGCATTACAATTGCTGAATGGTTATTTGTTCTGTATTGTAACACTACATATACACATC